CCCAGCACCTCGGAACCCTCCCTGAATATTGCTTTCTGTCATTGCAATGTTAAATGCAGCGTGGAAGGCAGGAAAGAAGTCATCCTTAGTAATGTGAATAATATGAGCCCGCATCATATCTTCAATTTGCTGACCGTAAGCTCTCTTTAATGGGCCAAAACAGCCAACATCAAGTGGTTGGAGTATATGGGAAGAGTGAGCAGGCATACAAAGCGTAATAATGTTGTGTTCTTTGCAGTACTCCTCAAACTTGTCTGAGTGGTGGCTCTCATGACCATCAAGGACTAACAAGCGATAACCACCAACACTCCGGGGCTTTGTGTGCTTCTCAAAATGCTGAATCCAATCCATACCTCTCTCGTTTGTAGTCCAGCCATTTGCAGTAACAGCGATTACCCAATCTGCTGGAAATCCACTATTCTCATACCAAGATGCAAGGTGGTTTTTACCTGCCACAATGACAAATGGCGGCACTGCCCAACCTTGAGAACTAACGCCTTGGATTACTGTAACCCATTCCCGATTGCCAGGCTGCACCTTTTTTGCCTTTGCCCGCCCATCTGAGCTCGTTACTACCGTTGCGCTTGAGATGACGCCCATCATAAACCCAGTCTCATCAAAGTTGTAGATATCTGCATTGTTGATGCCATACTTTAGAATTGTGTTCCATACAAGCTCAAACCAGCCACGAATGACTTCTGGATCTTCGCACTTAGCCCTCTGGTAGTCGTATTTTCGCTGGAAGTGTGTCCGGAGCTCTACATGGCGCTTAACAAAGTTTGAAGCCCAACGTGACCCGACGCGTGGCGCGTCGCGTGTTGCAAGTAGTCAATTTGCCATATCTTTAACAATAGACAACTGAGGAGGGAACCCTTTAGCAGCTAAGTCAAGTATATACTGAACAAGAACTGATTCCTCTAGGTTACTTAATTTCCGTAAGTTGGCTTGGATATCGCGTCGTGAAGGTACACCTTGTAAACGGTGACGTAGCTTGCGGTGGTCTACGGAATAGATCCTAGCTGCAACTCGAAGGCGCAAATTTGGGTCGCTTTGCATAGCTTGGATAGCTAGCACTAATTTGCTTTCATCATTTTTATGGCGCATGTTTTGTTGTGGAGGAATTTAACATTTAGTTGGGGGGGTTGGTCACCGCATGATTTTGGCACTTTCGCTTGTTTGGCACTTTCGTTATACATGCACGTTATGCACATAGAGTACTAGGCATTTAGTATAGATTTATATAGTCAATTAGGTAGCTATTATACTCTTTTTTTCTACAGAATTCATTACTCTCATTCTCAAGTCATTGCATTATATGAGAATTGGTACTTTGGCTAGAATTGCCATGCTAGCCTACGTAGGGGGCCCTAGCTAAATCACTTCAGTCACTAGCACTAGCATGTACACTCGATTGATGTTGAATTAATTATATTACTAATCTATACACTAACTATATACAGTAATTCAAAGCTGGCCACAGCTAAATAGAAATCTCTCTAGCTGTAACTAGCTTTTAAAGCACTTAATTGCCAAAAGCGGATGATTCTTCATCATTTAGAACAGGGGGTGGTAGGGGGGCAGTAGGGTTAAACCACTAGTGGCTTGGCACCTTCCTTTTTAGGCATTGGTTAAGCTGATGGTTAGGTTGCTAAAATCCTCTATAGAGGTGTTGTTCAGAGTTTTGTTAGTGGATGCCTCTAAAACTAATGATTACTGGTATTCTAGCTAGGTTCTAGTCTATCTAGCGACTAGAACCAACTATAAATAGTGGCTTTTCCTCTAGCTAACGATGACAATACTAATGACAACAATACTAATGACAACAATACTAATGACAACAATACTAATGACAACAATACTAACGACAACAATGATACCGAGCCACCACCTCTACAAGCACCATTTACACAGTTGAATATATAAGGAAGACCAAAGAAGCAGAAAAGGAGTTAAGAAGAGGAGGATATACTACAAGGGAAAGGAAAGACTTAGGCTTTAAGCCCTAACGAGTATATTATACTGTTGAAAATCTGCCTCTAGATAGCAGACACATATCGAACAGCAGAGGTAATAACGTTCTTTAAGAATGTTACTGCTGATTAGCAACATGAGACTAGCAAAGAGCATAAATCTCTTCGCTAGGTTTTATGCCACTTAGCAGAAATATCTCTAAGATCTTAAAACTAGCAAGCAAGACAGCCGAACGGAACGGCAACTATATAAGGACAACTAGATAGCTGTCCTTGATGCTAAAGCAACAGTTTTCTAGGAGCGGAAGGAGCACTAGGGTGCTATAGGGGTGAGGGGTGAGGCTTCTTTCCTTGCTTAGGCAGCAATGCTTCTTATAATGAAGGAGAAGTAGGTTATCAACCTGCTGTTACCCTTACCATAGAACACCCTCCTAGTGCTCTAAGCATAGCAATTAGTAAGTGGTGATAGAGTTGAAGATGCCGTTATCATTAAGGATGACGACAGTCTTAGCTAGACTCCATTATTACCACTTACTAGTGCCTCTCCTTCGCCACACCCATCTTCTTCTTCTTAGCGATCCTGAAAATGCCAATACATAGCAGCAGAAGATAGTAGAGGGGCTTGTAAAAGCCATAGCTTCGCCACCACCACCTCTAAATCTAGAGGTATTAGAGGAGATTAAGGATCTTTAAAGAGAACAGTCAGTGATGTTCTCTTCATTTATACAGCAATTACAATGGGCTAAGGGGGTTCATTACTATATAGCTATCTATTCTAATATATACAAATACTCTTTAATTAATGGTGGACCAACCTTGAATCTTATGATATCAAATTACCTACTATACAAGTATAGCAGTTCGTTAGTAGAATAGCAACAGCAAAGTAAGTTGCTACTAGTTGGCTGCTAGATTTTAACCCCTTACTAAATGCTGTATATAAGAATAGCTGTTGAATACGATTAAAGCAGTTCCTAACAGCTATTCTCACTAAGGAGAGCAAGTGATTAAATGCTTGCTCATTAGGTGATAAGTGGCGACAACCCCTTGTATGAGTAAAGGGGCTCATAATACCAGTTGTACACTAATATGCTAGATCACTGTATAGGAAGAGCCATTTAGACTCTTCTTTGCTGTCTATAATCTGCTTAAGTCTAGCTTCACAGCCAGACTCTTGCCACATAATCTAATCATTTACAGTTCTAAGAAACAGACCACAAATAGATGACGCAAGGCTGTCTAGCATTACAACAGCTTGCTATTGCTAGCTGTGCTAATGCTTATGGCTGTTGTATACTACATGCTAGGCTTCGTTAGGGCTAGAAGGACGTAAGAATCCTCGAAATGTGCCATCTATGAAGCCCTATATACAAGGGCATTAGCTGATAGCCTCTATAGCTACAGAAAATGCTTGCATCTTATCATACGATAGATGTGGCGCCTAAGCAAGACTTGTGCCAAACTGGCCGAGTAAGTGCTAGCAAGTATCATTAAATATAATACTTAACTAGGTACTAGATCATCTAAAGATCCATGTACAAGTGCTCTACTAGTTTGGATATGCCAAATAGGTAAGCATAACGCACGCAAAGAGCAGTTTCTAGGTGTGCTGTAACCTAGTGATGATATATGATATTGTCAAGTTGAAGGAGGGGTAAGAGCTGCTAGATCTCTTTAATTGAGAAGCTATATAGATTAGTAGAGTACATAATAAAAGGGGCTTCCTTACTGTAGATAATGCTTCACCTTAACAGGTGAATCCTAACCCTACACATTAAGACTCCATGTCTTATGCTCATACTTAAGCAGCGGCTGGTATAGACGCTATAATACCCTAATATGAAGCTGCTGGCAGCAACGACGTAGCTGCAAAAGGAGTATACTAGTAGCTACTATAGCTACTAGTAACTGCTGCCTACAAATTAGCATTTCTAGCGTGGTATTTGAGGCTATTCACAATATGACAATTTGGTTTTGGTCAATATAGAACAGAGAGAGAGGTACTTTACGGAAATGCAATTATTATGTATTTTTATATGGGGGGTGCATTAGGGGTAAGTACTACTTGTGACTAAAAAATCGGTACGGAGTATACGCAGTCAAACCCATCACTAAGAGGCACTTGGGGGGTATTACAGAATTCTTATATTACTACTTTAGACTGCCATAGAGTGGCTTGGCACCTTCTTCTTCCGGCCTTTGGGCAAAAGTCCGACGGTCAGGTTGCTAAAACAGTGCACGCGTCTGGTGGTCTTTCCCGTCTTACTATGACGCTGATATTTGCGTTCGGGTACTTTCCAGCCGCTTGACTATGATGGCCCCGCTATCCCCGAACCGAACAATACGAGCACCGCACCCATGAACAGCACTAAATTGTCAGCCGCTGGCTATCTCTGCCAGGGAAAGGGGAAAGGAAAAGCAAAGAAGGAAAGAAAAGAAGGAAAGAAAAGAAGGAAAGAAAAGAAGGAAAGAAAATAAGGAACTACCCAACGCAGCGATCCCGCATCAAAGCTGGATGAGTGCGGGGAGTATGATGAGCTGAGTATGATGAGCTGAGTATGATGAGCTGAGTATGATGAGCTGAGTATGATGCGCTGAGTATGATGCGCTGAGTATGATGCGCTGAGTATGATGCGCTGAGTATGATGCGCTGAGTATGATGCGCTGAGTATGATGCGCTGAGTATGATGCGCTGAGTATGATGCGCTGAGTATGATGCCTGAGTATGATGCGCTGAGTATGATGCGCTGAGTATGATGCGCTGGGCTATTATAGCTATAGCTGGGTGCAGCTACTATAGCTGGGTGCAGGTACTATTCCTAGGTGCAGGTACTATTCCTAGGTGCAGGTACTATTCCTAGGTGCAGGTACGACTGGGTGCAGAACGCAGAACGGGCCAAGGAACGTCCGACTATTGAAAATTAAATTCATCGATACGAGAGGCGGGAACTCGCGGCGGGAACTCGCGCTGGTGTGGGAAACATCTACTTCCGTTGTACCCGAGCACAACGGACTCCATACATGTCTGCACAACACGTCGTTTGTCTTAGAATACGCATATTGGAAGTATTTTCCCGACTGATCGCCCTATGGCTATCAGTCGGGGAAATACATCTCTCTATCGCATCTGTTCCCACTTCCGTGCAGCATTTATCGCCCGCCCTGTTCTTTTTTTATCTCGTCTCAAGGCCTGTGCTGTCCTGTCCAAAGACCGACATCATCTGCCCACGCGACACATGGCTGTTGTCATATATTACTATTATCCGCTCTTTTCCTCACCTCCTCTCTCCCCACCTCCTCTCACCTCCTCTCTCCTCATCTCTCCTCATCTCTCCTCATCTCTCCTCATCTCTCCTCCTCTCTCCTTCCTCCTCCCATCTCTCTCCTCTCCCTCAACCCCGAACTTCTCCGTTCGGCAACGATAGTCACCCGCTTCTGTGTGGTCTTGCTTCTCTTCTCACCTCACCTTCACCTCCGAATCACATCACCGCCATCATGAAGCTCTCCCTCACCCTCCTCGCCGCGGCTGCGGCCCTCACACCGTGCCTTGCCGCGAACCCAACATGGCCCTCCTCCGTCGACGAGCTTGAGGACATCATGTTTCTCACGGCAGGCTATCGCAAGCGGACCTTCGCTGACTCCGTGATTCCCTGCGAGAAGAGCCCTACTACCGCCGGCCGTATCAACGCCGCCGAATGGATCCGCAGCGCCTTCCACGACATGGCCACCGCAGACACTTACAATGGCATCGGCGGCCTTGATGCTTCCCTCCAATTCGAGACTGGCCGCAGAGAGAACAATGGCCCCGCCTTCGAGTCCACCTTAATCTTCCTTCAGGCCTTCCTGTCTGTGCGCTCCTCCATCTCGGATCTCCTTGCACTGTCCATGTATACAGCTGTTCGCGCCTGCGGTGGGCCAATTGTGCCCATCCGCACAGGTAGAATCGATGCCACAGAGGGTGGGGCGACGGGGGTGCCGATACCACAGAACCCGACCCAGACGTTCGTTGCGCAGTTTGCACGCATGGGCTTCAACACGAGCGAGATGATTGAGCTCATTGCCTGTGGACATACCATTGGCGGCGTCCATGCGGGTCTGTCCCCATTGATCAATGCCCCGGGGACAGCAAAGAATGACTATGCGCTTTTTGATGATGCTACGCAGGCTCAGTCCAAGTTTGACCATGGCATTGCGAGAGATTATGTCTTGGGAAATACGACGAACCCCTTGGTAGTTGGTATCTCCAAGGCCAATGGGCGGGACTCTGACGGCCGCATTTTCCGGGTTGATAAGGATGTCACCATCAAGACTCTGGCGAACCCCGTGGTGTTCCACGACCGCTGCAAGGTCGTCCTACAGCAGATGATCGATGTCGTCCCACCGACGGTTAATCTCACGGGGCCAATCCAGCCGTATGAGATCAAGCCCGTTAATCCCCAGCTTAACCTTGTGGCTCCCGGCACCACTCTATCGTTCACGGGAGAGATCCGCGTTAGAACGACTGTTCGTGCGGCGGATAAGATTTCTAGCGTGAAGCTCGTGTACAAGAACCGCGATGGCGAAGCTGGCGGATCCATCACGACTACGTTTGTAGGAACTGCATCCGGCTTTGATGACTCGTTCACTGTAAGTATGATTCCGTGATATTTACGTATATAGCTAATCAGTCGATAGTTCTACAAATTTGCCGCCTCAATTGATTCCACGAAGAGTATTTCTAGCTTCACCGTTAAGGTTGCCGTTGCTGGCGGCACCACTGAGACCCACGATAATAATGGAAAGGGTTACCCGGTGGAGGACTCGGTTATCCTACAGTCACCACAGAGTTGCTTGGAGATTTTCACTGATGCTGATAATAACCGCACACTGACCATCGTTGCTGCCGTAAGTCCTTCCAATTCATTGCCAGCCAATATGAACCATGCTTACCCCCATAGAAACGCACAGCAGTCACAGGCACCCCAGCCGTCGACCTAGCCTCCTTAAAGGCTAGAACCGGCGGTCTCGTCGTTCCTATAATCACCCATTCCCCCCTCCCCATGACGGCCGGCAAATCCTACGGACCATACACGTTCTACTCCGTGACCACCAAGATTGGCTCCACTCTCTCCCTCCGCGCCACCTTTGATATTACGCTGGGCACAGCCAAGGACGTCTTCAAGCGCACCTCCAACCTCCCCGATGGATGCGTCCCCTTTGGATCCGATACATCGACATCCACGGCCCCACCAACAACGTCTCAGCAATCATCTACCACCGTAAGTCCTCCAATCTCAACCTTACCAACCCCGCCTCAATCATCAGGCTGGGCCTTCCTAGGGTGCTACACGGACGCCACCACCTCCCGGACCCTCCCCTATATGGCCTCCCCGGCCGGCGGACCTACAGCCCTGACAAACGCCCTCTGCCAGTCCACCTGCCAGTCCCAAGGCTACGTCCTCGCTGGTACCGAATACTCCGGAGAATGCCACTGCGGGAACTACATCTCGTCTACTGCCAGGCCCGCCACTTCCGGCTGCGACATGGCCTGCCACGGCGACGCTGCGGAGAAGTGCGGCGGTGCGAATCGTCTGAGCCTTTACGGCTTTGGCCGCGCCAAAGCAGAGGTGGCCCTAGTTCCTAAGAGTAAGAAGACCGTGGAAGGGTACGAGTACCAGGGATGCTACGTTGATTCGAGAGAAGCGAGAGTGCTGAGCGGCTCGGCGCTTGTGAATGATGCGTTGACTTTGGAGAAGTGCGCTGCGTTCTGTAAGGAGGCCAAGTTCAATGTGTTTGGTGCGGAGTACGGGGGAGAGTGTTGGTGTGGCGCCGCATTGGGAGCGACGACGAAGGTGGGCGAGGAGCAGTGCAACCAGCCTTGTGGCGGGGACAGGGCCGAAGCCTGTGGACAGGGCAATCGACTTAGTGTTTACCTGAAGTGAGGGCTTAAGATGGAGCAGCATAAAGGCGATATTTTATTTTTGTTTGGGGTGAAGGGTGCAGGAGGATAATGGCATGAAAGTGACGGGGAGGAGAGAAAAATAACGAACGGCATTGGGGTATAGTTTTGTTGTCGATACATAGATTCTTGGTATTGTCGGATGATGGTATTTAACTTTCTCCCGCGCGTTTGCAGCTTTGAGTTTTCTCAGGTCTCATGTGCGGAAATCCAATCTCATATTAGGGGTCGGTTTGTGAATGCCATCTAGATTTCTCACTTTATCTACGGGTAGTATCTTTTTTCCAAGTCATCACAGCTAACGCCACTCAGGAAGCCCGTGGAGGACTCGCAGCCCTGCCGCAACCAGATAATAATTAGCATCTCCCCGACCATACAGTCTTGACGCCCCACTCAACTTTCCTAGCCACGTATCCTGCTCAATAGCAAGACGTGCGATTCTGGCATTACTCTCCGTCGCAAACATTGAGGCCGTCTGTTCGATGCCGGGGCCCATCCTCGCAACCAGAAAATGGTCCATCAGCCCCTCCTCTTCAAGAAGATGCATGACTGTCGCAGCACCCATTTCGGGCCCGCCCACCGCATCCTTGCCGTGAATGAGGTAGTGCAGTCCTCTGATGAGCCGGCGGCGCATATCGCTAAGCTGCTGCGCTGAAGCACTCGCTTGACAGACAGTGCAAACGCACACGAATCGTAGCGCACTATGCCGCTCTTGCCTCGTCCTACCAGCGAAATCATCATTATAACAGAACGTGATCTCCTCGCCCACCGCAATGTCGCAAGTGGCGAAGCAGGCGATTTCCCCCGCCTCGACGTTGCTGTCTGGGATGTTGGGTTGGGCACGCAGGAGTGGTTGAGGCACGAGAGCAGCACGAAGATGCCGTGGCCGCTGGGGTTGGGGAGATCGAAGGAGTTCTTAGCACGGGTGTGGGTTAGGCGTGTGAATTGTTGGTCGAGTGTAGATGTAGGCGTTCATCTTGTGCTTGCCGTAGAAGCCCTAGATCAAACCACGTATGGACATGAGCGGCCAGTCACGCACCTAGACACCTTAGGAATTCTAATGCAGATATAAATACAGAAGTTTCAGGCGGGTAAGTGCAGGCAGGTAAAATAACACTTTAGCGACGGATATGGATACAAATACACATATCCAAAATATGGCAGATATTCCCTCCAGAGAACCCTAACGTTAACGTTCCCTAGGATATAAGTCGACTTTTGTTACAGGACTCGGGTATATCTTCAACACCACACTCAACTAATCTCAAAATGTATATCACTGAGGTACTAAGGGCTACTGCGGCTGATAATGATCGCCTTCTCAGGATCATTTCCGAAACAGCGGCCGCCCTTCAACAAAGCAACGATTATGTCGTTAACCTCAAAAAAGACATCCTAGTACAAGAGAAACTCCTCCGAGACACCAAGGTCACCATTGCTCGTGAAGAAGCCGAACACAGGGACTACCAAACATCCCATGTAAGCGTCTAGCTTACAGATTAGGAGGGAAGCGTGAAAAGTTCGAGCAGAAAGCATCGAAGGAAGAGAAGGACTGGGTTGAAGCTGTACAGAGAGGATTTGAAGTTCAGAAGAAACTCGATCTTCTAAATCGAAATATAGCTGAAGCAACCAAGACAAGCGCGGAAATGGAAAATGTAGCAGCCACTTACAAACAAGCAGAATATGAGCTGAGCTCACTCTACAAATCTGTTTTCCAGGGGCCAACACCCGATATCCCTGGAGAGGATCAACGAGAAGGCACTGTGTATCAAGCATCTACGGAGTTCAACTGGGCTCAGGGCAATGTCGACAAGGGGAAGCAGGTGAAGAATCTCCTCACTAGCGCGATGAAGTTCCTCGACGAGGCCACTCGGGACGTTGAGAGCGCAAGAAGTAATGCGAAGATGGATGCATTTGGGTTTGACAGCACGTTTATGGACATCGCCGAGATGAACGCTCTTACAAGGGTGAGGCAGAATGTCGGCCAGGCCGAGATGTTAGTTAGTCAAGCAAGGACCATGGAGCCATTGATTGGGGATATTGGAGATGTAGTGCATGCGCAACGCCATTTCGTGTCGGAAGTGCTGTTCGACAATGTCTTTTCGGACATGAAGAAGAATGACGAGATCAAGCGATCGCAGGCATCCATCATGAAGCGAAGAACTCTCTCGCGAGTATGATTCATGCAACAAATGAGAGATTTGAAGCTGCGGTGGCTGAAGCGATGGGCAAAGGCAAGCGCTTGAAGAGAAGAGGCTACAGCTGCTGCAGATCAGAGCTGAAGCATATCAAAAAGCTGCTAGAGGAGAATTAGTTCCTCCACAGCAGGGACCGCCACCAAGCTACGGGGCGTAGGCTTCAAACGGACAGGTGATTTGACTGAGTCCGAACGAGCCTTCCGTTTCGCGACGACGGCGATTAGGGACATTCCTGCGTAAGCGTAATATCGCTCTTGCATATATAATATCAATTGTCGTAGTCACTCTTTCCATATCGAAAAGTGTGGTGATAGTGTGTCGTAAGCACCGCCATTAATTTTAGATATATGTTCCGGCCCAACCACGAATAAGTTGTATTCGCGAATGGGCCAGCCCAACCCAGTGTTCGGCGGATACATATCCGGGTAGTATCCGTGAAGCTCACGGGTAGGGTATATACCCGGCGACGATCTGACGGGTAGGGTAGGGTATATATCCGGATACATGAGGCTGAATATTGTATATAAAAATAGAATAGCGTATATAAAAAAGAATGAAGCTTTTGATAATAGTAGTAAACCCCTTTCCGCGAGCCCCCTTTCCGTGAGACCCCCCCTTTCTGCGAGTCCCTATTCAGGTGCTTCATCGTCAGCATCATCGCCGTCGCTATCAGCCTCCCGTATTTTACCCCAATTCCGTAAGCAAAGTAAATATCTAATAGTTGGCGGTGATAACCTATTCCGCTTCTTTGTAATAATATCACTACCATTACTAAATACTCGTTCCGATGCTGCAGATGTTGCTGGAATAGCTAGATGATCACGAGCAATACGGGCAATAACTGGATATTGGTATTGCTTTGCGCACCAATATTTGAGAATATCAGTATGCTCACCGGGCCGTGGTTCAAGCATCCAGCGCCTCCATTCTGGCTCTTGAAAAGCCAAGCCTTCTGACGCAAATAGATCTTCGTCAGAATCAGGTTCTTGATCTATTGTAGCAGTAGCACCTATTGCTTCTGCAAGAGCTGTTTCGTGAGTAATTCGCTCCGTATCAAGGTGATACTCTCGCTTTTGGTACGTTCTACAAACGTCTTCGAACTGCGCTCTTGCTCGTAATCTTCGTGTATCGTCTATAGCATTTGGATATATCTTCTTAAATACTGTATGATTCATTCGTGGGTCGCAAATTGTAGCAACAGCTGAGTGCTTACATTGCTGATTCGTTGTAAGAGTATAATACTCATTAAGCTTTTGAAGCGCAGCTCCACAAGCTACTCCGATCGTAGAGCTTCTACCAAGCTCTTCTTGTAGTAATGTGACCTTATTTATCATCTTTAAGTAAAGAGGAATTGTAAAGTTGAGCGTTGGATATGAATCGCTTTGTAGCCGTCTTGACGGCTTTAAGAATACTAAGAATAATCGTTCAAGAGCTTCGATAATAGCCCAATCGTTGCTTGTTAACGCAATATCCTTCATACTGATATCAAGCTTCTGCGTAGAGCATACTGCAGTAATTGGTATTCGAAGCTTTATAGCTGTTTCAAGCATATAGTACGTTGAATTCCAGCGTATAGGCATATCAAGTGATAGCTGGCGTGGCTTCTGGCCTGCAGCTTGTATCTGCTTCTGTAAAGCATCCTTCCATGCTCTTCAGTTTCGAAAGATAAATATGCCTTCGGAGCTTCTCAAGCGTAGCTGATACTTCAGTAGAAGAGTTATCAATATGCTGCGGAATCCGGGCAAGCCCTTGCTGACACCAGTACGCTTCTGTTTCTGTATCCGGGCTAGCTTTCAAGCTCTTTAGAGTAGCTTGAACTGCAAGATTGATAATATGAGCAATACACCGAACGTCCCCTTCCTTTACAGTAAACGTCCATGGCTGTTGAATAGTCGTCTGCTGCTTACTGGCTATTTTCTCATATTCTGAAAGCATCACAGTATTCGCTGAGGCATTATCCCACGTACAAGTAAATATAGCACCTGTAATTTCGAAGCTATCTGTTACTGCAGCTAACTCTTGAGCGAGATATTCGCCGCTATGAATTGGCTCTTGAAGGTGGATTACATCAAGTAATACGCACCGGTGCTGCCACTTCTCATTAATCCAATGGCCTGTGACAGCAGCGTACTCTGTATAGTTCCGTGCAGTCCATGCATCTGTTGTAATAGATATCCGGCCGCCATAGGTAATATGAGCCTGGAGTTCTAATTGTAGCAATCCTCGGTGATATGAGAATTGCCGCTGTAGCTCTCGGTGTAGTGTTCGCGACGATATCGATAGAGTACTTGGGCTTAAGAACTGTACTAATTGATGGAACGAATAGCTCTCAATAAGTCGTAAGGAGAGGTTATTTGATACAACGAATGAGAGTAATAACTCTCGGTATTTCGCTCTACTATTTGATGCTTGAGCTTGAGCGGGCTGGACTTGCGGGTTCCGCGGCCGTGGCTCAAAAAATGACGATGCACTACTTGATGGGCTTGACGGCGTAATTGTATGACCTTTCATTGTATATGCTACTGTTGGATGCTTCTGCGTATAGTGCTTCCAAAGATTACCGGTTGAAGTCTGACTTAATAGCTGCGGAGTAGGTGAATATCCGCAGCCTGGTTGTAAGCAAGTTACTTTGACTGTAGGTGGGTTACTATCAAGTATCAATCGCGAATATAATAGCTTCGTAAATAGTACCGATGACGTTGGTGGCAGCATTCGTCCTGGAGGCTGAAGCCGGAGCGGTGTAGGATTAATATCCTGTTGAATATGAATAGGGGGCGGCAGCGTTGGCAGACTTGGCTCATTATGAGTATCATAGCTATTATAGCCCTCAGGCTCCGTTGGTATATCTGATAACGACGAGTCGCTCATTCTGAGGATAATTATCACTTTATACAGCATCAATATAGATCTCACGACGTTGGAAAAAAGAGGTCTTGGCTGCGCTTGGCTATTCTTGGCATGTATCCGGATATATACTCGAGAGTATCCGGATACGCCGGATACTCCTAAAATATCGCCGGGTAGGTATATACTCGAGGATATACCCGGATACCACGGGTATATTGGTATCCGTGCCGAACACTGGCCCAACCACAAATAGCATAATATAATAGTAAATATTAAATCGCTCTATACTACGTTTCCAATAGTGTCTGCTCTTGCCCGCTTTCTCTGCTTTGGCCTCTCAATTAAAGCTAATTCTGTACGATAGCTAAGCCTAATAAGTTGCCATAGTCATGATCATCATTATGGCAGTGTATACTACACTCCTTTGCTTCCTTATAACAACGGCACCTCTTTGTACTACAATGTCATTTGCATTGGCATGATACTACAACCTATGCACTTGTAGAAGCCTCTCTAGCTGCAAGCCCTAGCGTTACTTGCTTTGTAGAAGTAGGAATTAAGATATCAGACCAGAGAGCTTGTTCTACAACTCCTTGATTTTGTAGGTATAAGGCGTTGTATTATACCAGAGAGTGTAAGAACCTAATATCAGTGTAGGTAAGGCTCTTCTAGAATGCGTGCAAAGAGCCTCTTATTATTAGTTGAGGTTCTATCCTCTCGAGGAACCTTAATAGAGACTATAGCTCTAATATCAAAGTGTTAGATATGATGCTTCTTTGTATACTTGCACACTATAGAAGCCTTCACTCTTTAAATATATCTCTCTTAATTATAGGGTTAGGAAGCTTAGTCTAGGCCAATCTAGCACTTTAGCCTAGCTCCTACACTAGAGCTTGGAATTGAGCTCTAGATCTAGCTTAAGCTCTAAGCTAGAGCACAGCTTAGAATTGAGCCTTGACTGCTCTAGCTGAATTACGAGCTCTAGCGCTACCTAGAGCTAGGCTTAAGCCTAAGCCTAGGCTTGAGTGATCGCTTAAGCTCTAGGCCTAGAGTTGAAGTCAAGCGATTGCTCAAGCTCTAGCTTAGACTTAGAGCTAGAGCTAAGCTTAAGGTCGAGCGATTGCTCAACCTCTAGCTATGGCGCTGCCTAGAGCTAGGCTCAAGCTAGAGCCTAGGCTTGAGAAATCGCTTAAGCTCTATGTAATGGTGGGTGCACCAGATGTGAGAATCTAGCCACCCAAGGAAGGGATGATTTTACTAAGACAACACACTGTCTTAGGAAACAGAGCCAAAGGGTCGTAGCTTAGACTATTCCACAATGCAGCAATCAGGTGTATGATGTAGTGGAGTGGTTTAGACAAGTTGTAACAAATGTTGAGTCTGAGAACTCAGGGATAAGTCAGAGGTTAGCACCTCACTAACTTTTCAGGAACAAGGAGTAACAAGATCAATGCTTGGAAGCTTGTAAAAGACGTGGAAGTATGTGATAGTCGATTTACTGTATTGCCTGCTTGCCCTTTCTTAAGGAAAGGGCAATCCTATTTATGCCAAAGGAGTGTAGTTCTCTCATTTTCCATGACTTTCCATGACTTACCAGGCTTGGTAATTGTAGTCGACATAAGAGAATCCCATAGAACCATCTCTTAGGTTCGTAGCCTATAGGAAGTAAAAGGAGGTCCAAGGTCAGAGTACCCCTATAGACAAATTATGTCATAGACAAATTATGTCATAGACAAATTATGTCATAACTTAACCAATCTTGTGGGTAACTAAAGAGCGATGACATGTAATGAATCATGAGGTTCATAGGAGCTTTTAGAGCTATCGTTCATGCTCCTAGGCCTCTAGTTGGTAGAGATATGTCATGTGGTAGTATGAGTGATGTCATGTAATGAATCATAGATGTCATACTGACATTCGTTGCACTCAGTTTGCTATCAAACTCAAGAGCAAACTTAGAAATCTCCTCCTCAAACCTACAAGTCACCATACATATCTTGGCTTATCACACCAACAACAGAAACAATACTACTCAACGATTGCTGCAAACTCTTCTACTACATCTGTTTATGCTACATACATCACGGCATATCATTTGGACACTCATTGAACAAGTTATTAAGAAAATCTCCTCCTTAAGGGGGTGGGCCAATACTACCACATGGCATATCTCTACCAACTAGAGGCCTAGGAACATGAACGATAGCTCTAGAAGCTTCTACAACCCTCTATGATTCATTACACGTCATCGCTCCTTAGTTACCCACAAGATTGGTTAAGTTATGACATAATTTGTCTATAGGTACTCTGACCTTGGACCTCCTTTTCACTTCCTATAGGCTAGGAACCCAAGAGATGGTTCTATGGGATTCTCTTACGTTCACTACATGATTAGCAAGCTAGTTGTGGGTCGCACTTGATTTCTAATACATTTACCAAGCCTGGTTAGTCATGGAAAGTCATGGAAAATAAGAGAACTACACTCCTTTGGCATAAATAGGATTGCCCTTTCCTTAAGAAAGGGCAAGCAGGCAATACAGTAAATCGACTAGCACATACTTCTACGTCTTTTCCAAGCTTCCAAGCATTGATCTTGTTATTCTCTGTTTCTGAAAAGTCAGTGAGGAACTGTAACGCTGACTTCTAAACGATAGAAGACACAGAGGTTCTCTTGCGTAAAGGTTTACTTATCAGAGGAGGCAGGGGATCAGACACAAAGGCTTCAAGTAACACGTTACTAGTATATAACAAATACTGTATTGAGTTGAGCACGAAGCTCCTATCTAAGGAAATACTATCTACTTATATAGTGGCGTCATGCCTAGTGGACTCTTGGGAACTCACTCGAGTCCTCGGAGTCCTGGACTCTTAGGACTCTTCTCATCATCCTGCGAGTCCATCACGTGCCTAGTGGACTCCTGGGAACTCACTCGAGTCCTCGGAGTCCTGGACTCTTAGGACTCTTCTCATCATCCTGCGAGTCCGTCACGTGATACTTTCGGAACTACTATTCCCCGCTGCCCCTCCAGGTACCAGGGCCGGTCTCATGCGACCTCCCTCCTTCCTGTCCTGTAGTTGGCCAGCCTTCTTGTTCCGTCGTAACAGGAACCTCTGACTTATCCCTGAGTTCTCAGACTCAACATTTGTTACAACTTGTCTAAACCACTCCACTACATCATACACCTGATTGCTGCATTGTGGAATAGTCTAAGCTACGACCCTTTGGCTCTGTTTCCTAAGACAGTGTGTTGTCTTAGTAAATTCATCCCTTCCTTGGGTGGCTAGATTCTCATATCTGGTGCACCCACCATTACAATAGAGGGTTGTAGAGATATGCTATGTGGTAATATCGGCCCAGTAACTAAGGAGCAATGACGTGTAATGAATCATAGATGGTTGTAGCAATCGTTGAGTAGTATTGCTCTTGTTGTTGGTGTGATAAGCCAAAATATGTATAGTGACTTGTAGGTTTGAGGAGGAGATTTCCAAGTTTGCTCTTGAGTTTGATAGCAAACTGAGTGCAACGAATGTCAGTATGACACCTAAGTACTCGAGCTCAATTCTAAGCTCACTCTTAAATATCAGCGCCATTGTTAGGTCTTCCTACTCAACTCTAATTGTGAGATCCTTTAGGCCTAGCTATTAAGCTAGTTAATATGAGAACTCCTGTCTCGGAATAGCAGCTCAGCTAGCACACACCTAATAGTAGAGTGGATTTGGGTGTTAATTGTAAGTGTGGCTTTAAATAGCCCATCTTTCCACTCTATAGACCTATGATCCATTTACTATGCTTGTAGCTTTGCTTCTACAATTCTATTTGCCTACTCAACTAGGCCTTGTGTCTATGGTGACCATGGTGCTCTATTTATCACTTAAATACTATACTTACGTAGCAGAATAAGTAGTGCACCCTTGAATTCTTTGCCATTATTTGCTTGCATAATCTTTAGAGGTAATAATGCTGCAATAAAGAGAGCAAAGCAGTCTGCAATTGGCTCTAGATGCTTGCTCTTTAATGGATATAGCTGTGTATATTTTGAGAAGTGATCCTTTATATGTAGAATCCACTTATATTGTCTAGAAGGCTCATAGCGCATATCAATTAGATCAATCTGAACCCTCTCTCATGCTCGGCTAGTAGTAATTGGAACTAGAGGAGCTTTTGTTGTGTTTAGTTGATTTAGTATACAATTCTTACATCGCTTTAATATAAACTCTGCTTCTTCTCACTTTAGCCTATAGAACTTCTGTTGTAGAATACTCCATGTTTTTGAGCGGCCTGTATGTAGCAGCTGTAGGTGTTCATTAACAATAGCATCAAAAGCTTCACTTTAGAACTACACATCGTGGGCTTTAGAACCTAGAGTCAGGTTTCTAGTAGAGCTTATTATGTATAATCTCAAACTCTGTTTAAGCACAGTGCTTTAGTCGTGACTTCTACTTGGTTGTTGGCTTTAATAGTAGGTTCTTAAGATAGAGGTATAATTGACGGTATTTTAAGTAGTCTAGCCGCTCTCTATCAACATAGGTAAAAGCCATGAATATAGGTTTGGAAAGCAGTGAACATATATAATATGTTGTAAGTCGCTCTTTCCCAAATAAGGCGTGTTGCCAGAGTGGTTAATGGGTATGACTAGAAATCATATGGTTTCGGCCGCGTAGGTTCAAATCCTGCACACGTCGTTTTTTTTTTTTTTTTTTGTTTTGCCAACCGAAAGACGTCGTGCCAGATCGCGGAAAAAAACCACTTTGGCACCACGCCTTTTTAATTGAAAAAGCAGGCTACATATCTTAATATACTGTAATTGTCTTGTTTCTAGAGAAATATGATGCATATTCTCATATTTGTCGGTCGTGGTTTCCGCAACTACATATAATCCTTAAGTGACTATGAATGAAATAAACCGTCTTAGCGACTGTATATTAAATATATTAAGTGAGTACTTTAGAAAACTATGAATTAAGATAAACCATCAGTAACTAGCAACTAAAGGAAACTATCTTAGTAACTAAGAATGAAATAAATCGCCGTATTAACTAAATGTAGAATAGTAACTACAAAGGAAATAAAGGCTCTTAATCACGTATAATTAAATAATCATATTACGGGCTTTCTATATGATATGCCCAAGGGGGAAACTTAAAATGACAATCAGGTGCTGACTAATAAAAAGGCCTTTGATAGCCCAGGGAATATCGACAAGGAGAAACATACTGTACTATAGCCTTTTAATACTCAATTACTTGAGAATCAAATGAAAAAGTAGAGTTCGGATTCAATTTTCGTTCCGATAGCTACCCATCCTCGGATCTTGGGTTGCGTGGGACCCCCTGTTGCGTACCTTGTATCCACCACAACTTTCTTGCTCAACCAAAAAAGACTCCCTACAACCGCACCACCTCCGACCAACACCACTCCACAGTACAACCCATCAACCCAAGGCGCAATGGAGACCAGTGCAGGCATAACAACACCCGCAGCCGCCGAATCTCTAATCCCCAAATTCAAACTCGAACGCGTCCTAAACCAAGGTCCGCTGTGTCCCCCCCCGCGTTGGCCCCGCTAACCACCCCCACCACCAGACCAAGCCGGACGCCGCATTGTCCTCCTCGGCGCCATCTCCACGACTCCGGCCCTCCTCCTCCTCGAGCGTGCTCCATTCTCCGCCTCCGCCGAACACCTCGCCGAACTCCCGCGCGCGCTACGCTCGTGCCGGAACCTCGGTGCGAATGATGTCTACTTCTGGTTTATGGCGTGTAGCGGGGACGCGGCTGACGGTGCTGCGGCGGCTGAGATACACGATGATCTGAAGATCAACCTGATCTACCCGTGTACGGAGAAACATATCAAGAAGTACAGCAGGCAGGGGACGCGAATGGTGACGGAGACTGCGGAGACATACAAAAATTCAGTGAGGCCATACATGCAGCGACAGCGGGAGGGGGGAAGGCTGACTTGGGTATACAATATCATTGAGGGCAAGACGGAGGTGGAGGACGTGATTTTTCGCACAGTACGTGGAGTAGATACCGAGCGCGGCTTCCTGCTGCTACCGGACCTGAACTGGGACCGCAAGACGATGGAGAGCCTGCATCTACTCGCTCTGGTGGAGCGCAGGGACATCTGGAGTCTGCGCGACCTACGGAAAAAGCATGTGCTGTGGCTGAAGGACATGAGGCGCAAGATTTTACAGGCGACAGTGGGGACGCATACGAAGCTTGAAGAGGATCAGTTGAAGTTGTATGTGCATTATCAGCCTACGTACTATCACTTCCATATCCATGTCGTGCACGTCGCTCTTGAAGCTGGCGCCACGCAATCAGTGGGCAAGGCCATCGGGTTCGAGAGCCTCATCTCACAGCTAGAGATAATGCCGGGCGGCGAGGAAGCCGGGTTGGACAGCGTGAACCTAACATATGGTCTTGGGGAGTCTAGCGAGCTATGGATCGACGTCTTCGAGCCGCTCAAGAATCGCGGTACAGTTTCTCTATCTCAATAACCAGATCATTCACCCCCGGACCATTGGGGCAGTTCTTCCAATCCCCGTCGTGCACGCAGTACACCTCGTTGTTCAGTCTCACCGTGCAGCTCGCCCTGACGCCCACATTGATACTCCTCTGGACGCTATCCCTCAGCAGACCCATGCCCATCCCATCGGCGCTGCCCGCGCACTCATTCAGCTTCTGAATGTCGACGGCGTGCTCCAGCGCGCAGCCCTTGACCAGGGCCTCATCGGGGATCTCCCTGTAGTCGTTAGAGAGACACATGACGAAGCCGAGATAGATGCGCGGCTCCGGGTAGAGGTGGGCGGCGCACAGCTCGAGGATGTTGCCCATGCACTCCGGCGGGCCGTGCATGCAGTCCACGCCGTCGTTCTCGGTCGGGCGCCCGAGGAAGGTGAGTGTGAAGTCGACCTTGGAGCTGACGCGCTCCATGGCAGGGATGACGAGTTCGCGGAGGCAGGCCTGGTAGATGTGTTAGCTTGCGCGCGTGGAGGTACTTATAGGAATACATACCCTTGTGTCTGGACATTTGCTCATGACGTGCGCTTCGAGTGGGACTAGCTTCCCCACCTTCTCGACCACAGCTGAAGCTGCATTGTTGCTCGTTTGGTGATGGCAAGCCGTAGACGTGAAACCTCTGAAGTCAAATACCCTCGTAGTCATCGTCAACGCGAAATACAAAACCACAGCAACCGTAAGTGCGACGGCGAACGGCCGGTTCCTGGCGGAACCTCCACCGCGTGCCTGTATCTGCGACTGAACACCCATATTATTCGTTGTTTGAAGGCGTGAAGAAGAAGTTTGCGTCGAAGACGGCGCAGAATTAGAGTCTGTTTGAAGCGGGGAATTGAAAGGCTGGTCTCGTTTAGAACCGGCAAGTGGAGCGTTGGTGCTTTCGCTGGCGTGCTCCATCTTCTCGGAGAAGCGCTGTGGTATTATTGAGGGGCTAGACATCGCGAGGATGGGATGATGTTGGAGATGGACATGAGGATTGTACTGATGTTGTTCGTCCTACGGATCTCGGAGATGTAAACCTTGGACGTCACAAGGCTGTAGCCGTGTGGTGCTGGCTCGAGGTCGGTGGGTCGCGTTCGTTCCCGACGAGGACGCGAGGCTGAGGAATGAGTATAAGATATAAAGTTTTGGCCCCTACTTTTAACCTAAATCTTAGTATCTCAATAACTACAAGGCCAATTGCTTTAAATTGAAACAGAGCTCTTTAAACGCCTATAAAAGGTTAAGTATATAGTTTTATAATTTATTATTAAAGGTTTGTTGAGATATTAAGTTATGAAATTCGTGATTTAAGGTGTGAAATGGATTTGCACATTCGCTTGTTTTGCACATTCGCTAGTTATACATGTACGTTATATTATAGGAATTGAACATATTCAAGGACGTGGATCGCTTGTCTATCGCAATTGTTCTGTTTCAGTTTCGACTATTTCAACCATATGAGGTAGATAAATGTCCTTATATTATTTGGACGTCTCATGGCGTGCACACCCACCTCCCCCACCATCTCGAACGCCTCAAAAGCTTGTTGATAGCATCATTTCTGTTATTCAACGAATTAACGATCCATCTCTTACAACAGGTAATATATTAATAATATATTATGAACGCATTGCTAATACATTACAGCTGCTTTGCTTAAAAATCCTTTGCTCTCAGACTTTTGCTTAAAGTACAATGGCGTTACATTAAGTGACGTTCATAAGGCACATACGTGCATATTGCTAGAGGAAGGTACGACCGACCGACCGTCCTTCGCACCTTCCCCTAACATATGGATAGCTAAGGCAACTAAAATCACGAGGCACTATATAAAAATGAGATCCAAAGTACACAGACAACGATATGAGGCTACAATTATGATTTCCCCGAGATCTTGCCCGTCCCAGCCGTCCCTACCTATAGTACAGTACATATATCCCCTACATCTAATGATACCCATTCGTCCCACTGGCCGCTACAATCCGGTCCAGTTCCTCTTTCCTCTCCCGATACAGTTCCTGCGCTTCCCTCTCCCTCTTGCTAATGAACCCAACCTCGGCCCTCAGCCCCTCCAGCCGCGACGCAATTGAGGCTTCCTCTCCAATTTGCAGCGTGCGGAATGCATCCAACGAGTTCGTTGCGGTGCCTAGCGCCTCTGTCGCCTCGGATATCTTCTGCCGCAACATCTTCTGTCGCTTCTGGTACCCTCCCAAGTGCAGCGCGAGCTTCTTCTCGAGCTTGTTACCGCGCTCAGCGGTGGTGGTGATTTCGCTCTGGACGGCCTGCCAATATGTTAGTTTCGGTGAATGGAAAGATAGACGCGGGATTGGATGTCAGGGTACTTACGTCGAATGCTTGCATCAGCAGCTCCCGCTCAGTAGGCTCCTCGTCTTCGTAATCGACAAGTGCAGGCGCCAGTGCTGAGCGGTGTAGCTCATTCCACGTCTTATCGAATATCTCCGCGCCCACGGCAGAGCCGTCGCGAGAAGACTCCACAGCAATCGCCAGCCTTGCCTGTGCGAGCGCATCGTCCTCGAACAAATCAAGCTTCTTCGGTTGGCCTTTGAGTCTCAAGCCCGGAGCGGGGTGCTTCGCCGCATCATTTCCGATGAGGAGTGTCATCTCCCGTGCAATGATTGCTTGAATGGGGTCAGAAATCGCAGACACTTCCTTCAGAATCGCATCTATGTCTACGAGGGCAGGACGCGGGAGACCTCTCTGGAGAACCTGCGTCTGGCGCTTGCGCTCAAGGAGCTCCTGTGCTTCTCTGATCTGCTTGTTCCTCCTGTCTCTGATTTCCGCATCTTCCTCTGATACCTCCCCACGTGCGACCTCTTGTTGCTCTTCAGGAAGCTCGAGCTCCCATTCTGTGTCTTTCGGTTTTGGTAGGGAGGCTAGGCCTTGCTTAAGTTGATGCTTCAGTGCCATCTCTCGGAGTTTCATGTCCCGCGGCGTGGCGCTGACGAGTTCCATGTCGCCTTCGGTGTTGATGGCAAAGTTGTCTCGCATTGGCGTTTGCCCAACACCTGGTGTGCGCATGGGGGTTTCCCCAATACCAGCACCGCCGCGAAATGGCGTGGCCATAGGATTAGGTGTTTCTATTTGACTTTTGCGGGGAGCCACGCTTTCAAAGCCAGTGCTGCCAGCGCCTTCGTATAATGGAGTATTGTCGCCACCGAGCAGCGACGATTTAGTTTCGGTCAAGGCTCGAATATTCTTGATCTCGTTCGCGATACGATCTTCCTGGGCTGGGGCTCGAGGTGTCCGGATCGGCGCCCCTGTGTTAATCGTACTGTATGACCCAACAAGACCCCTCGTTGCGTCGTTCTCGCTGGCACGCGCCATCTGGTTTGCCCGTTCTCCAATCATGCCCATCTTCACAATCTCTTCCAGCTCACCCTCCCCAACCTGTGGCGAGGGCAGAACGAGAGCCCGTCTCTTGCTGCTCTGCTCAGCCTCTCGTATTTTTTGCATCTGTCCGGCCTTAATGGCGGCTTGGTATGATGCGGATGGTGCATCTTTCTCAGTCTTCTTCCGCTTACGGTCCGGGTCCTCGTCCGCGTCCCCTTTCCGCTTGTTCGCAAGTTGTTGTTTTCGAGGATCGAATGATTCCCTTTGCTTTTCGTTGATCGCCGCCTCTTCTCCGGTGTCGTAGAATCCAGGGGCAGCTTTCTTTTCGAATGGGATGTCGGCATTGTAGTCCATCTGCCCCTTCTTTCGGCTAACAACCTTGACGTTGATTCCGGCATTCTTGAGTTCGCGACGCTTTTGAAGCACAGCTAGTCTCCGAGACTCCTCTAGCTGGCGCTCTCGAGCCTTCCTCTTGGCCTTCTTTCCCTGTGTATTCGCCAAACGAGCACGCGCCTCGCTCAGCATCTCCTTTTCGTCCTCATCAAGATCTATCGTGTCGGGCCTGGCAGGTTTCGATTCTGGGTCGGGATCCACCTCGCCCGGTCGTAACTTTCGTACATCGTCCGCTGATGGCGCTTGTGCTTCACCACCTACCCCAGTGAGTCCCAAATCTCCAGCCTCTCTTTGTTCTGCTTCATCGAGTAGTTTCTGATATCGTTCCAAACATTGGTTCGCGGTTCTGCCGACGAGAGGAGCGAGCGTGCGCCATTGTGTCGGCATAAGCTTTGCCAGATGTAGGAGCTTTTCGTCTTCCTCCTTGCTCCATTCAACTTTCCGGATGCCGGGATCGAGCCATTCGCTCCATCGCGCTTTACATTGCTTTGGAGTCTTCCTGGCCAGGAGCGACGAGACTCGCGCCCATTGCTGTAATCCGTACTTCGACTAGTTATGAACGATTAGTTGACAAACTCCAAGGCAGGAATGCTGATGGGTGGCTTACGACCGACGCCTTCAAGATCTCGTCTTCGACGTTAGTCCAGACTCCTCCCTTGACGACAGGCATCGTGACGGTGGCGGTTGAGATATGGGCGGACGGCGTTGAGGGGTCGAGTGGTTGACCTCATCCAGCCTCATCACCAAAGTATCAAGTCGCGGAACCTTAGCGCGATGGTTATAATCACGTGAGTGTCAAATGCGGACTAGCAAAATTCGCCCGATTTAGCTTTTCTGGGGTAATGGCACGTGATATATATCCTCTGCTCGCTAACCATGCCTACAATTGTCTTTCTGTATAACATGCTTACAGAAAATCTTCTAATATGATAATCATTGCTTATAGTAGGCGGGGATCTCTATTTTCAGCTGCAGTTGCTATTCTCTCCAGGCTCTAGAAACAGATGCTCATCACGGCGATTCTGACGACTTCATGGAACAACACGGACGACTCTACAGAAGTCTGTATGAGACTGTCATAGAGTTCTAGATAATGGAATTGCTTTTTTTTGTTCAATTTCTCACTATCGGGTTTATCAAAATGCCCCATAATACTTATAGCAGCTAGCGATCATTGATTAACTTTTTGCTCGCACTTCCTATAGACTCATAAAACAGTCATTGAGTTGTCCCACAGCCCCTACTGACTTGAAAGTCCACGATCTTTTCTCATATCTTGTTGTTTACTCCAACCTTGTATTGGACATTTACCATGAAAAACGATGGCCCCGTGGCCACAACCTCTGAAAAATGCCGCAATGGATCGATTATATAATACTTCAACTAATCATTATACCTCTATACGCCTTGATGATGCTGATGAAGCGATTTTACAGCCTCGTTCATGGGAGCAGGCCAGTAGTGGCTCGTCAGCAGGCAGAATTCGGGCCAACCACGGGTCTACCCCGCCAACCACCCCACCATCACTACACGCCTTTGCCGGCGTCATCACCAAGGTTGTAAGCAGAAATTCAGCCTTCTTTGCTTGAAATAGCCAAAGGGGACAATTACGAAGGTCAAGCTAAGTAATGATTGGAGCTGTTAGAGCCGTTTGTGCGGCTTAGGTCAGGTAAGCCTTCCCCGCCTTCAAAGCTTCCATCGATCCTTAGCGGGACATACCACCAACCAGAAGACAATAAGGGGTTATATAGCCCAGACTACTCCCGATTGCTTCCCCATTGAAAGTCTTCAAGAAGGAGTTCGACTTCACTACATTCCACAATGTCATAAACGGAGACTTGAAGACCACCGAAACCACCCGCCATGCCATTAACCCCCACACCAAGAAACCCCTGGGTGAAGTTCCTCTCTCTACAGCCAAGGATGTCGACGACGCAATTGCAGCTGCGCGTGCCGCTTTCCCCAAATGGAAGAAGACCAGCTTCGAGGAGCGCGCTAAAGGTCTGAACGGCCTTGCAGCAACTATTTACGAATACCAACAGGGATTTGTCAAGCTCAACGGCTACGAGCTGGGAGCACCGGTTTCGATTGCCGAAATTCTTGTCCACATGGGCACCGGATGGTTGTCTGAGACTGCGAAGCTCCATCCCAAGGACGAAGTTGTTGAGGACACCCCAGAACGCGAAGTCATCGTCCGCTACTTGCCCCTCGGTGTTGCTGTTGGAATTGTGCCCTGGAACCTACCTCTTTACTGCACAGCCGCGAAGATAGCCGCCGCCATCATCGCTGGAAACTGCATCATCATCAAGCCCTCTCCATACCCCCCATACTCTGGCCTCAAGCTTGTCGAGATGGCCCTTCTGGAGTCGTCCAAGTCCTTAGTGGCGACGACAGCCTCAGCCAACTGTTGACCGAGCACCCAGGTGTCGATAAAATCTCTTTAGCTGGCTCCACCGCCACCGGAAAGAAGGTCATGGAGTCGGCCTCCAAGCCCCTAAGAGAGTCACGCTCGAACTTGGTGGAAACAACGCAGCGATCATCACTAAGAACATCGACGTTGCCACGATTGCTCCCGCGCTCGCCGGCGTTATATTCAGCCACTCGTCTCAAGTTTGCCTTGCTATCAAGAGGCTCTATGTCCACGAAAGCATTTTCGAGGAGTTCCGTGATGCCTTGGTAGCTGCCGTCTCAAGGCGTTCAAGCTTGGCGAGGGCGTTGGCGAGGGCGAGAACGACCCAACTGTAAATATCGGACCAGTCCAGAACGAGATACAGTATGAGCGTGTCAAGGGATTTTTCAATGATATCGAGAAGGAGGGATGGAAGGTGGCCGTTGGCGGCAAGATTGACGAGAGCCCTGGTTACTTCATTAACTACTGTCATTGATAGGCCTAAGGAGGACTCACGTATTGTGGTCGAGGAGCCATTTGGTAAGGGATTCTTTTACGCTCCTGGAGTAGTAACATAGGTCAGTACTAACTAGTACAGGCCCAATTCTCCCAATCTTATCGTGGTCCGATGAGGACGATGTCATTGCTCGCGCGAACAACAGCAGGATGGGTCTTGGAGGGTCTGTGTGGTCTATTGGTTAAGTTGAGGCACGCCGCATTGCAGAGCAAATCGAGGCGGGCTCCGTGTGGGTTAACTCCCACATGGAAGTCACCTCGAACTTCCCATTCGGTGGACACAAGGACAGTGGCATCGGCTACGAGAACGTCCTAGGCGGAGTCAAGGCCTACTGTAACGTGCAGACCTTGTACTTGAAGAAGTAGTTCATAGGGATAGCTAAAATCCAAATTGAGAAATAAATCCCATTTTTACATCATTTCAAAGAAATTGAATCATATAATTAATATATCCTCGCCAGCTAACACCGTGGCCTTGTGTTCTACTTACAATTTCGAGTCATTTACAAATTTACTTGGGCTGCGAAGAAGCTCATATGCTTGATCGACCATTTCCCGCACAATGTCTCCAGCAGGTTGGTTCAACTGTGTGACGAGGCCACCCACGTACCCCATAGGCCTAAGATCGAAATTTAGTCAGCAAGTATTCTTATGCCATATGGCACATCGATAGGGACAACTTACATGAAGGTAGCCTGATCCTCGATCTCCGCTGTCGACTTCCCCTCTTTATCATACTTCTCAAGCTCCCACTGGAGGGGCACAATCCCCTTTCCAAGCAGCTCTTTAATCTCCCCCTGGCGATTCTCTTCCCAGTTCTTAATATACGGCGTGGCATAGTGCCTCACCGGGCGTCCCGTGAAGATCGTCGTCTTGATGACCTGGTCGAAGCCCGCCTGAACAAGCGTCTGCTTGTTGTGCTCCGACGCCCCCGACTCCTTCGACGCCACGAACCGCGTACCCACCCACACAGCGCTCGCACCCAGCATCAGCGCCGCCGCCAAACTACGTCCGTCAAAGACACCACCACCGGCAGCGAGGTAGACAGGTTGGCCCGTCAGCGGCGATCTGTACGACTTAATCGCGTCGGCGACAGCGGGGATGAGCACGCTGAAAGGGATGTCGCCGGTGTGTCCGCCTGCCTCGCCGCCCTGGGCGACGATGATGTCGGCGCCGATCTGGCAGGCCTTGTGGGCGTGTTTAGGATGGCCGACCATGTTGGCGTAGAGGACGCCAGCTTTGTGGAGTTTCTCGACGACGGCTTTGGGGGGGACACCGACGGCGCAGACGAAGACTTTGGCGCCGCCTTCGATGATGACATCGATGAGCTCGTTCAACTTGCCTTTTGCGTAGTCAACCTGCCTACTACGTTAGAAGGTGTTCGGTTCAATGAGTTGGCCTCGGCAAATTTACGTTGGTTTTCCGAGCGTTTCCGCCAACTTGAGGGATGAGGAGGTCGACTCCGAATGGGGCGTTCTTGTCTACCAGGAGGCTCTAGATGGGTATTAGAACTATAACCAAGTATCAATTCAAATGAGACCAGCCTTGAGCTCATCGATCATCTCCTTCAACTGGTTTGGAGAATATCCAACCCCGCCAATGACGCCAAGTCCACCAGCATTGGAGACCGCAGCTGCCAACGGCGCTCCTGAGGTCTTCCCCATCCCGGCTAGGAATATGGGGTGCTGGATATTCAACAGCTTCGTGAGGGGCGTAACGAGCGACATCTTGGTTTACGATAAAAGATAAAAATAAGAGTTATGGTAGTTACAGGTATTTAATTCTTTTATTTGGACATTGTGAGAGGAGCTCCCAAGGTAGATGGTATATATATGGCTACTCGACGGCTATCATAATATGGGGTAACGATCCTCTTGCCGAGTTGGTCGCATTGCTAGGATTGAGTCCACCCAAGCTGCCACTGAACATAGGTGACCTGAACATGGGGTGTAGCCTCGGTTGACCCAGAAATGCTCCACTTATTAGTTGGGGGGTGGTCCGGGAAGCACAAGGAAGCATGCGCGGGGCATATGTTATCAACGCATTTTAGTACCAAATTGGACACCGTAAATAGTTTATCTATCTGATACAAATCCTACGATTATACGACAACGCTCTCGAATATGGCGGTTTTACAGCTTGCTCGGCACCCACTCAGGCTTCTTCTTCTGCGCGAACGCAACCAGCCCGATTTTCATATTCGGGGCAGTGCCCAGCTGGTAATCATATCTATCCGACGTAATCTGTGTGGCTCTCTCAACACTGCCTGTCTCCCATGCCTCACGCAGTCCGCTTCTCGTCACGATGATGGCGTCGGGCGAGAGATTCGAGATCTTCGCGGCGAGCTCCAGGCTTTCTGTCATGAGAGTGCTAGGGGATTTTGCTACCCTGTTGATAAGACTGTATTTCAGAGCTTCTTCAGCCGTAAGCCGGCGACCTGTCATCGCAATCTCCGAAGCGATTTGAAGGCCACAGTTGCGGACGACACGGGGCAGTCCACCAGCAGCGGCGTACAGACCGACTGACGCCTCTGGTAGTCCAAACGACGCAGTTGGGGAAGCTACAACAAGATCACTATCGACTCGTTAGCTTTTGCCTAAAGTACAGAATGAGGTTCCTAACCAGTTAAGCGTGATCTCGAACCCTCCTCCCAGTGCGAACCCATTAACAGCAGCAATAACCGGCTTCTTCCCAATTCTCCTGCTCAGGCCCGCAAACCCTGTCCTAGGGTGCTTCATGGATGACGCTGGTGGTCGGTTGACCTTGAACTGGCCCTGCTCGATGAGATCCTGACCAGCGCAGAAGGCCTTCGGGCCCGCGCCGGTAATAATTGCGACGCGAAGGCTGGGCTCATGGTCGAACCATTGGAAGAACGCGTCCATCTCCCAGTGGCCCTGCGCGTGAATGCAGTTCATGACTTTTGGGCGGTTTATTGTGAGGAGGACAACATGTTGAGCTGGGTAGCTCACAAGGTACGCGTCAGAGGTTGGGGGTTGGGATTGTAAGGTTGCCATGGTTAATTGAGGAAGCTGGTCGAGGTATCGATGAATATGATGCTGGGAGAGTTGAATTAGACGCCGATTCCAGAATTCAAGACAATTAATTAGCTATACTAGTTAGTCTTGAAGCTCCTCCCTCGGTAATAGCTTGGATGTGATGGGCTTTGGCACACATTAACTCCTCGGCTCGGCTCGGCTGGATCTGACCCCAATACTGGCACAACGGTCTGGCCTACGCAATTTCCCCACAGTTGTGGTAATCCGATCACCGTAATCAGTCTCTTCGGGCAAAGCTTCACAGTAGAGTACAGTAAAATATAATATAGATCAAATTGAATTACTACCTAATCTACGGGCCTACGTACGCTATTTGTGCCTGGGGAAAACCCCCAAAACCACCCTGACGAGTTGAGCTTTCTGAGCTCAGCTGAGCCTGAGTCAGTGGCTCCCAATCGCAGCCCACCGCCGTATCCCACGGGAATGTCCGTTTCCCCCAACACCCACTGGCATCCACGCCATTTATCTGATCCAAGCTGATAACTATGAGATATAATAACGAAAATGCATGTGGGTTATTCAATTTTAGTTTAGGGATAAGGAGGTATGCATCATTGCGAAAACCATGCTTTTGACCATGCCGCCCCCTCGCTATGGTCGTGAGAAACTACAAAGGTGAGAAATGATAAGCCTGGCTATGCAATCATTTGAATTGTAGGATAACATAGCATTAATTTCCATTTGGGTCAATTTTATGACAGAGGAAGGTAGGTACGCTTTTATCGATGAAGCATGCTTAGTTGGTAGCTGCAACTATTGTCCACGTCTATTGCCCTTGCACCAGCCACAGTAGGCTTTCTACCCCCCTTCGCTTTTCCAAATACACCAGAATGATCATATCGGATCCTGAAACTACTACCTTTAGTCATTTCAAGAATGAATCCATTTTGCGGCAATTTCCTATGGGTCTGACGGTTGCTGCTTCTGCCTCTTTGGTTCTGGCCCGTCCTCTGTCGATGGCTCTGCCTTTGGAACCTCTGGTAGATCATCAACGGTTGTGTGGGACTCGGAAAGGTTTTCAGAAGCACCACTGATGGCCGTCTGTCCGGCTCCAACAACTCCCGCTTTCTCAGCTTTGTCGCTGTCTTCAGCCTGTTTGCTCTCGTTGGCTTGGTCTCCTCCCTTCAAATCTTGCTCTGCTGGTGGAAAAGCCTGGCTATTATATATCAGTAAATCGCACTTGGACATCAAATGAAGTGACTTACGGAACCCAATCGTTGTATGCATTGACATCCTTCACCTCAAATGTGCAAAAAATGACCCTGTCGATCTTATCTCCGGAAGCACCCTCCAGGAACCCTCTCACAGCCTTAGTTGCAACAGACGCAGCATCTTGGCTTGGGTAGCCGTAAACACCAGTACTGAGACCGCTAAATACAACACTCTTGCAGTCATTATCAACTGCCAACTGAAGGCTTGTCGTGTAGCAGCTAGCCAGCAACGCAGCGCTCTTTTCACGGTCTAACCTCGAGTAAACCGGACCAACGGCGTGAATAACTTTCTTGCAAGGCAACTCATAAGCACCAGTAATCTTTGCACTGCCAGTTTTACATCCACCTAGAGTGCTGCATTCCTGCAAGAGGCCGGGGCCAGCTGCAGCGTGAATTGCTCCGTCGACACCGCCTCCTCCGGCTAGATACTTGTTGGCTGCATTGACGATAGCATCAACCTGGAGTCTCGTGATATTGCCGCGAAAAATGGAAACCTTATTGTTGAGGAAGTCCGATGGCGTTACGGAAGTGCTAGTCTCGGTCGCTAGGGGTGAGAGCTTCTTGAGCTGGTATAGCTGCGCAACGGTTGGAATATCAGAGAGTTGCGTCGCCATCTTGGCTGTTGAAAATATCGAGGATAGACGTTTGGAAAGATATGATGTTAACATCAAAGGGGGTGGATATTTATTTTCTAACTCGAGGTTGAATAGGACAAAGAATAGTGGTTAACAAAGAATAGCGATAATGAACTGACGAATTGGGCAATAACAATCCCCAAGGCACAGTACTTTCAGGTCCGTGCGAGGAAGGCGCAGCAACCGTATCTCGTTCGGGTAACGTACGGAGGTGTTGTTCATAAGTTTTGTGAGTGGGTCGGGCTAGGGCCCCCTGCGTAGGCTGGTTTGGCAATTCTGGCCAAAGTACCGATTCTCACGCGTCACGAACACTTGAGTGTGAGAGCAATCAATTCTGTAGAATAATGAGTAGAGTAGATACCTAAACCCCTATATAAAACTATACTATAAGCCTAGTACTCTGTGTGCATACCATTTGCAGCAATTACTGCTGCCATACGTGTAGGCATACTATTAAGGAGAGCATTAAGCTCAGCTTCTCCAACTTGCTCCCATGCTTCCTTAACAGCTACACGGAGCTGGTCGTAGGACATATGTTCTGGATGATTATCTTGTAGATAATTCTTCATAATATGCCACACCCGTTCAATTGGGTTGAGATCTGGTGAATACGGGGGCCATTCTATAGGGCAAATACCACGGGATCTCAACTCTTCATATGTTGCAGCTGCTCTATGACCTGGAGCTCCATCTTGCATCAATGTAAGGCCTGGGTATAGGCGTAGCCAGCCGTGGATTAGAGGGACAGTATGAGCCATATAGGACTCAGCTCCTATTTTCCCATATTCCTTCTCCCAAAATAGTATAGGACCCTTTCCAAGACCACCTGAGAAGCAGCCCCAGAACATCCAACCTCTAGGGATTGTTAGTAAATCCTATAGTAAATAGGAGTCTCTTACCTTCTCCGTTGTACTCTATCTACAACACATGTATCATCCCACATTTCCCCTGCTTTTCGAGTAACCCATGTACGAGTATGGCGGCCTCCCGTTACCCACGTCTCGTCATCCAAAGTATCCTATTCCAATCATTCCGTACCCAATCCTTATGTTCAATAGCCCATGAAAGTCGCTTTTGTCGATTTGTCTCTGAGATAATAGGCTTCCGCATAGCAATCCCTTAATAATTATTAGTCTATATAGTAGTAAAGTAGAGAGGGATACTTACGTCGATTATAGCCTCTCACAGACAGAGCGCGGGTTAGGACAAGCCGTGAGCATGGAATATTAAGAATGCGTATTATATTTGTATATGGCATACACCTATTCGTGCGAGATGAGGCTATAAACTAAATAACCTCTTGAACTTGCTCATCGGATAGGATAAGTGGCCTACCCGAACGCTTCTTCGGAGTTGGAGGGCCCTGGCAAGCATACCAAGCCTGCCGTTCCGTGCAGCCAATATAGGCTGCAATTTTTTGGAACTCCCAATCTAGGGAGCATAGTAGTGCGCAACGAAGCCGCTCATCGCGAGTAAGATGAGGCATTGTAGTTATTGAAAGAGTATGAATTTCCTACATATAAAATACAATAGTAGGAATTTTGACGCGTTAAAAAGGTACAAACAAGCCTACGCGTGCCCATGCTCCAACCCATGCCCAACCCCCGGTCATCTCATGACCCACTTACAAAACTTATGAACAACACCTCCGTAAGTCGTGGCGTAAGTGTTCTAGTGGCGTACGTGTCCTATTTCGTGAGGACTACCAACTTCAAACTCAAATTACCTAACGTCTACTATAATACAGTCCTCGTCCTCACTTTCAATTGCATCTAAGGCTTCATCTTCAACATCCTCCTCACTTTCAGCTTCATATAAAGCACCTTACTCCTTTTTCTGCTCTTTTTACCTACAGGCTTTTTTGTAGCTTTTTTAGCCTCTATGTCATACTGACATTCGTTGCACTCAGTTTGCTATCAAACTCGAGAGCAAACTTAGAAATCTCCTCCTCAAACCTACAAGTCACTATACATATTTTGGCTTATCACACCAACAACAAGAGCAATACTACTCAATGATTGCTACAACCCTCTATGATTCATTACACGTCATCACTCATTAGTTACTGGGCCGATATTACCACAACCCTCTATGATTCATTACATGACATCACTCCTTAGTTACTGGGCTAATACTACTACATGACATATCTCTATCAACTAGAGGCCTAGGAACATGAACGATAGCTCCAAAAGCTTCTACAACCATCTATGATTCATTACACGTCATCGCTCCTTAGTTACCCACAAGATTGGTTAAGTTATGACATAATTTGTCTATAGGTACTCTGACCTTGGACCTCCTTTTCACTTCCTATAGGCTAGGAACCCAAGAGATGGTTCTATGGGATTCTCTTACGTTGCAAGCTAGTTGTGGGTCGCACTTGATTTCTAATACATTTACCAAGCTGTAACGCTGACTTCTAAATGATAGAAGACACAGAGGTTTCTTGCGTAAGGTTGACTTGACAGAGGAGGCAGGGGATTAGACACAAAGGCTTTCCAAGTAACACGTTACAGTATTGTAAAGAATACTATATTGAGTTGAGCACGAAGCTCCTATCTAAGGAAATACTATCTACTTATATAGTGGCGTCGTGCCTCATGGGTAATCTGGATAGTTGGCGGATAGCTAGATATTCAGGATAGTTCGTGGATAGCTCAACTATCCAATATCCACTAGTTTCTGCAACTATCCATTAGCCCCGTCACATGGCAGCCTACCCCGCTTGCCACCTGTGACTCACATGTCACGTTACTAGGCCCTGGTCCTGTAACCATGATGTCACATTACTAGGCCCTGGTCCTGTAACCATGACGTCACATTACCGTAGCCGTAACACAAGCCTGGTTAGTCATGGAAAGTCATGGAAAATGAGAGAACTACACTCCTTTGGCAAAAATAGGATTGCCCTTTCCTTAAGAAAGGGCAAGCAGACAATACAGTAAATCGACTATCACATACTTCTGTTACGATGGTCACGGAGGTCAAGAAGCCAGTCCGGAGAATAATAAGCTAGATTGAATCTAAAGAGAGAAGAAGAAGAAGAAGGAAGGAAGGTGAGGCTATTCCTCGTAATATACAGTTGTCTGCTTAGCGGTTGTAGCCTTGGTGGCTAAGGCTGCAACCGTAACAACCATAACAACCATAACAACCATAACAACCATAACAACCATAACAACCATAACAACCATAACAAGCTGTAAGCTATAATCGTAACAACCATAACAACCATAACAAGCTGTAAGCTATAATCGTAACACTACCCCCCCCCTACTAAGATTGATCTCCTGATCAAGAGTAAGATCATTGTGGCTTCTGTGGGTATTTTTGGTGGAAAGCTTGTGTGAGTTCAGGTGCATTGTTGAAGTTTGTAGCGGGATACCAAGTGTTGTCTGGTGGGTGGTTCTTCCATGCTGCCATATAGAACAGCTTCTTCCATGCTGCCATATAGAACAGCTTCTTCCATAGGAATTTAGAATCTAGGATTTCTTCAACTTCCCATTCAAGTTCATCTTCTATAATGATTGGCAGGGGTGGTTCATGGTGCTGGCCTTGTAAAGCATCACCTGAGTCAAGTCGTAAGAGGTTGCTGTGAAAGACAGGATGTATCTTCATGCTTGGTGGTAGCTCTAATCGATATGCCACTTGCCCAATTCGTTCGAGAATCTTAATACGGACCAACTTGCTTGTGATTGAGTTTCTTTGATGGCCTCTGAGTCCTGATATTTCGTGTAGATAGCCATACTTACCTGATATCTTGGTGCAGCTTTCCTGCGTTGATTTGCAAATGTCTCCATGCGAGTTTGCGAGAGTGCGATTTGGTCTTGCAGAAATTCCCAAATATCTTTCATGCTTTGTATCATATCCTTGTGTTCCTGTGGCGCTATTTGGAACTCGCTGTTCTTAATATCAAAACTCATTCTTGGCTCGAAGCCCTTATTTTCAAAGAATGGGCTGATTTTTGTAGAGTCTGAAGGTAGAGCATTTGCTGCAAATTCTGCCATGCAAAGATATTCGACCCAGTTGTCTTAGAGATAGTTAACATGAGCTCGTAAATATCGTTCAAGTTCTGCATTGAACCTCTCAGTTTGCCCATCCATTTCTGGGTGGAAGGCAGTAGACAATTTTGTTATAACTTTCCAAACTTTGCAGAGGATTTTCCACACTGCAGCCACGAACTGGGGGCCTCTGTCTGAGATGATCGAATTTGGTAAACCATGGTGTTTTCATACATGTCGAAGGAGTAGCTGTGCTGTTGCTTCTGCAGTTGTGCCTTCTTGGCCTGCAAAGCATGGGATAAAATGGCGTTCTTTTGTAAGTCAGCATGCTACGACAAGGATAGCATTGTTTCCTTCACACAATGGCAATCCTGTAATAAAGTTGAGTGATATGTCCTGCCACGGCTGGCTGCCAACAGGGATTGGTTGAAGAAGTCAATTATAAGCATCTCTTGTAGGTTTTGATCTTTTGCAGATATGGCAGTTCTTGATGTATTGTATAATTGTCTTATCCATCTGGGGCCAGTAATACTATCTTTTGATGACCCGAATCATCTTCCCAATGCCAGGGTGTCCCATTGCTGGTTGGTCATGAATTTCTTGTAAGATTTGGACATGAGCACTTTCTGGAACCCAGACTCTATTATGATAATATAAGAGCCCTTCCTTCACCTCGCAATATGCTAGAGCTATGTCTGGACTGTTTCGTTCTCCATTTAAGCTTCTGAATAGTGTCTTTGCATAAGCTGTCTTGAAGTTGTGCAGTTTGGATTTTGTCTAGAATACTTGCTTCCTGTAGGTGAACTGGCGCGAGTTGGATGTCTTGATTCACCTTAGCATCTTAGAATTTCCTTATCTCTTGGAGGTCTGGATGGAGTCTCTTGAGTGGTAGCAGGGTTTGAAGCTGTTGTTTTTGGTGGTCATCTTCTTCGTTCCCTTCTGGTCTATCTCCTGGTCTTCGAGTTAATGCATCTGCTTTTCCATTCTGTTTCCCAGGTCGATATATGATTTGAAAGTTAAACCTTGACAGAAACTCAGCCCATCGAGCTTGCCTTCGAGTAAGTTTCTTTGTTGTCATGAAGTATTCAAGACTCTTGTGATCTGACAAAACTTGGACTGGCATTGCTGTGCCCTCGACTTCTGGTCTCCATGCTTCGAAGCATCTGATGATGGCGAGTAACTCCTTGTCATAGATTTCGTAATTGCATTCTGCAGCTGCCATCTTTTTTGAGAAGAATGCAACTGGATGTAGGATTCCCTTGTCATCTTTCTGTGACAGTACCCCTGAGGAAATAAAATCTGAGGCATCAGCTTCAACATAGGCTGTCTTCTCTCTATCGAAATATCGTAAGACTGGGGCTTCTGTGACAGTCTTTTTCAGAAGTGCTGACATGCTTCTGTCCATTCGAAGACATGGTCTTTTTTCGTTAAGTTGACGAGTGGTTTCATGATGTTTGAATAGTTCTTGATAAATCTTCAATAGAACACACAGAATCCGATAAAAGCTTGCGTGTCCCGTAATGATTTTGGTGCTTTCCAATCGAGTATAGTGTTCACCTTTCCAGGATCCATGCAAATTCCATTAACTCCAATGATGAGTCCTAAGAATTTTGTCTCTTGAACGAAGAATTCACATTTTGCTATATCTGCTTGTAGTCCTGCTTCTCGAAGCTTTTGTAGAACCATTTTGACATGCTTAACATGTTCCTCCTTACTTGTGCTATAGACAAGAAGATCGTCCATGTATGCAGTGATGAATTTGTTTATGTATTCCATTAATGTTTCATTCATATATCGTTGGAATGTTGCTGGGCCATTCGTAAGTCCAAATGGGAGAACTTTGTATTTGTATGATCCAAATCGAGTTTTGAATGTTGTCAGATCTTCGTCCTCCTCTGTCTGCATGCGAATTCGATTAAAGGCATGTCTAATATCAATCTTTGTAAGATATTTGGCACTCGTGATTTGAGCCAATGTTTCATCAATGAGGGGAAGTGGGTATGAGTCTTTCCTTGTGATTGCATTTAGTTTGCGATAGTCTACGCAAAATCGAAGTCCACCTCCTGGTTTGCGTACAAATAACACAGGTGAGGCAAATGGTGCTTTGCTAGCTTCAATGAATCCTTTGGTAAGATTGTCCTCCACGTATTTCTTTACAAGATCAAGCTCTTCTCGAGACATGTTATAGAGTGGTGCATGCCCTAGTTTTGAGTTCCCTTCTAACACAATGTGATGGTCTGCATATCTGTGAGGCGGGAGCTTGTCTGCAGCCTGTTTTGAGAACACATCGAGATTTATGGAACTCCTTTGGGAGGATCAGTTTTGGGTCGATTTCTTTCGTTTCCTCCTTTGCTTGTTCAGCGAGTATATCTTTAAATGATACTGTAAAAACCTTAACTCCTTTCTGCTTCTGAAGCATATTGAATGGTGCAGCTCCAATCATTGTAACAGTGCATTTGTTCTTGTTATAGAGGTTGGAGGGCTGGCTTCGGAGCTTCTTTATCTTGTATTTCCTTCTCAGCGTGGGGACTTGTAGTTTTCACTTTTAAAGTGTCTGTTGGTGTAGTGTGCTGGCAGTGACCCTTTGTAAAGATGACTTGGTCGTTTACCATATTGAGTGTGACTCCATGCTGCTTCATCCAAGCTTTCCCAAGAATGATAATGTTTCCCAAGAGTAGTAATGAATAGAGGGCATAGACTTTCAACGTGATCTCCAATTTGTAGTCGAGGGTATATAGCATGTGTAACTGTAGGTGCTGCAACTCCATTATATCCTTCGATGTTCTTTGGTTTTATAAGTTGGATAGGAGAGATGTTCTCAATTTCACAAATTTGTTTTGCGTCGACAGCATTCACAAAGCTTCCACCTGTTGCACCACTATCCATTAAGGCTTGCATGACAATTTGATTCCTTCCTATTCTGCAGGTAGCTAAGAATGTAGTGTCATAGTCGAAATGGGATAATGATGAGGCAGAGGAGGCAATTCTTGCTGTAGAACCTCTAGTGACATCTTTTCTAGAGGCTATTCTTTTCCCGACTCATACTGGGTAGGATCCTCAGTATCAGAGATCTCATTGAGTCTGCCTTTCTGTTTCTGAGGGCAGTCATGAGCACGATGGCCGCTTTCGTGGCAATGGAAGCATTTGCCAAGCTTCATGAGCGATTCTTTCTCAGGATCTTGGTGGGGAGAGCGGTAGAGCTTCTTCTGTGGTGCCACTATTTCAACAGCAGTACTAGCAGTAGGGCTCTGGCCACTCTGCTTCTGGTAGGCGAACGGCTGTGGCTTCATTCTCTTCTCCTTTTCTTGAATTCTCTGTAGGTTTTGGTCCACAAGCATGCATTTCTTTGCGAATTCATGTAGGGTGGTAGCTCCCACTTCTGCAACAAGGGCTTTCTGCATGCCTTGGTTGATTTTAAATCAGAGATCATCAAGCAAGGTCTCTTCTGAGTAGTCCAGCTCTGCAGTGAGTCTCTGGAATTCAGCCCAGAATGTTGTGAAGGTATTCTTGCCTTGGTATAACTTGCGATACTCAGTTTGTGCAGTGTGTCTCCTATCGGGGTCGCTAAACACTTTCTCAAGGAGTTGGAGGATTTCTTCTGCTGACTGAAGCATGTTTGGTGAGGTAATGCGAAGCCTTGGGTTCACATGGCGAACTGCGAGTCCTCCTAGTCTGCTTTGGAGATAACTCATCTGCATCTTGTCATTTGGGAAGTGGTCGATGTTGGCTTCCAGCTTGAGTCGGATCTTCACAACCCAGTCTTCAAAAGCTGGTTCAATCCCATCCATAAGAATAGGAGGATCCGGAATGCGAGCAGACTGGTGAGGTGCTGCATTGCGAATAGGAGCTGTATTCTCAAGATATTTTTGAATGCCTTGCAGTTCAGTAATCTTTTCATCCTTGTCTTGAATTTCTTCTTGGAGCTGTAGAATAGCATCATTTCGCTCTGCAATAGTAGCATCAGAAGCTTGACCGACGATGAGGTAGTCCTTCATAATGGCTTTCAACATTGACCAGGCGTACTCTTGGCTGCTAGGTGACAGCTTTTGGAATTCAGTGTAGGTGTTGACATTCCAATTCCTCATCTGGTGGCCGTTTGATAGTATAGACTGGTGTCTTTCTTGAGCTGTTTTGCCCATCCTCTTGAAATCTTCTTGGGCTTCGAGGAAGTCATCTTGAAGTTCATCTCTTTTCTCAGACTCATCTGCCAATGTTGTTTTCTCATTTATAGACTCATAGTCTTCTGGGTTTCGGTCAGCCATCTTGGCTTTTTCTTTGGCTGTGTGTGCCATAGCAGCTTTGCTATTCTTTCGGTTTTCGTATTCAGTAAATCAGACTCGTATCGCCAAAGGCCCTATTGTGCAGTTTGTCGACTGTTGGAGCCACTTGAGAGGAGCGCACTTCCCTCACAGCTATATTCCTTGTCGAGCGAGCATTGTGAAAGGTCTGATCTATGAAGTCTGTGGTGTTCTGGTGTTTCTGGTGTGTTCTGTGGTGTTCTGGAATCGACTTTAGGATATGGTTATAGGGTTTCCAAAGAAGGGAATTCAAATTTCAGTATCAAGGTTCAGGCTCAGAGAGCAAAAGAAAGGTGAGATTCAATCTTATGTTACGATGGTCACAGAGGTCAAGAAGCCAGTCCGGAGAATAATAAGCTAGATTGAATCTAAAGAGAGAAGAAGAAGAAGAAGGAAGGTGAGGCTATTCCTCGTAATATACAGTTGTCCCGCTTGGCGGTTGTAGCCTTGGTGGCTAAGGCTGCACCCGTAATAACCGTAACAAGCTATGAGCTATAATCATAACAGGTTAAGTGCTAGGGTGCAATGGTTCGAAAACGCGGCATCAGTTGACATAGATTTCATCTGCAATATCCCATAATATACCATGGCTAGGTGTGTAAGGATGCCTTCTCGTCTCTCACTCTAAGGAGCAGACTCTGAGTAGCTGCAGGTCACATGTGATCATTTGGGTGGGCTAACTGAGTCGGATGGGTTTCGGGTACTTGAGGGAATTGACTCATGGGGTTCCCCCTGGGTGTGATCATTTGGGTGGGCTAACCGAGTCGGATGGGTGGGTACTTGAGGGAATTGACTCACGGGGTTCCCCCTTCATCTTTTTTGTATCCTTCGTACTAGACCTATAGGATAGCATCTGTTTAGCCTCCGACTCGCACTCTCATATGCTATTACTGTGAGCTGGGTGCCCTGTGTCCTTACAAGGTGCATATCCACTATTTGTTAGCACTTTAATCCACTTTAAAAGCGTCTGTTCTTACATAGGTGATAACAATTGCTATTGTTGTTAGGCTTGTTGCTATAATGGTTGTCCTTTAACACGTTAAAGGACTGTGTCTAGCTAGAGTTGTAAAGCTTTTGTAGCACTATACGAAGATTTGTACAAGCTAGATTTAACTCTAACAACAGCTTCTGCTAATAAGACTTCAAGTTCCTAAGTGTAATGGTGTATGCACCAGATGTGAGAATCCAGCCACCCAAGGAAGGGGATGATTTTACTAAGACAACACACCGTCTTAGGAAACAGAGCCAAAGGGTTGTAGCTTAGACTATTCCACAATGCAGCAATCAAGTGTATGATGTAGTGGAGTGGTTTAGACAAGTTGTACAAATGTTGAGTCTGAGAACTCAGGGATAAGTCAGAGGTTAGCACCTCACTGACTTTTCAGAAACAAGGAGTAACAAGATCAATGCTTGGAAGCTTGGAAAAGACGTGGAAGTTGTTACGATTATAGCTTACAGCTTGTTATGGTTGTTATGGTTGTTATGGTTGTTATGGTTGTTATGGTTGCAGCCTTAGCCACCAAGGCTACAACCGCTAAGCGGACAACTGTATATTACGAGGAATAGCCTCACCTTCCTTCTTCTTCTTCTTCTCTCTTTAGATTCAATCTAGCTTACTTTTCCCAGACTGGCATCATGACCTCCGTGACCATCGTAACATAACCTACATAACACAAACAGATCCCTAACTTTCCCCTTAGGCAAGAGTGGGTTCCACGCTTTATAAAACAACATCTGCATTTAAAAAACACCTCGCAACTACACTCTCACACTTAAACGAAGCGCAACTCACGAAAGCAGAAAGCTGAATGGTTATCTACGTACATCAAAGCGAGAGCGAGTGCGCTATCTACTCATAATATTAAATCTGCGTAGAGAGGCGGTAGCCTGCGAACCTTGACGGGTGATCCGGATGGTGACGCTTCCACAGACAGATGCAACAGATGACCGACCAAAAATACCAACTGAGTACGATATTTTTGACGCTGTCTTTTAGAACAGCAGTCAGCCTGACTGTTATATACTGCGCAAAGCAAATGCTGTCTTGGTTGCGGCTTTAGAGACACGTACAATCCTAAATACGGCTACTACTCGATATATCCGTCGGTTGGCAGATGAGACCGCGCGTCTTAACACACGCAACTTCCTACACTAACGCGAAACCGATAACCTACGATCAATAATACAAACACGACGAGCACAGAGCAAAGGGAAACGGCCAGTTTAATGGGCAAATTTCATATTACTACAGAGGAATTACGCTCCTAAGTCATTCGGCCTCCCCCACTATCCCGGTTACGCCGTTTACGCCATGACTTACGTTAACACGTTTGAGTACGGAAACCTTATTAAGCCCTAATGCTTTTTGTTGGACTCCTAAAGCAGTTTCAGTAAGCTTAGTATCAAGTTCAAGCGCGCGCGTTTGCACTTATTTACTGCAACACTTACGCCACGAGAACACTTACGCCACAACTTACGTTATCGAGCGACAAGGCTGAAGCGCGGGGCAATGAGATCGTCGGAACATTTCTGAGTCAACAAACGAGGGGTCCCACCGATAAAGCAAGTCAACGTCGCTCAAAAACAAAAATCTCACAACAGGTGTCGCAAACTACTTTGTGTTGTCAGCACGCATTTTTGGTACAACAACACACGTCGTAACGATTATACCGAGCTATTGACGTCATGGCGGACGCAATTACAGAAGGAGCAGCGAAACTCCAGCTCGATGAGGAGACGGGCGATATGGTCTCGAAGGGCGAGCTGAAGAAGAGAGTAGCAAAGCGGGCAAAGAAAGCAGCGACAGCTAAGGCAAAGAGTGAAGCTCCTCCAAAGGCAGCAGCAGCTCCAAAACCCGCCGCCGAAAGGAAGGAGGACGTCCCAGTCGACATCAACGCCATCTTCAAAGAAGGATTTCTCGACCGTGTCTACAAGGAGCGCCCCGTAAAAGATGTCTACACTCGTTTCCCACCTGAGCCAAACGGATACCTCCACATTGGACACGCAAAAGCTATCGCTATCAACTTTGGATTTGCGCGTTTCCACGGAGGCCAATGCAATCTGCGTTTCGACGATACGAACCCCGAGGCCGAGGAGGAGGTCTACTTCACCGCGATCAAAGAGATAATTTCATGGCTAGGCTTCACACCCGCAAAGATCACCCACTCGAGCGATAACTTTGAGCGCCTATACGAACTCGCTGAAGAGCTCATCCGCCGCGAGAAAGCCTACGTGTGCCACTGCTCCGACACAGAGATCAAGCTCCAGCGTGGCGACGAAGGCAAGCGTCCGCGTTACCGCTGTGAGCACGCCGAGCGCGACATCGAAACTAACCTTACCGAGTTCCGCGCCATGCGCGCCGGCAAGTATGCGCCCAAGACCGCCTTCCTACGCATGAAGCAGGACATCACAGATGGCAACCCACAAATGTGGGATCTAGCCGCCTACCGCGTTCTCAACGCAGAGCACCACCGCACTGGGGATGCATGGAAGATCTACCCCACCTACGACTTTACGCACGGTCTCTGCGATTCCTTCGAGGGCATCTCCCACTCCCTCTGCACGACCGAGTTCATCCAATCCCGCGTCTCCTACGAATGGCTCAACAAGTCCCTCGAAGTGTACGAGCCCATGCAGCGCGAGTATGGCCGTCTCAGCATCTCCGGCACCGTCCTCTCCAAGCGCAAGATCGCGCGCCTCGTCAACGAAGGCGTTGTGCGCGGCTGGAACGATCCGAGGCTGTACACCCTGATCGGCATCCGCAGGCGCGGTGTCCCCCCCGGAGCCATCCTCGAGTTCGTCAACGAGCTCGGCGTCACGACAGCAGGAACCACCATCCAACTTGCGCGCTTCGACCAGACCGTGCGACGCTACCTCGAGCGCTCCGTCCCACGTCTAATGCTCGTCCTGACCCCCCTCCGCGTCGAGATCAGCGACGCCGAGCCCACCGACCTCGTCATCCCCTTCTCCCCCAAAGACGCCGCGATGGGCACACACACCCTCCACCTCACGAAGACGGTGTTCATAGATGCCTCCGACTTCCGAACCGAGGACAGCAAGGGGTACTTCCGCCTCGCGCCTGGAAAGTCCGTTGGGCTGCTTCAGCTCCCCTTCCCTATCAAATGCACATCCTTCACCCTCGCCGAGGACGGAAAGACAGTCTCCTCCGTCTCGGCTGAATACGACCGCAGCGGCGCGAAGCCGAAAACTTATATCCAGTGGGTCCCCGAGGACTCGCGCAAGGTGGAGGTGAGGATGTATAACCAGCTCTTCAAGAGCGAGAAGCCGGATGAGGTCGAGGGCGGGTTCATGAAGGATGTTAACCCGGAGAGCGAGACGATTTATGCGGATGCGCTTGTGGAGCCGGGGTTTGAGGAGGTGAGGAAGCGGGCGCCGTGGCCGGAGGCGAAGGAGACTGGGGAGAGCAAGTTGGGTGATGGGGGGGCGGAGACGGTGAGGTTTCAGGGGATGAGGGTATGTTGTTTTTATTTGTTGTTGTCTATTTATCTATCCGTTGTGTTCTCGATTTCCTATGTTATATTGTCTACAATGCTAACCGTCATAAACAGGTCGCATACTTCGCCATGGACAGCGACAGCACGCCCGACCACACTATCCTAAACCGCATCGTCTCTCTCAAAGAAGACGCCGGGAAATAAACCGCTTCATCCTGCGCCACCCTCTCTCTCCTCCCCTCCTCCCCTCGCTTTACACCCAACCCTTCCCCGACTACTCAACACTGCCACTCCCCTCCTCACCATCCTTATCGCCACTGTGGGGTGCTAGCAGTACCACACAACACCACCCAAACGGCCGCGCATGAACCCGTGCAACCCCACATGTGCGCACCCGCTTCTACGATACATCAATCTTCAGCCCTCCCGCTACCTTGCTACAGTGCAGTAACGTCACAAGCTGACGCTGACGCATGAGAGAGGGGCCGTCCGTTTGTTCACTCCTCCTTGTTTATTCGTTCGCGTTGGCTGGTGGGAAGGGCTGGGGCTGGGGGTCTGTGTGCGTGTGCGTATGCGTATGCGTTTGGCGATTTCGTTCGGCTGTGCTGGGTTGGTTGGGTGAGCGAAGTGGCCGAGGAGCGAGGTGGCGGAGGAGTGGATAGGGTAGGGGTGTGGTGTGGTGTGGTGTATGTTGCATTCCTTTCCATCTATCCATCTATCAATCAACTACGGTATCCAGTATCCATCTCCTGTTGTGGCCGACTGACCGCCGGAAAGCAGCGATCATTGTCTTTATGGCTTCCGCCCCGGTGATGTCTCAGTGTACGATTCCTGTCTCCACTCGCGCCTCTTCGCCGTTCCTGTCACCGTTCTGCATCGCATCGCATTACTAGCTGTCTTGTCACTGGCACTGGCATCGGAATCTGCATGTCGGTGTACCCACACATACCTCCTTCCAAATCATCACTTACATTCCCATCCACACACATCTACACATCCGTCTACATCTATACAGGGACAGACGCAGAAACCCCTCACACCCCTTCACAACCCACAGATATCAAAGGTTACAGACAGTAGAGTAGAGAGTAGAGTAGTAACCAGACATTAATATTCTAATCAAACACACGCCCTCGCAAGCGAGGTGGTGGTGGGATTATCTAAGACATTATCCTCGTCCTTCCCCGAACCCCTCATCCCCCTCACCCCCATCCCCCTCATCCCCATCCCCCTCATCCCCATCCCCCTCATCTCCATCACACCCCAGGCCCCATCCATCCCATGAAAGTATAAAAAAACATTACTGTAACCAACTATTTAGTACAAAACAAGCCACAGCCACAACCGCATCCACAGACCATAAATCCAAAACAACAAAAAGGTATTAAGTAAGGTAAGCATATACTGTATGTCTCCCCCGCCCCATCCCCCCGCCAATTATTTTTTATAAACCCCCCCAATCCCATCCCATCCATCTCCACAGTACAGCAACCCGTATCAAACTCGCAGACACTTTTTATCCCACCCGTGATATACCGCCCAAGCCCATCCCCATACCCATCCCATGATCCAATTCATAAAACACACATCCCCCGCCCCTCCCACACAGAACAAAAAGAAAAACACACCCAAAAACGCCAAAATGCACAGTGATGTAATATGATAGTACAGACTCTCCCCCATCCCATCCCAGTTATCCGATACCGGTTCCAAACCCACCAGGCGTAAAGCCAAAGAGAAACAAACGCCTTCCTTCCTGTCCCTGTCTTCCCCCAACCATCCGACCCATCCGATTCATCCCACCCGATACCATCGATGCCCATCCATACGTACGCCGTTCCTCCAATAAGGAAGTTAAACACACCCTCACCCTCTCCCCACCCAAGCCTCACCCCAGCGCCAAGCCCCACCCCAACCGGCATCCACCGGCACACCCCCAATACGAGCCTCCTCCCACCCTCTATCCCTCATCGAACGCCCCAGACCACCCTGATTCATATCAAATCCCCAACGGTCGCGCGCGTGCCCCCGTCCCCAACCCAAGAAGTGGTGTACCCCCGCCCCCTCTGATTGGTCGGTCGCACGACGCTAGCGAACTAGCAACGGGATCTGACTGGGCCGCATGACTACACACGCCCCCAGTCTGTCGGCTTCAGTTCTCACATCCGCATACCATCTCCATCGTATCGAATCCACATCGCATCGTCCCGCACGCCTTTCGTCGATCGCGGACGTCACCTACGACCGAAGCGCCTGCAAACTCCCCCTCCTCTCCTCCTTCGCCCCCCCACCCACCTCATCCAGACCCCCCCTACTCCTCAGCGGCGAAAGCGGCATCTGCGTCGTCGGCGGGCGCTGGAGCACACTCGGCATCCCACCCGCAGCCGTAACAGCCACCCCAATCGCACTTCCCTGCGCCTGCGCCGCGGGGTCCGCGTACCCCCCCGCCGCGGCAGCTGTTAGATCCCACGATGAGCGGGGTGTGTATTGCTGCAATGGGGCGGGCATGTGGTGTTGTGTTGATGCGGACCATTGCGCTCCTGTGCCCGCGCCGTGAGATGAGTGGTTGGTTGTAGTGTCAGCGAATAAAGGGAGATTAGGCAGCGCGCTGCTGCTGTTGTTGATGTCGCCCTTGATAGGATTAAGGTGATTGTAAGGCGGGGAATTCAGGCGGGCTGGTATGCCGGCGTAAGGTGGAGGGTGCGTGGAAGCGCCGGACATGGAGCGCGTAGAGGAGCGGGGGGAGAACATGCCATTGCGGTCGGGCTGGCCGTATGTGGCTGTTGTGGAGTTATCGTTATAGCCCGTTGAGCTGGCTGGCGTGAGGAGAGTTGGGGGTGGGAGCGAGGCTTGGGGTTGGGAGGAGCCGGACTTGACGGACTGTTTGATGTGTTAGCGGATGCAGTGATGATGCTGAGGATTGGGACTTACGTATTTCGACGTGATCTTCCTCAGCGCGTTCGACAAGCTCTTCCACGCAAAAACTTTAATATCCTTCTCGATATTCCTCGGTTTCGGCTGCGGAAAGCCCATGATCGCCGTGAAGAACGCGTTGGTCTCGTCATACTTATCCGGGATCGGCTTCTTCACCGTCAGCGGCTTAAAGTGCTCCAGGTTGCGGCGGATGCGGTTCTTCTCCTCCGTCTGGAACTTCTGCGCCATGATGTACTCGAGCAGGTAGATGGTGTCCACGCTCGTCACGAAGCACTGGTTCTTGTCCTCCCACAGGATGCAGCTGATGCAGATGGAGTGCTGCTGGCGCTCTTCGGGCATCACGGGTTTGACGCGGAGGTTGATTGTGTTGCCGGCCTGCGAGCGCTTAAACTGAAGGATTCGCCGTCTCGACTGGATCTCCTCCGTCGACCACGTATTCAGGCGGCCCATGGAATCCAGGTCGTTGTGGAGGTTGAGGATGACGGCGAGCGGGTGCATCGCCTGGTGGTAGTAAGACCCAGATGCGTTCATCGGGACTCCAGCGTTATTTCTGTTCTGATCGATCGTCGACGTTCTCACCAACAGTGGGCTCGGCGAGATCGATGGCAGCGATGTCCGACCGGGCATTCCTTGGTTATGGTGACCCTCGGAACTTCCATTCCTGTAGGAAGTCCAAGTTGGGATCTGATTAGACCTTACCTTGATCACCGAAGAAGGCGACCCTGACGAATATTGATACATGCCTCTGCCAGGCGGCGAGGGCTGATACATGGAATTCCCACGCCCAAACTGCTGCGAGTGGATCCCCTCATACGCGCCATATTGGACCTGCGGCGAGTAGTTGTCCGAAGGCAGGTACGAGTAAGTCGAGAAATCCTCGTGCGGCTTCATCACCAACGACGACGACCGCTCAGTGCTCTTCAACGACTCAGCATCGCTTCCCAGCCTGCCCCTCTCGTACGTGAAAGGCCCAACATCGACCTTCTCCATAAGCTCGCCCTCTGCATTTTCAATGAGCAGAAACAGCGGCACCTCCGCCGATTCCCACGCCTCGACCGCGATCTGCGGCACATCAGTTGAAACGATATACTGGTAGTCCCTGCTCTGCTGCTCGTAACGCATCAGCGAAGCCTGGCACTTCTGCTGCCCGAACAGGAGGAAGACGGATTCGAGGCTGGTCGTCATGATTTCGTAGACGGACGCCACGTAGACGTCAAGTTTGGAGCCCGGCAGGCCTCGCGGGGGTTGACGCGACGTGACGCGGATCGACGCGGGGGTCGGGTTAGAGTTGAAGGGCGCGTAGGAGCCGGCCTGCTGCTCGTCGTAACTACCGCGCGTCGCATGACTGCCGTAGCTCACCTGCACCATCTCGGGTGCATTTTGGAACGGCGATGCATGCGGGGGGGGTTGCGACGCATGATGTGGCGCAGCAGGGTAGGCGTAGGCGGGATCGGAGAATGATCGAGATGCATCAAATCCTGATTAGAAGATCTGTTAGCACTGTAGACTTTTGATGGTGCAGGCTCACGTGAACGAGTATCGGCACATGCACCCGTGAAGGTGTGGCTGCTGGAAAGTGAGGGTGTGTGGGGGGGAGCACAAAACGTACCTTGAAGGTGTGGAGGCGGTGGCTTCCCGAAGGCAGACATGGGAAGGAATCCCGTGAGAGAGTCCGGCCTGCCTATAGGGCCTCCCGCGCAAGCCTCTTCGTATCTGAGTGTGACCGTCTCCGGCGATTCGTATGCTTCGTCGACAATGACTGGCGTCGCCGAATGAAACCCAGGCTATAAATGCAGGGGTTAGTCAATGTTATCAAAACAAGCAGCTTTTTCTGTGTTCACGTCGTAGGACAGAGGAGTATATCAGAGTGAGACGTTAGACTGACCTCAACGGTTGTGTAGGTTGAGAATGCCACTTTGGCGGTTGCAGAGGTAATGGTGAGAAGTCGAGTGTTGCTCGAAAAATTATAAGCGCTCGATTTTCAGAGTCGCAGCAGCTCGTAAGTAAATATTATGAGACCCAAGAGATCCCCAAAGATATTAATATGTCGGCAGTAGATTCTTCCCAACAGCGCGCACCCGAGATGAGTCGGTGCGAAGTAAAAAAGGAGTAAGATACTGTCGAAGAAAAAGAGACAGCAGCAGATCTAAATCCAAGCAAACGAGATAGAGACGCCCTCCCTTATAAGGAAAACTCGTCTTGAGAAGCGGCAGATATCGGCGAATACAGTCCGAGACAGGTTCATGCAGCCCTGATCCAGGATTCCTTTGAGCGACGTTGTAGCGACAGCGACGTGGTAGCGACGGCGACGAGAGCGGTAAGGTTGCCGGGGTTTCCGAGCTTAGGAGGAAACGCGGTCTCGGGAAGTGAGAGGATAAAGAGCGAGTGTGAGAGGATTAATCTAAGAGGCGGTTCATGGGTTAGCTGGGGGTGTCAAGATCCCGTCGCCCAAGCCGGCCGGCGTCGAGCGAACCGGCGGGGGAGGCAGTTGAGCCATCTCATCTCGACTTGGAGATTGAGGAAAGACAGGGCCATCAAGCGGCGCGTTTCATATTCGGCGAGTCCCAGACTTCCAAAAATAACAGTAAGATGTTCCGGATGGCACATACCAAGAAGTCTCTCAAGAGGGCAGATATAAGCGTGATCTGTAGAGGTAATAATAAATCTAGATCTGGCGCGACGCGATCACTCCTACGAAGCAGACCGGGGAGGAAGAAGCTGCAGGTAGCCTGGCGGCGTGAACCAGTTCGCGGCAGGAGCAGGTGTTAATAGGGCAATCACGAACGAACATGTCGGTGCGAAGCGGGAGCAGGCGTTTCGTTGGTCCTTCTGGGGAGATTATAAAAATAGCTTGCTTATGTGTTTTGGTTCTCGGCCAGGGTGGTTGGTGTTGGTTGGTGTTGGTTGAAGTTGGAGGAAGTGAAGGACTGGAGTGAGTGAGGAAGTGAGAAGACGGCGGCGGCAGCGACGGGTTAGGCGCACGGCTGTCTGGGTGTGGTATGTTGTGTTCTGGTGGAGGTTTTGTATTAAGGTTTGGTTTTCCTTCTTCCTTGGGTTTGAGGTGGAGCTTGAGCGTTGGGATTTGGTTTGACGGAGGGGGCGGAGGAAAGGTAAATAAGAACCATAACGGCTAGACATCTTTATCTTTATGGGATTGGTGAGAAGAAGACGAGAGGTTGAGATGAGGAGAGAGAAGGTGCATGGGTGGGCATGGGGCATTTTTTTTATTGGGGTGGGGGGGGGGGGGTGGAGGTCGATTGGGGGGGAGGGGGGAGGGGGTAGGGGGGAGGAGATGGGTGGATATTTATGTAACCCAAAGTAGATCAAGTACCGGTGGGAGGTAACTCGGTACCGGGGGTAAGTGGAAGGAAAGTAGGAAAGTAGAAAGTACATAGTAAAAAGCCATAAAGTCATGTTGAGGCGGAGGACAAACCCATGTCGGGTACAGAAAGGGAGGTAGCAAGGCAGAAGAGGCAAGAGTAACGGCTAGAAGTGGGTAGGTGGAGTTGAGTTTCTTGGAGGAGGTGGAGGTGGTGGATGGATGAGGAAGGGGAGGAAGCAGGGGGAGAGAAGAGGATGGGAGGTGGTGATGGTGGTGATGGTGGTGATGTGGGATAGAGGGGGAGAGGAATAAGAGAATTAAGAGAATAAGAGGAGGGAAGGAGAAACAGGATAGAGAAACAGGCAGGATGAGGGATGGGAGGGGTTTACCAGTACAACTGGAGTAAGGGAATGGGCAAGTATTGCGATATGAACTGACGAAACTGACGTGCAGGGATGAAGCAAGGGGAGGAGGGAAGTGGGGAGGGAAGGAGGAGATGAGGAGGAGATGAGGGGGAGGAGGAGATGAGGAGGAGGAGGAGATGAGGAGGAGGAGGAGATGAGGAGGAGGAGGTGATGAGGAGGAGGAGATGAGGAAGAGGAGGAGATGAGGAGGAGGAGATGAGGAGTGTGGGAGTGGAGGGTGGAGAATATCTATTCCTTATTACAGTAGACGGTAGTTTCCCTCCCGCTAGCCCTATAGCTCCTATAGTTCCAGAGACAGACGACCACTCTAAGCAAGATTAAGTACATGGGACCGATGACCCGATGACCCGATGACCCGATGACGGATGGGGTTATGTGGGCGCGGATGCGATGGGTCGGTCGGTCGGTCGGTCGGTCGATGGGTGGACAAGGGGGATGGGGATGGGGATAGGGATGAGGATGGGGATGGGGATGGGGATAGGGATAGGGATGAGGACGGGGATGGGGATGGGGATAGGGATGAGGATGGGGATGGGACCAGGGATGGGACCAGGGAGGACCAAGGAGAACCAGGGATGGGACCAGGGAGCGATGGAGCCGGGGATGGGGGAATGGAGATGTACCGTGCATGCACCCGCGTACCGGACGGGCAGGGATGGGCGTCAACAAGGCTCACTGCATTATTATCCCTGTGTACGCCTCACCACAGCACAGCCAGACACAGCCAGACACAGCCAGACAGAGCCAGACAGAGACACAGCCAGACAGAGACACAGCCAGACAGAGACACAGCCAGACATAGCCAGACACAGCCAGACACACCACAGCTCAGCACAACACACCACAGCATCGCAGGGGTCCCCAAAACGGAAAGAACGGCGAGGACCACGCAGCTCGAAGTGGGTTAGCGCCATTATGCAGCTTGAGGGTGAGGAAGGGAGGGAAGGGAGAAGGGAGAAGGGAGAAGGGAGAAGGGAGAAGGGAGAAGGGAGAAGGGAGAAGGGAGAGAACGAAGAGAAGGGGGAGAACGAAGAGAACGAAGAGAACGAAGAGAACGAAGAGAACGAAGAGAAGGGGGAGAAAGAAGAGAACGAAGAGATGACGGTACAGTACATGCAGTCCAATACGATGGAGTACTTGTACTGTGACTGCTAGGCGACAGGATAGATGGACATGCCGACGCAACGGCGCGCCTTCGGAGCCATCTCCTTCACCAGCACCACCGACACGATCCACCCACCCCATCCCTCCACCCACCCATCCACCCACCCATCCACCCACCCATCCACAACACATACCCTCTCCAAAACAGAACCATCAGCGGCAGCCACCACCACTGTCAGTCAGCCACCACCACCACCACCACCATCTCATCTCCCCATCCCCCATCCCACTTCCATTCCATCCCACCCACTTCCATTCCATCCCACCCACCTCCATTCCATCCCACCCACCACCATTCCATCCCACCCACCACCACCGCCCGATCGATCGCCGCCAGCTAGACGGGGGGGGTGGACATACCCAGAGTCAATCCCCATTTAGACAACGACGTCCAAATCCAGATACCCGCCCTTGCCAGACTCGAGCTGGCCTGCGACTGTTTAGTATGCAACTCTCCCGCGATAGGATAAGCTATACACTGCGATCTCCTTCATATCTATGATCGCCTCCCATCTTGCAGCGCCGCCCTCGCTAGTCCTCTGCTGGTCCTCTGCTGGTCCTCGCTGGTCCTCGCTGGTCCTCGCTGGTCCTCGCTATTCCTCTGCTGGTCCTCTACCCTTGCGCAGCTGATCCGGTGCCGTGCCGGCCGTGCAGGGGTGGCGTCGGGGGGGAGGAACGTGCTGCCGGTGCTGCCGGTGCTGCCGGTGCCGCTGCGGTATCTCCGCTCCGGCTCTGTGCGTGGCTGTGCCTGTATTGGTTTTTTTCCCTTGCTGGTGCTCAATGCTGTGGGCTCTCTCGGGGTTTGCTTTCTTTGGTACGGAGTGGATGGGCGATGGAGGTGCCGGCCGGGAATGGATGGGCTAGGGATGGGGGAGGGGAGCTGCGTATGGCCCGCGTTGGTGCTGCGGACTGTGCGTGCGCGTACTTTTCGTAGTATTGTGGGGAGTATTATGGCCCCTTGGCCCAACATAGCGCAGCGCGCGTATTAACCTTCGCCGTCGCAAAACAGCGCCGCAGTGTAGACCGCGATCTAAACCGATCCGCGCCAGCGCCAGCTCCCAGGGAAGCTACAGCAGCAGCTCTGTACTATACGCCGTACATACAGTAGCAGAGCAGCGGCATGCAAGGCGAAATCAAGATAAGGTAAGGTACAAGCACACACCACAGCACGCTTACCCGCGCAAAGTCAAGTAAGGGGCACCCTAATTTCCCCCTCCCTCTTCCCATTATTGCTATCCTCGGGCAGAGAGCCAAGGGAGAGCCAAGATCATGCACCCCCACCTCCTCGATGTAGGGCAGAGTAGTGGAATCAAAAAAAAAAAAAAAAAAAAAAATAGAGATCCCGTGCCTGACACACATAAGGCGCGACGGGGGAGGGGGAGGCGTCAGAGTTCTCTTTTGGGGATGATGCCGGTGGTGATGGGGGGAGGCGGTAGTTTTGGTAGCGTTGAGGTAGTGTGGCTGTGGTTCCAGTAGTGTTAGTACTGTAGCCCCAGTCCTAGTAGCCCCAGCACTCCTGACGTCGCCCCGCCACCGGCTGCATGTCTCATGTACCCGCCCATAGCGCACTCCCGCTCGATCGACGGTGTCGGTGCGTGTATCGCCGCTGGTGGTTGTGCGTCTGTCGGCCGGCGGGGAGGGGCGCCGGTGATGGTGCTGCTGATCCCCGAGGAGGCGGCTGGGCTAGTGATTTTGAGGCGGGGGGACGCGATGGATCGGGCGCCGTGAGGCCGGATGGGGATATGGGGATTGCTTGGCGGAGGTGGCGCGGGGGAGACAGCTGACTGCGCTTGAGGCGTGGAAGGGGGAGAATGCGATGCTGGGGGTAGGGGCGGCGAGGTGAGGGATGGAAGGGGGGTGTGTCGTTTTCTAGCTGATGCGAGAGGAAGGGGGTTAAGGGCGCGAGGGGCGAGGGGCGCTGGTTCTGGTTTTTTCCCCCCTGGGTTCGGGCAGGGGGAAAAGGGGAAGGGAAGGGGAGAGCTTGGTCCAGTTCAGTTCAGTTCAGTTCAGTTGAGAGTTCAGTTGAGAGTTCAGTTGAGTCGCAGTTCAGTTCGGCTCGGTGAACTGAAAAGGCACAACCCTCTCGTCCCCTTTCTTGCCCCCTTCACACCCCCTTTCCCTCGAAATGACTCCCTTCCCACCACACAAAATTGTTCAGCCTGACCACACTCGCCCTGCCGCCCCTCAGCCGCCCACACGCGGTCTATCCCCAAAACAGCCTCGCCGCCCGCTGTTCTGCTAGAGGTATTTGTCACGCATCCCGGCCAATTGGCTTCGGAGTCCGTGCGCTTGCTTCGGGCGCTAGTGGGGGTACGCTAACCAGAACTTCGAGTACCTCGAGTATAGAGTATGGCTGGCTATATCTAGTACCGGATACCGTAGAGTACAAAACTGCAATATACTCGATGCAGTACTTGATGCAATACTTTGCTGCAAAACCCCCTGTTCGATCCTGTCCTGCGCGGGTGGTACAACACTATTGTACTGTCCCGAATAGTCACTGGTACCACAATGGATACAAAGAGTACAATGCCGTCCAACCAACTGACTGGGAAATCCACTGCTCCTAGCGCTGTCTCATCTCCGGCGGGCGCGATCGCCGATGGTGATATGGGATCTAACGGCGGCGCCCGCCGTCCGTTCGCCGCGGGGATGGGTCACGGAACGGGTGGGGACCGTGCGCGGGCGCTGTCTCAGAGGTTATGTTGGAGCGGGTCGGAGGACAAGGACGAGCACCGCAGCTGGCGGTTACCTTGGGAAAGGAAGGCCAAGCTCGGGAGCTTGGAAGTGTCGCTTGGGGGTGGCTTGGGATAGCTCGGAGTAGCTCGGAAAGGAGGGAAGGAGGGAAGGAGGGAAGGAGGGAAGGAGGGAAGGAGGGAAGGAGGGAAGGAGGGAAGGAGGGAAGGAGGAAGGAGGAAGGAGGGAAGGTTGAGCCGGGAGGAAGGGGGGAAGGTTGAGCCGGGAGGAAGGGGGGAAGGTTGAGCCGGGAGGAAGGGGGGAAGGTTGAGCCGGGAGGAAGGGGGGAAAAAGGGACTCGAACGTGATGGGATCGTGATATCGGAAAAGGTGATGAGAAAACAACGGCAGCGAGAGCCAATAGCGCGCACACCTGCCAGGCACGAAGACCTCTCTCTCCAGGTTCAGATACCAATCCAGACCTCTACCCGCCCACCACCAGCAGTCCATGACCGAGACACAAGAGTAGCACCGCAGACCCGCCACCACCGCCCTCGGAAACCCACAGCTACACAATCGTCACACCACCACCATCCCCGTCCCCCCCTCCCATCGCGATCGAGCAGGTGAGCGAGACAGCGCAGACACAGCTCTCGAGACACGCCCGCCGCCCGCACACCACGCACAGCACCGCACGCGGAGTCTCGCGGGAGAGAGACAGAGCAGGATCAGCGCGCGGAGTAAGCTCTGAGACCAGCCCCCGCATCCAAGGTCGACCCGATCTGGGTTTCTGTGGAACTGAGTCCCGCGAGTAAGGCTACAGTAGCGGCCGTGGAGCGGCACCTCCCATCGCACGACGTTCAGACCTTCCAGCCCGGCCATCCAGAGGACCAGCCCAGCCAGCCAGATGCCCAGCTCGAGTGCCAGCGGAGGTAAAGCACATCCTTCCACCACCCCTCACGTCACGTACTGTGAGACGACAGGGAGTACAGGACCGGAGGTATAGTGTCTCATCTACAAACTCTCATCTACAAACTCTCATCTACAAACTCTCATCTACAAACTCCATCTACAAACTCTCATCTACAAACTCTCATCTACAAACTCTCATCTCCTATCTCCCCTCTCCTATCTCCCCTCTCCTCTCTCTCTCTCTCGACCTCTCGCCCCCCTCCCCCCCTCTCTATCTTGCTCTCCCAACCTCCCTCGCCATTGGCGTGACATCACGTTCCCATGCAGCACTGTCGTCGCACCGTTTCCGAGGCAGGGGAACGTGTGCGCGACCGAGACATGGCGCGAGTGGCCTCGCCGGCGAGCTCTGCGGTGAGACTGCTCTGGGGTGGATGGTTGGTTGGGACGCGATGGTTGGTCCCGCTGCTGGCGCGCAGCAGTGTGCATTCGATCTGCGTCCTCGCCCTCGACAAGGCATGTCCCGTGGGCAGGGGCGTGCGCGGGACGAGCGTTGGGCGAGACTGCGATGGAATGGAAGGAAATGAGGACTACTCTACAACGTCTCAACTTTCGGAAAGGAGAAAGTCGTACTGGGAGCCCGATACGCTGGCTCGGCTCGAGCTCACACTCCCGACCGGAAGTTTGGTTTTGCCTTTTTCCCTACCCCCCGCGCGACCCGATCCCCCTCCTCGGAAATACCACAAACCATCCCGTCGCACAATTCCAACACCGAGGGTTCCAACACAAAGGAACCCCCTGTCTGCCCTTTGAAACCCCTCCTCCCCAGCTCCCCTCGTAACACACCAGTGTCCCCAAGTCCATCCCGACATACTACTCCCGTCGCACACCAGACTCGCCGGAAAGACACTTTCCGCGCCGTTGTGTTTGCAGCGCTGAATCACACCCTATCTTGCCCTCCCCTCCTCTGTTGGTCTCGGCAGAAAGTGCCGCTGTCGGGGCGTTGATGCTGTGCGAGGAATGGTTTGTAATGTTCCTTACACTTGGAACTGAGGGGCGGCACGGCAGTGCTGCTGGGACTGGAAAGAGTGCTGGAACTGGTGGGACTTGATGATACTGGATAGGACTTTATAATACCAGATAGGACCTGATGCTACCAAGTAGGACTTGAAAGTCTGTATAGGAATTAACAGGCGATTTACCTCTCCTCCCCTATTGCCGGGGTCTCCGGGCAGAAAAACGCCCTCGCATCGCACGCCCATGGTTTTGTGATAGCTGAAATTGCAGATGCGGTGCTGGTGTTGCACGTTGTCGTGATAGAGCGGGGTGAGCTGTGGTGGTCGGCGTGTTCAGTCATGTGGAGTCGCGTTGGTTTGGGTCGCAGCTGCAGGTTTGTTCTTGATTTCGCTCGGTTGGGGGGTATGAGGATGAGGGGAAGCTTGTTTGTTTAAGCTGGTTTGGGGGCGGAGAGGTGGATGCGGGTTGAGGTGGTGATTGTGCGGTGGAACCTTGATATGGTGATTCTTGATAGAAATAGATATGGCCTATGAGAATCAGCTGTCTGGCCACGCGATGGTTCTTATAGGTTGCGATGCAACGCTTTGGAGTCTCCGCGGGGACTGTTCTGAGGAAATTGTAGGGGTCCGGTTGGCGGTTCAGCACATTCCCTGTGAGGTTTGGAGTGTTAAGAATTGGTATGAGATTACCCCTGAAGGCCAATTTTCTGGTCAATGGAGGGTTTACGTGTACCAATGCAAGATTAGAGAGCTATTATTTGGTTCAAGATATTATTGTTTTTATAAAAAATAATCTATTGTGGTAGAAGAGCCACAGTTAAAAATAAAAACTGGTTTTGTTGAATTTTTTTATTTTCTCGTTCTTTTCGTAAAAAATAATCAATGTGAAGTTATAAATTATCGACAACAACAATAAAACCCACGGCCCCTTGGAAACTACATTTAACCATCGTCGTAATAAATATCGCCTGGCCGGAACCTTTATTCTTACTGCAAACCAGGAATTCAGATTCCCCAAAAGAACTTTGCTAGTTTTAGTTATTCCCCTGAATAAGTCTGGGATTGACATCCCCTCCGGATATGCTTCAGCAACAAACCGACATGGACGCTACTGAGCCTCCACCTTCCTCTTTATCATCCCGCAAAAGCTCTCAAACAATACGCTATCATCACCCTTCAGCCATCTCACCATAACCTCCGTCTCCGCTGACCTATCCCCCTCCCCAGGCACCTCCCTCACATAAATCCGAAACCCAAACGCCATATCATCCCCCTCCTCCTCTACACTCCCTCCCTTCCTCCTCGCAGCCCTCGACCACGTATTCCTCGCCACAAACCCTACTCCCACCCCACTATCCGCATCCCACTTCCACTTCCCCCCCAACCCCGCAACTGCCTCATTAACCCTCCTCCCTACCTCCCCGGCCTCCACTACAACCTTGACAGCTACTGCCTCACTAGGAAACGGCAGATCTGCCCCCGTCACACCCACCGCCCCCCTAGCCACTCTAACCGCAGGCCTCCAGCCCCCCCGACTCCATCCCACAACCCACCTCTTCGTCCGTCCCTGGACCAACTCCCCCAGCGCCCAATTCTTCACCCCCGCTTTCTTCAACTCCGCAACAACGGTCGCTACACTCCCCAACTTCCCCAACTGCGCCGTAAACCACCTTACGCGCTGACCCAGCGGGACAGACTCAGCGATCATGCGGGCGACGAACGCGGTTTCACCGCCGGGGGATACCATTTCAGACTGTGCGCCCGTGCAGACGCTGGATGGGGGTCTGGATTTCAAGGTGGCGGAGGCGAGGAGGTCAGAGGAAGAGGTGAAGAAGGGGGGGTTGGTGAGGGTGAAGTCGATTCTTCGTGAGAGGTTAGCTTCCTATGCCTGAGATCTGAGGGAAGGGGGAGTTACGTGTCAAGTCCTAAATCGTCGAGTGGGAGAAGGGGACCATCCGGCTCGGTTTGGAGGAGCCGAATCCGGTTTGAGAGGTTGTTTTGGGCGATGTTTTGGCGGGCGAAGGTGAGGCTGTGCGGGTCGGTGTCTGCGTCTGTTAGGTTCCTCGTGACATGGAAAAGTTGGGATGGGTTGAGCGAGAAGGAATACCAGTGCAGGCGAAGCGCCAGGTCGGGTAGTGCGAGCAGCCGAGGAGGGGGTAGATGGCGCTTGCTCCTGTGCCAATATCTAGACCGATGACGGGACGGGAGGAATCGTGAGTGTCGGTGAGAGACGGGGAGGGGGTGCTGGTGTCGAGAAGGTCTTGGATCCAGAGGAGGTAGTTGAGGCGGTTTGGGACCTGGATTATGTGAGTATGGTAAGGGGTCGCGAGATAAGGAGACGAAGGGACCAACAGCGGGACATAGTCTGTCAGGTGGGAGGTCGAGCTTCAAGCCAAAGTCTCGTTTTAGGAGGGACTTGGTGAGTTGTTGGACGGATTTGGGGTCGCTGAAATCAACTTGGCCGTTTGGCTTTAGGCTAAGGGAGAGAGGCTTCAGTATGGGGATATGTGAAATAATTGGAATGCTTTGAAATCAAGTATTGCAGCTGAAATAGAGTAATCGAAACACACTTACATGCTCTTAAATTCGGCATCTTGGGACGCCAACTCTGTGAAGTCGAGGTCCTTTTTGTATATATTCTTATCAGAATTCATAACTCGTCACCTAGGTGAAATAATGCTTGGCCAATTAATAATATGTCAACATGGTAAAATTGAAGTCTTTCTATTTATAAATTCGTCCAATCCATTGTTGGTGTGTTCATAAAAGCAAACGCATGACGTTGATATCTCGTTTCATTGTGGCCTAATATACAAGGCAGTAAATTACAGCCTAACTTTACCATCTCCTCTCTAAATAACAATTCACTTCAGTTCTAGATCAGATTCACCCTCTCGTTCGGGAAGAAGGAATAAATCCACGTGATAGCCCATAGATAAACCAGCGTGATATGAAATGCGTTAACCGTCATTTCTTTGTTGATTAATCGTTTTATCTTTGTCTCCGTTTGCCAATACAACCCCCAACATTCAACTCGAAAGACAGAGTGATTTTTTACACTTCAATAGCTGCACTCGAGGATATAAAACCTGAGCATCCATTATCTAGTTACATAATGACCAAAAACCTCACCAAAGCTTGTTCTCGAAACGCGTCAGCACAGCTCCTTAGCTTGTCTCCCACAGGCCTTTCCAACCCTTTCCAACCCTTTACCGTTCTCCTCAGCCAATCTCTCGAAAATGTTATTCTAGGCATTGCCCCCTGAGATCCTTCCCTTGATCGCCAGCTAGTTAGAGACGGAGAAGGATATTTCTTCACTTATGCTTGATCACGGGGCCGATATGAATTCCTGTGATACATCCGCCAGCTGGGAAATATGCGATTATTACGGAGCCCCTCTTCATTTTGCCTGTTCGAAAAACAGCGAAGCCGGCATTTCCATGATAAAACTTTTGCTTGAGCGTGGTGCAGACCCTGAGGCAAGGGATATTAATTCAGCAACCCCTTTGCATACCGCCGCCGCAGGATACAGTCTACCAACTGTGAAGTTACTTCTCGACTACGGCGCGCCAGTCAATGTACGGGACGAACGGGGAAAACTCCTTTGTTTATGGCTGCAGAGCAGCCAGATCCAGACGTAATGCCGGATCCAATAGAACGGCCGGATCTAGATATAGCAAAGCTCCTCCTTGAACAAGGCGCATTACTAATAAAAGAGATAATTACATATACTAGACAAAATTCAATAAAGCAGACAGAAAAGATGAAATATACCCTACCCGAATATATCTAATACACAAATCATATGGATTAGCCATGGCCAAGCTTCTCCTCGATCATGGTGCACTGGTCGGTGCGCATTACGGCGAAGATGGATTCAGGAGCCTCTTACACCACGCCGCGGTTTTTGGCGTTGTAGCTACAGTGGAATTGCTCATGTCGCATGGTGCAGAGGTCAATGAGCAAGACGAACGTGGCCAGGCTTGCTTGCATCTAGTGCTAAATCATCTCGATCCAGGCATGATGAAGCTCCTTCTTGGCCATGGCGCGTTGGTCGACTTGCAGGATAACTCAGGGTCTACTGCATTACATGCTGTTGTCGAAAAAGGGGCGTTTGAACAAAGAGGATCTGCTCCTCCTTAAGCAAGGGGTGGAAATCAAAGTGCAGGACGACCCGGAGGGCAATTCCAATAAGTATGAGCTAGAATGGAGACGGGAGGATTTGGCTAATGCGAAGCTACTCCTCGATTACGGGTCCGATTTCAACATACTGGATAACAAGGGTAAATCTGCCTTGGATTATGCTGCGGAAAATAAGGGGGCCCTTGCGCCAACCCTGAACTCTAGCTAGAGTCCCGGTTGAGACGATCAGTCAAAACAGGCCCCTGCTGCGGGATTGGTACCAAGGCACCCACTATGGCGACAAGAAATAAAAAGGACTGTAAGAATGGCAGGTCTTTATTGTCGTCAAGCTACTATGTCTGATGGATCTTTATCGCGATGGTTGTGTTTTTATTGCGTTGCAAAGGCTCGCACACTCATTGCCTGGTATAAACAGCGCCGCGGGAGTTGGGAGAAATGGGCATTATCGAGAGGTTGGCTCCATGGTTACGAGAGCGGCGTTTGGGGAACTGCTCAATCTGAGTTTCAGTGGCAGTGGTTTGTTTGTCTTGCGGAGACTTGTTCATGCTTTTGCCTGGTATGAAGCTCAGAGGGAGTTGGTGGAAATCGACATCATTAGGAGTTTGGCTTCATGGTTATGAGGATAGTTTTCTAGGAATTGGTCGACTTGCAGCGAAACACCTACACCAGAATTGCACTCAATACAAACGTTTGATTTGTAAAACTGCATTGCCCTGTTCCGTATAAATATTAGCGTGCAGCGGCGATAGATTTCGGAACCCAAGATAGCATGGAAATGAAATATCATAGGTCATGCCTGACGGAAAATGTAAGCTACCAGTGCTTTTCATTGCTTCATATATATGCTCGGGCCGTTACAGCTAATCACAGCACTTCCACCCAGTATAATTTTTCCACCCCCGCGTCACCCTCACCCTCCCACAATCTACCACTTCGCCTCCGGCCTGTCCAAGAATCCCTTCAGGATAGCCACCTGCGTCTCCAGCGCCTTCAACCAAACCGTCAGTCCCTGGTGCACCGCCGCCTCGTCATCCCCAAGCTTCACGTAGAAGTCCTTGCGGTACGGGCATGCCGACATGGCAGCGCTGAAGATGGGCTTGACGAGAAAGCTGTGGTGGGGCTTGAGGGTCGAGCCGTAGGCATTGCGGAAGGAGACGGAGAGCTCCTCGGTGGTGAGTTGAACGTTCTGGGAGAGCGCGATGCAGGTGAAGTCGAGGCCGCTGGCGGGGTGTTAGTTAGGTTGATTGAGGGGTGGGGTTGGGGGAGGGGGAGGAGGGAAACGCACCGGACGAGCCAGATGAGGCCTTCGGTGGCGACGTGCTTCTTGGTCTTGAGCTCGTTGACGACGAGCTCTTGGAGGGTCTCGGATTCGAGAGGGGCGGCGAGCTGGCGGTCGCGGATTTTCTGGTGAGGGGTAAGTATCTTGAATACCTCCTGGGGGGCGAAGAAGAGATAATTCGTACCTTGATGTTACCTAGCATGTCGTTCTTGACGGGCTGAAAGGCCACGGAACCTAGAACATCTAGAAAGGGGGATATCAGCAGCTGAAACGGATCGGGGGAGGGGTGAGCGGGATACCGAAGAGGGTGGTGAGGGACTCGGCGGCCTCGAGGAATTCGGAGGTGTTGATGGCATTCTCCTTGTCCTTGTTGATGGAGACGTCAACGAAGGAGCGCTTGATTGTGTCGAGGAAGTTTGGCATTGTGGCGGTGGTGGAAGGAGGTTGGTGGTTGTGGTGGTTGTGGTAGTCGTGGAGGTCGTGAGGGTGGACGGGTGAGATGGTGGGGTTGGAGATCTTGGGGATGCATGGATGCCTGAGATTTGAGTTGTGGAGATGCCGTCTGAGGGTCACAAATGGGTAGCCATGTTGTTAGGACCGTTAGAGCAAACACCAGCCACATTATAGGACGTTAAAAGTGGAATTTTGTTATTGTAAATACGACAGTAAACAGAGAATATGGGCTGGCCGAGTGTGCTGGCTGGCTGGTACAAGCGGATGTAACGTACTTGATAGAGAAGCGGGCCACGCGCCCCCCATTTATCAACATTAAGAGCTAGTATTTCAACAACAAATTGATTATATTGCTAATAAGCTATATTAATTTAGAAGTAACCCTCATACTACACGTACAAAAGTGTGTTCAAGTGATCTACATAAGCTACACATCCGTGGGGCACGAATTCGTTGCTCTTCTGCCCCTTGTAAGGACTAGGCTGCGCACTACTCGCTCAATACTCGGCTCACTCGCTCAGTGGGTTACTCAGCTGAGTGAGTAGCTGAACCTTTTACTCGACTCGGTGAGTGAGGTCAATACTCAGTTACTCTGTAAAAACCCAGTGAGTACTCGGCTATCACGTGTAAGATTTATGCATCATGTGAACAGTCCCTCATACGATTAATACTGTTTTATGGTTAAGTTAAAGTATTACATCTATTAGCATCACTCTCGCCATCTCTAGTAAGCTGTGAGAACGAATCATGTATATTCCTCTATCTAAGTACCATGATTATCAGAAGATTATTAGAACGCTATTATCTATTATATATGCTTAAGAACATCCCTCCACCTTGCTTGATGAGGCCGGCCAGACCTACTAATACCTAAAGTATTTATAGGGTCTTGATGAGGATCCTCGACTGAGCGGAACGAGCTATGAGTCAAGATAACTGTGTATAGAACTTGTTCATAAAATGTCTCTTGTGTGAGAATATGATCTTATTATAGGTATTAACCTACATAATTCTGGTAATAATCTGGTAATCCTTACTTGTTGAGGTTGCATTTGATTGATTCGCATTTGATAGAGACTATCCTTCCCATCTGTGACTTCTTTTTGCAAATGTCTGATGCAAGATGTGTTGCCATAGACTTTGGGCCAGCAGACTTGATTGCAGGATGCGTAAGGGCCTTCGAACAATAAGTACAAATAACACATGGTTCTCCAGAAAGCCGGTCTGCTCCTTGGTGATAACTTCTCCAGTATTGAGAACTCCAGTTGGTTGAATCCCATGCAATCTTCATAAGGAGTTTTGTAGTATGATCTGAGTGTTGTTCATACCATCGTGATAGCTTCCACCACTCAATGAATATATCGTGTGTATCCTTAGTCCATTTGACGAATTGGTTTAACTTGCCAATATATTCAAGGCCTGCAGGGACTTTGTAAGGATGCCTGTCCCTCAGTGATGGAAAGGATCTGAGTCGGGCAGGTTACAGTCACATGATAAGAGTTAAGGCAGGTTAGCTGAGTCGGACCCGTTTCGGGTACTTAAGGAGATTGACCCAACGGGGGTTCCTCTCTTCATCTTTTTTGTATCCTTCGTAGTAGACCTATAGGATAGCATCCGTTTAGCCTCTGACTCGCACTCTCATATGCTATTACTGTGAGCTGGGTGCCCTGTGTCCTTACAGACTTAATTTAATGAGGATAGTCGTTGAGAAGATGGAAAAGAGTCTGAGAATACTGTCAGAATCAAACAACTCTGAGTATTGAGATGGCATTTGGCAAATTGCTCGATTATCAGAAGGTTACCAGAAGTCTGGCTACGATGAAGTACTTAAATACCTGGTTTTCCAACGCGAAAGGTACTCCAGCGCTATAACTTTAGCAACTCAAGTTCTCCTCTACTCTAGCTCCAGGAACAACATATCCTGTGCAGCTGATACCTTAGCCCACTTTTCCTCATCAAACTTCTTAGAGTAGACAAGTAAGAACGCCTCTTTGAAGCTAGAACTATGAGTGGATATTTGCAACCATCCATTGTCGACAAGATTGTAAGACTTTGGGTACCACTGCACAGGTCCTGGTAATTAGGCCCACTTTCCAAACTGCCTGCTCGTACAAACAGAAATATTTATGTGGTGGGATAACCTCGTGAAAAGTGCTATAATAAACAATTAGTATTGCCAGAAGATTGCTAGGATGATCAGAGATGTACCCTTCCTCTACATCAATCCACGGCATATACTCAAAGAGACGCTCAGGCTTCTTTCTCAGCTTTCCAGCCTTTCTCGTATATGAGTGGATACAGCTATCCCAGAAATGTTGCCACTTGCGGAAATTGGACTCTTCATGGGCCTATCAACTATTAGTATCACCAGAAGATTACCAGATTATGAGGTAGCATACATCAATGTGCGCTTGAGTTAAGAGAGCCTGGGTGCTAGTGATCTCTTCATCGGAAAGCTCATCTGGTAGAACAGCCTCGTCATTTAAAATATCTCGCGCTGTAACATAAGCTCCAACTCCAAATCGTCTTCAACCTCAGTATCCTCCCATTCGCTGTTATGATTGTCATCGATTGGAATACTTGAGATACCCTCAAATGCAGCAAGCTCAGACAGAAGTTGTTTGGGCGGAGTAGATGGTGGGGCTTGTGGAGAAGAAGAGGCGCTAATATTCTTGACTTTCTGATTCGCAATGCAAGATGCATGGGTACCCTTCTCAGTCCTGTTTATAGTTAGATTGAGGCTACCAGAGATTACCAGAAGGGACTTACCGAACACAAATACGCTCAACCTTCAATTCATTCTGTAGACGTGTCTTGTCTTCAGTAGAGGCAGCAATATACTTTGTGTAATGACACAGGGCACCCAGCTCACAGTAATAGCATATGAGAGTGCGAGTTGGAGGCTAAAAGGATGCTATCCTATAGGTCTACTACGAAGGATACAAAAAAGATGAAGGGGGAACCCCGTTAAGTTTGTTTCCTTAAGTACCCGAAACGGGCCCGACTCGGTTATCCCAACCCTAGCCCTGAACCTTCCACCGCAACAGGTCCGCATCGACCCTGAACCCTACACCCTTACCGTCCCCCACTATAGTGTAACTCGCTATGTCCTCCTCTACTGGTCCGAAACCACACCGAGTCGGATTTCATGCTTGTGGTGACCGTAACAGCTCTGAGGCGGGTTCTTCGAGTATCTAGGTAAGGAGGCATCCTTACACTTTGCAGACTTATATAACTTCTTTAAGTAGTAGCTCAGATCAGCATGGTCAGCCTTGAGTGCTAAGTGAACAGCCTTCTCATCTTCAGTAAGGTTGGAGACGCAGTTGCGAGCTTTGATAGTATTCGCATTAGTGGAGAGTTCTTCATGTGCCTTGAGTTTCGCCATACTAACTAAACACGTGATTAGCAGAGATCTCCAGAAGTTCTGGCTATAGAATCAAGATAATAAACTTAGTTGAAGTCCTAGAGAAGAGGTAAAGGCTCAAAAGGGAAGAAGAATGTGTAGATCGGAGAGTAACCAAGGAAGGTGGTTCTAAGGTCATGGTTATTTTAAAGTTGCAAACAAAAATATTTGTGAAGGAATATTCACCTACAAAGAATTACTGTTCCAAAAACAACACCACAATGCGCACCTTCATATAAAACACATACCTTTCAACCTCTACCTCTTTACTATACTCTTCTTCTGCAATATTCTTTCTACAAACTCACTGTAAGTACACATATCTTTTGATCTACTTCTTTATCTTGTGTTTACTTTACTAACTCACCTTGATATTAGCAAATGACTCGTACCAAGCAAACTGCTAGGAGATCAACTGGCGGCATAGCACCAAGGATGCCACTTGGATTACGGGCTGGCTCTGGGCTTGGCGGAAAGGGACAGGAAAAGGCTGTGGGCACAGCAAGAAAAGCTCCAGTTTGCTCATCTCAAGCTAGCAACAATCATGCTCAGAAGGCCACGCGCTGCACAAAGTCTAGTAAGAGGATTACCAGAGGATTACCAGAGGATTACCAGAACTCTCTAATAAACATATAGGCACCAAGGCTCTCCGCGATATCAGAAGACAGCAACTTGATACTAGCTCCCATTCCAGCGTCTTGTTAGGGAAATCACAGAAGACTTCAAGTCCAATCTTCGCTTCCAGCAATCTGCTATCCTAGCTCTTTAGGAAGCTGCTGAATGCTTCCTCATTCGAGAATTTGAGAGTATGATGTTTAAACATAGTGACAGGGACATACTAACAGTTATAGTGACAAACCTCCTCGCTATTCATGCGAAGAGAGTGACAATTCAGGCAAAGGGTATGATATTGGTTCGGCGTTTGCAGGATATGATGTTTAAGCTGTGGGCTTAATCGATGGAAATGTCTCTCACCCAGGAATGAAGGTCAGATGAGTTCTGGCAACCATCTGGTAACCTGGTACCTAAAGGCCAAAGGTTATAGTGTGGAATAGGACATCAACAATATGGGAATGGAGTTGGAGTTATGGCGTCTTGATCAATGAAGTCGCACCCCGTTTTTAACATAAGTAATGGCTAATCAAACACGTGATATAACTGAGTTGCCAAGACCCATACTAGGTACTCAGCAAGTGAGTAATCCTCATTCAACAATACTCGGGACATGAGTGAGTAACTCAGCTGGGTGAGTAAAAATTCTACTACTCGACTCGTGAGTACCCAGTGCGCAGCCTAGTAAGGACACAGGGCACCCAGCTCACAGTAATAGCATATGAGAGTGCGAGTCAGAGGCTAAACGGATGCTATCCTATAGGTCTACTACGAAGGATACAAAAAAGATGAAGAGAGGAACCCCCGTTGGGTCAATCTCCTTAAGTACCCGAAACGGGTCCGACTCGGCTAACTGTTACGACGGAACAAGAAGGCTGGCCAACTACAGGACAGGAAGGAGGGAGGTCGCATGAGACCGGCCCTGGTACCTGGAGGGGCAGCGGGGAATAGTAGTTCCGAAAGTATCACGTGACGGACTCGCAGGATGATGAGAAGAGTCCTAAGAGTCCAGGACTCCGAGGACTCGAGTGAGTTCCCAGGAGTCAACTAGGCACGTGACGGACTCGCAGGATGATGAGAAGAATTCTAAGAGTCCAGGACTCCGAGGACTCGAGTGAGTTCCCAAGAGTCCACTAGGCACGACGCCACTATATAAGTAGATAGTATTTCCTTAGATAGGAGCTTCGTGCTCAACTCAATACAGTATTTGTTATATACTAGTAACGTGTTACTTGAAGCCTTTGTGTCTGATCCCCTGCCTCCTCTGATAAGTAAACCTTTACGCAAGAGAACCTCTGTGTCTTCTATCGTTTAGAAGTCAGCGTTACACTAACCTGCCTTCACTCTCACCACGTGACCGTAACTTGTCCGACTCAGATACCTTCCGTCACTGAGGGAGAGTGACCCCACCCCGTTGGGTCCATCCCTGTAAGTACCCGAAATGGGTCTGACTCAGCTAACCTGCCTTAACTCTTATCATGTGACCGTAACCTGCCCGACTCAGATCCTTTCCATCACTGAGGGACAGGCATCCTTACACCCCTCCTGTAGACTGGCCCATAACCTGCAAATCAGTTGGTTTTGATCGATCAAGGCCTTCCTGAGCAGTCAAAACACTAACTGTAGCTATATATGACTTTCATACAGCTCTATTCTTCTTATATCGCTCATTTGCAGCCCGTAACCTCTATTTTCGTCTGTAAGAAGAACTGTGCTATGTATTGCCATTTAACAGCCCTTAACTAGCTACCGTACTGCTTGGTCTGTAGGACTAGAAGAGCCAGCTGTATGACGTTGAATAAAGCCCTGAATAACACTAGCCTGACACTCTAACTCTTGTATATTATGAGGGGTCTTAGGGGCCCAAGTGCTCTGTTGGTTCAAGGTAGGTAGAGGTGGTGTAGGCGTTCGTAATTAAGTCTGGCTTTTCAATATGATTATATCCAGCTCGCAAAAGCTCTTCCATCTGCCACCTATACAAGTGCTTCAAGACTGCAAAACAGCTTACACCTAATGGCTAAAGTAGGTGTGAGAAATGTAGTGGCATGTAGAGTGTAATAATTGAGTGTTCTGTATAGAATTAGTCTAGTTACTAGGCTAATACTACCACATGACATATCTCTACCAACTAGAGGCCTACGAACATGAATGATAGCTCCAAAAGCTTCTACAGCCCTCTATGATTCATTACACGTCATCGCTCCTTAGTTACCTACAAGATTGGTTAAGTTATGACACAATTTGTCTATAGGGGTACTCTGACCTTGGACCTCCTTTCACTTCCTATAGGCTAGGAACCTAAAAGATGGTTCTATGGGATTCTCTTACATTGACTACAGTTACCAAGCCTGGTTAGTCATGGAAAGTCTTGAAAAATGAGAGAACTACACTCCTTTAGCATAAATAGGATTACCCTTTCCTTAAGAAAGGGCAAGCAGACAATACAGTAAATCTACTATCACATACTTCTACGTCTTTTTCAAGCTTCTAAGCATTGATCTTGTTATTCCTTGTTTCTGAAAAGTCAGTGAGGTGCTAACCTCTGACTATCCCTAAGTTCTCAGACTCAATATTTGTTACAACTTGTCTATGATGGTCATAGAGGTCATGATGCCAGTCCAGGAAAAGTAATCTAGATTGAATCTAAAGAGAGAAGAAGAAGAAGAAGAAGGAAGGAAGGTGAGGCTATTCCTCATAACATACAGTTGTCTGCTTAGCGGTTGTAACCTTGGTGGCTAAGGCTACACCCGTAATCCCCATAACAACCGTAATAACCGTAATAACCGTAACAACTGTAACAACTGTAACAAGCTGTGACAAGCTGTGAGCTGTAATCGTAACACTCCACTACATCATACACCTGATTGCTACATTGTGGAATAATCTAAGCTACAACCCTTTGGCTCTGTTTCCTAAGACAGTGCATTGTCTTAGTAAAATCATCCCTTTCCTTTAGGTGGCTAGATTCTCACATCTAGTGCACCTACCATTACAAGGAGGCAGGGGATTAAACACAAAGGCTTTCTAAGTAACATGTTACAGTATTGTAAAGAATACTATATTGAATTGAGCATAAAGCTCCTATCTAAGGGAATACTATCTACTTATATAGTGGCATTGTGCCTTATAGGTAATCTGGATAGTTGATGGATAGCTAGATAATCTAGATAGTTGATGGATAGCTTAACTATCTAATATCCACTAGTTTCTGCAACTATCCACTAGCCTGGTCACACTATAGCCTAGCCCTACTAGCCCTACTAGCCCTGTGACTTCTTAGGTCACGTTACTAAGCCTAGCCCCACTAGCCCCATAACTAACGTCACGTTACCATAGCCGTAACAATTATCCATAAGGCATGACATGTTACGGCTAAGTGCTAGTGCTATGGACTCACGTGATGGATAACATTGGATATCATGGATATTATGTTATCCATGTTATCCCGGGGACTGACGGAATGTCATGTGATGGATAACATTGGATATCATGGATATTATGTTATCCATGTTATCCACAGGGATCCACGGAATATCAGGTGATGGATAACATTGGATATCATGGATATTATGTTATCCATGTTATCCACGGATATCCCTTTGGCACGACGCCACTATATAAGTAGATAGTATTTCCTTAGATAGGAGCTTCGTGCTTAACTTAATATAGTATCCTTTACAATACTATAATGTGTTACTTAGAAAGCCTTTGTGTTTAATCCCCTGCCTCCTCTGTTAAGTCAACCTTATGTAAGAAACCTCTATGTCTTCTATAGTTTAGAAGTTAGTGTTACACTAGTAGCCACCAAGGTTATAAGGGATAGCCTCACCTTCCTTTCTTTCTTCTTCTTCTCTCTTTAGATTCAATCTAGCTTACTTTACCAGACTAGCATCATGACCTCTGTGACCATTGTAACAAATATAAGCCTTAATGAAGATCTTAATCTAGCAGCTATATCCCTGCTTTAGCACACTAAAACATCTAACATCAAGTAGCTAAGTTAGATGAGATGAGTAAGGAGGTAGGCAAAGAGTGATAATGTTGTGTGCCTTGTAATACTCTTGGAATTCTGCTGATTCATGACTCTTATGCCCATTAAGGACAAGCATTTGATATAGACCCTTTGCTTAAGGAGCAGTATGCTTATCAAAGTGCTGTATTCATTCTAGACCCGTTATTGTTTGTCTATCTATTACTTGTAGGTTTAATAACCTAGTTATGTAGGAGACCGCTATATATATACTAATTTGCAAGATGAGTCTTTCCTTAAACTACTAAAAATAGAGATACAAGCAATTGCTATAGCCCATTCTCAATTGCCTAGTTGAACTGCCTTGCCTCTGCTACATCGATCGGCGCATATAACAACCATAGTTAGGCAGATTATGCCCATCATAAAGCCTGTCTTGTTGAAGTTGTACAAAAAGCAGTCGAGAATGCCATATTTCGCCTTCATATCTTCTACTAGTTGAAACCACGTGCCGATTAGCTTAGGATCTTCGTGTGGGGATAAATGGAGATGGTGCCGCAGCCTGAAACCTACTGTGAGACTGCCGAGTAATTACCCGAGGATATAGTATAAATTAGGGCTTATCCCGACCGTAGAATAATTAGTCGAATTGATCCTGTTAAATCCCTCCAACACTTCGTATATGGCCCTTTGAAAGTCGGAAACGCGATTAAAACGATGAGCCTAGCGCGTTCTAACACACTTTCCCCCCTGCGATTTCAGGATAAAATTCGGCATATCTTCTACACTAGCAAGGCGGGGCGCAAATCAATTCCTCCTCTAGCTTAGTCAATTTGTGACAGTTGGCCCTAGATTCGCGTCGAGTTGTTTAGCTAGCCATTCTATCACAAAGGGTAGGTTCGGGGGCATTATAGATCTTTGCAGCAGAGTGACAACTTAGTTTTTTAGATGGCTAGAATGATTCGTGCTTCTTGCGTTTGAATTTCCGTTGTGGTTGGTTGAGAAAACGCGTGTTAAAGTTTATGGGGAGTGGGGAGGGGCGACTCGGCGTCGTGCGCGACTCGGTGTACAACCACGTTATATGAAAATGAATAAGTAAACAAGGGCAAAAGAATTCAATACCATGCATCACCCCTGTAAAGAACTCAGTGCCAGGCTTGATCTAAATATAGATAAGTGAGTATAGCCGTCTACGCCAAGCATTCCTGACCTTCCCCTTTTGATGCTTTAGGTGCTTTCGATGGTGATCATTCGAATAGAGCCTCGCTGCCGCCACCTCACCGTCGCCAACCTCGCTGTCGCCTGCTAACTCGCTAGCGACGAGAGCGGGATCATGGAGGGTTGCTCCCTCTTGGTGCTGTTGTGGCGAGAGTACCAGATCTGGTACCCTCTCGTTGTAGCACCTGTGGGGAGCCAGGGCACAACATGAGGTCGTGTCGGCGACCTCATGGATGAGGAAGGGGGCTACAGGAGCTACGGGGGCATTAGGGGTGCTGCAGCTGGTCATGGAAAGCCTTCTGGAGGCAGGAGTTGGGAGTCAGGGAGAACGTCACCAATTTGGTGGCATTCGCAGGGTATTGTATTCTTTTAGCTATCTGTTAGGTATCAAGTTCTTTACAGGGGTGATGCATGGTATTGAATTCTTTTGCCCAGTAAACAAACGCAAATATAGCCCGTCTATCTTATCTTATTTTTATGCCCTATTTTTATCTGTTCGGTCAAGGGTCAACAAGCGAAGCTATTTATATGGGAATCAGTTCTGCATTGGATACGTCATCGCCGCTTGCCGCCATCAACCGGAAAGATGCTTGAGTGGATCTCCAGCCTTTGCTTTCTTAAGTAGGTGGCACATACTGGCACATAACTGGCACAAATATGAGACAAGTGTACTAGCATTTAGTTTAGCTACAATTTAGACAGTCGTGAGGGGTCCCGCTCTTGCACATTGACAGATACAAACTTACCTATATACCCCTTGCATCTCGCTCCTGATCGCCTCTGATTTTCACAATATTTTATATATATACGTGCAGTCTCGCGCGACTCACATTCTTCCCAAACCACTGACTGCCTGCCTGACAATCGCCAGAATGTCTACAGGTGCCCCGGAGCACCCAGCGGTGGAGAAATCCCACGACGTGAAGGGCGCCTTCAAGCACCCCTTCTCGCGCTTGAAGGAGAAGTTCGAGAAAACGAGCTTGGAAGATGTGAAGATCTCTCTGATTGTAAGTTTGCGCAACAATTATGGCCATTTAGACCAACTACTGACCAGACAATAGCACAAGAAGCAAGTCGCCCCCCGCCATTAACCCCGCACCCGACTAACAATTCCAGGCACGAGCTGGGTAAATTCGCAAACCTCGTAGGTTCACCAATTCCAGAGTCCCGATCGCAGCTAATGGGAGTAGCTCAATAGCAACCACCGTCACGACGAGGAGCACGAGAAGGCGACAGACCAGAAGCGCACAGGCATTTCAGAGTCCCACAGATTCAAGTCGTTTGCGCCAGAGCGCTTCGACAACGATGTGAAGTGGTACGTGGATGGACGGGATTACTTCTGGGTAAGCACTCTCTGACGCCTGCGCGCGCATTGAGCTGACCATACAAAGGCTGTGTCGGTGGCCCTCGAGGAGGCGAAGGAGACGATCTACATTGCCGACTGGTGGCTCTCGCCCGAGCTATTCCTGAGACGACCCCCATACTATAACCAAGAATGGCGCCTGGACCAAATCCTGAAGAGGAAGGCCGAGCAGGGAGTCAAGATCTACATAATGTGACTATACCCCCAGGAAGGCTGCTTCGAACATCGCTAATAATTCTGCGCAGTGTATACCGCGAGGTGGAGGCCGCACTTACTTGCAACTCGGAGCATACGAAGAAAGCCTTGAGGGGTCTTTGTCCGGAAGGCAGCCCTGGATACGGAAATATCATACTCATGCGTCACCCGGATCACAACGTGTTCGAGAATGCGGCGGATATGACGTTCTACTGGGCGCATCACGAGAAGTTCATTGTGATTGATTACGCTATCGCTTTTATTGGTGGCTTGGATCTGTGCTTTGGGCGTTGGGATAGCCACCAGCACGCGCTTGCTGATGTGCACCCTAATGGTGTTGCGGAGGAGGTAAGCTACACCCATTATTGGGCGATTTGATCAGCTGCTAACGAGAACGTAGATTTGGCCCGGCCAGTAAGCTTTGCCTCCATGAAGTTGACTCTGCGAGAGAAGTTGCTGACAATCTCTAGGGACTTTAATAACAACCGTGTTATGGATTTCCACAACGTGGATGACTGGGAGCAAAATCAAATCAGCAAAGCTGAGTATGGACGTATGCCATGGCACGACACCGCCATGGGCGTCATCGGAGACTGCGTTGTTGATATCGCAGAGCATTTCGTCCTGTAAGTCTCCTTATCAACTTCGCTCATTACGGCCTTTCTAACGCTTTCACGCAGCCGCTGGAACTTCGTCAAGAGAGACAAGTACAAGCGCGACAAGAACTACCCCTGGTTAATCATGGAGGGCAGAGAAGGTGAGAATGAGGACATCATTGGCGTCCAGAGGCCGAAGCACCCCGTGGGAGGATATGTCAAGCACCCCTTGACTCCACTTTCGACCAAGAAGCTCGGAAAGCAGGGCACGATCCACGCGCAGATTGTGCGAAGCAGCGATGATTGGAGCAGTGGAATCCTCACGGAGCACAGTATTCAGAATGCGTACTGTGAGGTGATTCGCAATGCGGAGCATTATGTTTACGTTGAGAACCAGTTCTTCATTGTAAGTGCTACTGATCATGCAGCGTCGTGTTATGGAAGGTACTAATGTTTTGTAGACTGCTACTGGCGAAGAACAGTCTCCAGTTAAGAACCAAATCGGAGCAGTAAGTACCCTATATTATGCGTATAGGCTACGGTATTGATAGACTAACACAAAACCCAGGCTATTGTCGATGCCGTTCTCAGAGCAGCAAAGGAGGACCGCAAATTCAGGATAATCCTGGTCATCCCGGCGGTACTTATATCCAAGCCATTTCTTTATTTATTATAACTAACGGGGTAATCTGTAGATCCCAGGATTCGCTGGTGACCTCAGAGATGATGCTGCGGCTGGTACACGTGCTATCATGTGAGTCTCCTTACGCGCTGAAAAATAACAATCATTTGACTGACCAACCTTAGGGACTACCAATACAAGTCCATCTGCCGTGGCGAGCAATCCATCTTCGGGCGCATCAAAGCCGCAGGCGTTGACCCCGAACAGCACATCCATTTCTTTAACCTACGCTCCTACGACCGCCTAAACGTCACACCCAAAGTCAAGAAGCAAGAGGAGGAGTCGGGCGTCTCGTACCAGGAAGTCCAGAAGGCTGAAGCCCATAAGATCATGGGCGGTGGAATTGATGGGCAGGGTAAGGACGGTGGTGTCCCCGGACCCCAGGAACCAGGCCGTCAGGCCTCAAACACTGCAGAGCAAGAGAGGGAGACCGATGCTATTCGCAAGTTCGAAGCTCATCGCGATGAGACTGGTGGAAGACAACCCGAGAGTAAAGACAGGTTTGTACCGCTCCCCCACCACTATCTCGTCCCATAGTTGAAATCTCACCACTAACATACCAGCGTCGCCAAAAACGCCATGCTCGGCCAGCCCAGCCTCGCCTCCGAAGCCTGGGAAGGCGACGACCAAGAAGAGGCCAACCTCTGGATCCAAGAAGAACTCTACGTCCACGGCAAACTCCTCATCGTCGACGACCGCATCGCCATCTGCGGCAGCTCCAACATCAACGACCGCTCGCAAATCGGGTATCACGACAGCGAAATCGCAATCGTGATGGAAGACACTGAGATCCTCCAGAGTACCATGAACGGCAAGCCCTATGAAGCGCGCCGCCATGCTGCTACGCTCCGCCGCTACTTGTGGCGCGAGCACCTTGGTCTCCTGCGGCCGCAGGAGCTGGATGCGAGTAACGACCGGAACGCGCAGCCGCCGCCGATCAAGAATGATGCGGAGGAGGATGAGCATTATGAGTTTGTGGCTGATCCGTTGGGTGATGATCTGTGGAATATGTGGACGCAGAGGGCGACGCAGAATACGAGGGTGTTTAGGCAGTTGTTCCATGTGAGTGCCTCCGTGTGCGCCTTGGAAGAGTGTGAGACTAATGTTGATATTCTAGGCGGATCCGGATAACTGCGTCAAGACGTTTGAGGAGTACGAGAATTACCTCCCACCTAAGGGAAATCGCGCGGGACATATCTTTGATAAGCAGCGTGCGGCTACGGAGATTCGTGAGCAGTTGGATACTGTCAAGGGACATCTGTAAGTCCCCAGCAAGCTCCATGGAGGGCATATAGAATCAATCTAACATGTAAATAGAGTATGGATGCCGCTTGACTTCTTGAAGGACGTGGATCTAGCGGAAAAGAATGCCGGGATGGCGGTGAACCAGTGGACGGAGAGTATTTACACGTGAGCATTTTGGAATGGTAAAAGGGCATATATACTTTTAGGTCTATATTTACGAAAGGCTGGGATATACAGTCTCGCTGAATTCCAATGGTGTTCATCAGGGTCAATTTTGGTGCACTTGCATCGTGGTCATTATGAGCGGAAATTTGGTATTTGTTTTGTGTCATTTTGTTCTTTTTGCACTTCATCCTGACCTTCTGGTTTCTCGCCACCTATCTTCTTGCTCGTCCGCCTCTTTCTACAGATGCAATTATCCCGCGTTGTTCATCGAAGACAGCGTGTATAACGAGGTTGTTAGTTCTTATATTAACGAATGCAACCTCAGAAACATACAACGAGGCTGTTAGTTCTTAGATTGACTAATGCAACCTCAGAAACATTTTTCCTACGTCTAGACGTCGGTCATGTTCTCTAGCATCGTCAACCTCCGAACTCGGCTGGGTCGTGACCAGATGGATTTTCCAGATTCTCCCCAATGAGCATGGCGACCAGCCATGGAGCAGCACCAATAGCCACCAAGTTTGACAGACACACCAACTAAGCCGAACGGTGCCAGCTTTCGTTGCGATCCGTCTCTTCAATTGAATGCCGATTACCCAGCCATTAGGGAATGGCCACAGGGTGCGATCCCTCTCGGACCAAGGTTGCGATGCCGCAGACCTCATTGCTTGAAAGTGCCCTGCTGAGTCTGGTGTTGTTCGGCGATGGATGGGTAAGAGCGCGCCGCTGCCGCATTTGAGAGTTGGAGGTGGGGTTGGAAAGCACCAGCCCGAAGCGTGCTATAAATTTAGCAGAGAGCTTGACCGGATGGATTCCAAGTTCCCATCCTTTTGGGTTTCGGGGGACAACAGCCAGGTCTGTCCGCAGGCGAGAATCTTCCTCGGCCAAGAGGCGAGGGTTGTAAAAGACTGACCCATGGGGTATTCCGACAGGACGGGCCATTCCATAGCTCTTTTATGGAACGTCTCGGGGTGTAACCTTGGCATCCCGAGAGTAACAACGACCATGGTAATCGTCACCACGGTGAAGGCTTTCGTGCAGCCCTTCACTGGGCATTGGAAATCCCCGTTTTGGACGTGGGGGTTTCGCGGTTTATAGAAACCCCCCAACTCAACCTAACCAACACACTCGTCTCACTCCTGGGAAGCACCTCCAAACACCCCAACACCCTAACTTTGACCTCCATCCCTTCGGTAGCAGAGCTTCTGCTGCGGCGTACCGCAGAGGACAATCCATGATAGATGGGGGTCGGCGGGCTTCCGCCTTGGCCCGCCAGCTTTCGTGGCTAGGAAAGAAGACTCGGGCTACAGTACAGTAGAAGAGCGATAGTGATGGTTTCCGAGAGGGTTCTTACCTTGAAGAGGGCATGACAAATAATCTGGTGCGCTGACGCAGCTTCCGAGAAGCCGAATCTTAGGTTTGTCTTTGTACAGTCCTAGATTATTTGTTAGAAAGCTCTATGAAGAATTTAAAAGCGGTTAATATATACCTGCCAAAAAGAACCAAGTTTTAGTACCTAAGAATGAGCATCGTATGCTACGGGCGGGCGGATGGCTTCACCATGTCTGCAAGGGAGGCCATCACGTGCCACCACGTGAGGCCCCTATCTGTTGAGGGAAACGGACTTTCCCGCTGGGAAACAGTGGGTTTTTACACCCAAAATAACGGGTTATCCCCGTGGGATCGTCCAACTCCCAGTTTAGTTTACGGGTGAGACAGTGGCGCCATACTATTGGAAGCCACTGATCCAAACCCAGCTGAAGCCCGGAAAGCTCAGCTCGTCAGGGTTTTGGGGGTTTCCCCCAGGGCTACAAATAGCGTACGTAGGCCCGTAGATTAGGTAATAATTCAATTTGCCGTGTTCTACTGTGAAGGCTCCGTTACCCGCAAGGAATCAATTACGGTGGTTGAGGATTACCATACAAATCCGTGTGTAATTCCCACTTTCCGCAATCACCTCTAACACTATCTGTTAGAACTTGTTGAACATATAATTGGAGTTTGACGACTTGATTGGGAAACTATGGGGGGCGAAGCCCCTATATATACACAGTTGATATATAGGCTGTGTATATATAAGGGCTTCGCCCCCTGTAGTTTCTCAATCAAGTCGTCAAATTCTAAATATGTACTCAACACTATTAGAAGGGCCCGTAGGGCTTGGCAAACTAGGGCATAGGGTGCCTAGATAAAGGGACTAGAGCCCTTAGAAGAAGGACTCTAGTTAATAGTCGCTGTATATATGTAGACCTATTGTGCTTACTAAATACGATACCTTCCTGTAATGGTAGGTGCACTAGATGTGAGAATCTAGAGTGTCATACTGACATTCGTTGCACTTAGTTTGCTATCAAACTCAAGAGCAAACTTAGAAATCTCCTCCTCAAACCTACAAGTCACTATACATATCTTGGCTTATTACACCAACAACAAGAGCAATACTAACTACTCAATGATTGCTGCAAACTCTTCTACTACATTTGTTTATGCTACATACATCACGGCATATCATTTGGACACTCATTAAACAAGTTATTAAGAAAATCCCCTCCTTAAGGGGGTGGGCCAATACCACCACATGGCATATCTCTACCAACTAGAGGCCTAGGAACATGAGCCATAGCTCTAGAAGCTTCTACAACCCTCTATGATTCATTACACAACATCGCTCCTTAGTTAACCACAATATTGGTTAAGTTATGACATAATTTGTCTATAGGGGTACTCTGACCTTAGACCGCCTTTCACTTCCTATAGGCTAGGAACCCAAGAGATGGTTCTATGGGATTCTCTTACGTTCACTACATGATTAGCAAGCTAGTTGTGGGTCGCACTTGATTTCTAATACATCTACCAAGCCTGGTTAGTCATGGAAAGTCATGGAAAATGATAGAACTACACTCCTTTGGCATAAATAGGATTGTCCTTTCCTTAAGAAAGGGCAAGCAGACAATACAGTAAATCGACTAGCACATACTTCTACGTCTTTTCCAAGCTTCCAAGCATTAATCTTGTTATTCTTTGTTTCTGAAAAGTCAGTGAGGTGCTAACCTCTGACTTACCCCTGAGTTCTCAGACTCAACATTTGTTACAACTTGTCTAAACCACTTCACTACATCATACACCTGATTGCTGCATTGTGGAATAGTCTAAGCTACAACCCTTTGGCTCTGTTTCCTAAGACAGTGTGTTGTCTTAGTAAAACCATCCCCTTCCTTAGGTGGCTAGATTCTCACATCTAGTGCACCCACCATCATATAAAGGAGTGTAGTTCTCTCATTTTCTAAGTCTTTCCATGACTAACTAGGCTTGGTAACTGTATTAGAAATCAAGTGCGACCCACAACTAGCTTGCTAATCATGTAGTGAACGTAAGAGAATCCCATAGAACCATCTCTTGGGTTCCTAGCCTATAGGAAGTGAAAATGAGGTCTAAGGTTAGAGTACCCCTATAGACAAATTATGTCATAACTTAACCAATCTTGTGGGTAGCTAAACCCTTCACACTTAGGTGACTGAGTATTTTGGAACATTTTTGGCAAATAACAATTAGCTTGCTAGTTGATTTCCGAGCACCTTAGTCAAAGTCACTCCATACATTAGAAGTCTAAGTTGTTGACCCCTAATTGATTTGCTTATTAGTACTTAGGAACAGATTTGGTTGCTCTTTATACCAGGACTGATGATGCCACTAGTCATTAAATAGTTCTGCTTTTGAAGGCATCCACTTTAGCACATTAAGACCTTGGATCGTTACTAAACCATCCCATTGGTAGTTAAGTTGTTAAGAGGACTCAACCTTAGGTGTTATGTTGCTTGATTAAGGATCATCGAGAGAAAATACATCACTATAGGTATGTGCATGTATTAGTGAACTTAAAGATTGGTTATAAAACATGATATTTGAATATATTAAGATTATATTATTTTAAAGAAAATAAAACAGCTGATATTTCTCAAAGCATATATCTATTCTGTACGTACCTCTCTGTTCGCTTGAATTTAACATTTAGAATATTTTAGATTACTTATGGAGTATATTTTTATAGTAGGTTTTAATAATATGGGCCTTTGAGAATAAGAGCCAATTATAGTAATATTTATAGTAAACTAAGGAGTGTAGTGTAGAGTAGTGTATTAAGCTAACTAGACTGTTCTGAAAATAATACCTAATCTACATACTATAGAACTGGGCAAGAAATTCCTTAGACTCCTTCATTAGTGGCAACAGGAACAATCTATCCTTAGATGGGAAAATCCATTTGAAGTCCACTAGTTCAACTTCCTCCCTTAACATTTCCCAAGCCTTGAATGCACCGGTAGCATCTGAATCCAATTGAAGCTTTGTGAAGTAGAGGTGAGGGGGAGTCTTCCCATACTATATTCTGTACGTACATGTTAGCTGATTACTATAATGATTACTATAGTGACTCTTACCTAGTCTCCTTATCAATTGCTAGAGGAAGGTTCTTGAGGAAGTCAGGGTCTGTATTCACTTTGTTCATAAGCTTCAGAGTTGACTTGTATGCCGTTGACCATTTATGGTGCCAAATGGTGAAGGCAAGCTCCTCTACTCTCTGTGTCTATATTAGTAGTAGTCCCCTAATAGTGTAGCTAATCATACCTTAGTTGAGGCTTTAGGCTAGGTCTCTACTTCTAGCTAGACCTTCTCAATCTCATTGATCCAACGGCTCCAGTTCGCCGTCAACGTGTTCCCGGTCCACATCATCCTCGCTGTCGGAAGACTTGTACTCCTCAGCCAAGGCGACGTCGGGAAGGTGGCAGTGCTAGAAGGAGTCAGTGGGGCTAGCGGTAGCAAGGCGGAGGTGATACGTACAATAGCCTTCTGGATGTCATTGCCAAGGTGATTGGTGCGGCGCAGGCTTCGGACCTCTGACGCGATCTCAAGGATGGCGAGACCAAGGTTCACCTTCTGCGGCTGCGAGTCGTGGCCCACGCGGTGTCAGCGATGAAGGAGGTTCTTGCCCTGCATGACGTAGGCTGTATACTTCTTCTGGACAGCTGCTAGGATCTTGGTGCGGTTGTTGGCTAAGGTCTTGGAGAAGGTCTCCTCGTCGCGCTGAATAGTGTCGCGATACAACTGGAAGGCGTCAGCGAGGCGGTTGAACTGGCGGAGGGCAAAGGTCGGGATCTAGGCTGTCAGTAAACAGACAAGATGCAGAGGATCTGTGGACTTACTGGGAGGCACTTGTTGTGTTGCTCCACACAGTACTCGCAATGGCTCATTGGGTTCTTCTTCTCACAGGCGAGAAGTCGGCGATCCTTGTACACCTGCTTAGAGCAGCGAAGGCAGAGGTTGAGCTTGGCCTTCTTGCGAAGGATCTTTGACGGGGAGGCAGCCATGACCTCCGAGGGGGTGTTCTGGTGGTGACCATGTGATGGGGTGGCAAGGACACGGCAGCGCAGGTCCACAACTGAATCAGAGCGTCCAGGGCGAGAAGGAGAGCGCCCACAGCGAGAAGGACCAGCGGCAGAAGGGTGCGGGAGGGACGCGCATCGTAGCCTTCGATGCTTGCAAGGGGGGCTTCATCCTTGCCTCGGGCAGCAGTGAGGGAGCGGGCTGCAGCCTCCTCTTTGGCCTTCTTGTTCCTGGCCTTAGTGGCAGCAGCCTTCACTGCCGTCGCTTGCTTCTTCTCCACCATGGCATCAATGGTGCCAAGGCATTCTGCTTCAGTAAGGCGAGCCTCTACAGGGCTGGCACGAGGGGCAGGCGGAGGGTTGGCGACCTTCTTGGCCTTACCCTTGCCCTTGAAGGAATCCTTCTTGGGAGCCATTGTGGGGAGGGTGTAGGTGGAATTGTGGAAGCCTACAGATCAATCAGTATGAGGATCTAGGGCGTTGAGAATAGTACTTACAACGGAAGGGAAGCAGAAGGTGAGCGCAACAGAAGACGACAGGAAGAGGTTGTGTTGTTGTGTAGGTAGGCGAAGTTCAGAGGAAGAAGAAGAAGCACCTACAACAAACACCACAACAACACGTAGGCGAAGTGTTGCCGCCTACTAGGAATACCTTAATTGTTAGGCCGGCAAAGCAGCACCACCCCCATCAATAACCTCACTTTCCACAATCGACATTCTCGGGCTCAAAGGGGCTTGAGCCTCAAAGGGGCTTGAGCCTCAAAGGGGGGGATAATTGTCACGAGCGTATCACGTGTGGAGGTATAGCATGTGAGCTACGGTGCCAAGACAGAAGATCGTCAGGCTGAAGAACATGTCAGGCTGTAGTATATAGTAGGAACGCGGACCTTCGGAGGAAGGTCAGCGTTCAGTCTTCGTAATCTACAGGATCTACTACGCGTATGTGATTGAGAACGTGACCTCGTACTGCCCTGTTCATTTGAAGATCCTTACACCGGTCTACGCAGTTCGGCCTGGTTTTCTAACCCGGACCGTGGTCCGGGTTGAAAAATCTTCAGACCGGCGGTTTGGAACCGTCGGTCCCCCGTGACTAGGCTGCGCACTACTTGCTCAATACTCGGCTCACTCACTCAGTGGGTTACTCAGCTGGGTGAGTAGCTGAACCTTTTACTCGACTCGGTGAGTGAGGTCAATACTCAGTTACTCTGTAAAAACCCAGTGAGTACTCGGCTATCACGTGTAAGATTTATGCATCATGTGAAAAGTCCCTCATACGATTAATACTGTTTTATGGTTAAGTTAAAGTATTACATCTATCAGCATCACTCTCACCATCTCTAGTAAGCTGTGAGAACGAATCATGTATATTCCTCTATCTAAGTACCACAATTATCAGAAGATTATCCTATTATCTATTATATATGCTTAAGAACATCTCTCCACCTTGCTTGATGAGGCCGGCCAGACCTACTAATACCTAAAGTATTTATGGGGTCTTGACGAGTAGCTTGAAAGATATCAAGTAAATCTCTTCCAGTCTTCCGAGCATGTTGGTAACCAAGGAAGGTGGTTCTAAGGTTGTGATTATTTTAAAGTTGCAAACAAAAATATTCGTGAAGGAATATTCACCTACAAAGAATTACTTACTGTTCCAAAAGCAACACCACAACGCGCACCTTCATATAAAACACATACCTTTCAACCTCTACCTCTTTTCTATACTCTTCTTCTGCAATATTCTTCCTACAAACTCACTGTAAGTACACATATCTTTTGATCTACTTCTTTGTCTTGTGTTTACTTCACTAACTCACCTTGATATTAGCAAATGGCTCATACCAAGCAAACTGCTAGGAGATCAACTGGCGGCACAGCACCAAGGATGCCACTTGGATGCTTGGTGGAAAGGGAAAGGAAAGGCTGTGGGCACAGCAAGAAAAGCTCCAGTTCGCTCAGCTAGCAACAATGTAATGGTGGGTGCATCAGATGTGAGAATCTAGCCACCCAAGGAAGGGATGAATTTACTAAGACAACACACTGTCTTAGAAAACAGAGCCAAAGGGTCGTAGCTTAGACTATTCCACAACGCAGCAATCAGGTGTGTGATGTAGTGAAGTGGTTCAGACAAGTTGCAACAAATGTTGAGTCTGGGAACTCAGGGGTAAGTCAGGGGTTAACACCTCACTGACTTTTCAGAAACAAGGAGTAACAAGATCAATGCTTGGAAGCTTGGAAAAGACGTGGAAGTATGTGATAGTCGATTTACTGTATTGTCTGCTTGCCCTTTCTTAAGGAAAGGGCAATCCTATTTATGCTAAAGGAGTGTAGTTCTCTCATTTTCCAAGACTTTCCATGATTACCAGGCTTGGTAACTGTAGTCGACGTAAGAGAATCCCATAGAACCATCTCTTAGGTTCGTAGCCTATAGGAAGTAAAAGGAGGTCCAAGGTCAGAGTACCCCTATAGACAAATTATGTCATAACTTAACCAATCTTGTGGGTAACTAAAGAGCGATGACATGTAATGAATCATAGAGGTTCGTAGAAGCTTTTAGAGCTATTGTTCATGCTCCTAGGCCTCTAGTTGGTAGAGATATGTCATGTGGTAGTATGAGTGATGTCATGTAATGAATCATAGAGGGTTGTAGAGATATGCTATGTGGTAATATCGGCCCAGTAACTAAGGAGCGATGACGTGTAATGAATCATAGATGGTTGTAGCAATCGTTGAGTAGTATTGCTCTTGTTGTTGGTGTGATAAGCCAAAATATGTATAGTGACTTGTAGGTTTGAGGAGGAGATTTCCAAGTTTGCTCTTGAGTTGATAGCAAACTGAGTGCAACGAATGTCAGTATGACAAACAATCATGCTCAGAAGGCCATGCGCCGTGCAAAATCTGGTAAGAGGATTACCAGAGGATTACCAGAGGATTACCAGAGGATTACCAGAGGATTACCAGAGGATTACCAGAACTCTCTAATAAACATATAGGCACCAAGGCTCTCCGCGATATCAGAAGACAGCAACTCGATACTAGCCTAATTATCCCAAAGCTCCCATTCCAGCGTCTTGTTAGGGAAATTGCAGAAGACTTCAAGTCCAATCTTCGCTTCCAGCAATCTGCTATCCTAACTCTTCAGGAAGCTGCTGAATGCTTCCTCATTCGAGAATTTGAGAGTATGATGTTTAAACATAGTGACAGGGACACTAACAGTTATAGTGACAAACCTTCTCGCTATTCATGTGAAGAGAGTGACAATTCAGGCAAAGGATATGATATTGGTTCGGCGTTTGCAGGATATGATGTTTAATCATGGAGCTGTGGGCTTAATCGATGGAAATGTGTCTCACCCAGGAATGAAGGTCAGATGAGTTCTGGCAACCTTCTGGTAACCTGGTACCTAAAGGCCAAAGGTTATAGTGTGGAATAGGACATCAACAATATGGGAATGGAGTTATGGAGTTATGGAGTTATGGCATCTTGATCAATGAAGTCGCGCCCCGTTTTTAACATAAGTAATGGCTAATCAAACACGTGATATAACTGAGTTGCCAAGACCCATACTAGGTACTCAGCAAGTGAGTAATCCTCATTCAACAATACTCGGGACAGTGAGTAACTCAGCTGGGTGAATAAAAATTCTACTACTCGACTTGTGAGTACCCAGTGCGCAGCCTACCCGTGACGCACGCTAGGAATCATGAGCTTTGTAGAGCTTTAGAGGCAGACCTGCCCCTTGGTCTTTCAAAGTCTTGTGCGCACTTCGATTGCGAGCCCTCTCAATTTCAGGCTTGGATTCGGGTGGTTGATTGAGATGACTGGGCATCGAATCTCAAAGCCGCGCATAGGAAGCACTTTTTCTCCCGTTCATTTTTAGACGAGTTTAGGAGGAGGGGTTGTGGAACACTACCTCAGTGACTCCACCCATGCCGTATCCGTTTCGGCCTGCCATGTTGGGTGAGTATCAAAATGTCACGAGCATCATCACGTGCGGACTCCAATCACGTGCACTGCGGTGCCAAGGCGGAGGGTCTTCACTCCGAACCCCGCCCGGAATCGTATATAGTAGGAACGCGGACCTTCGGAGGAGGGTCAGCGTTCAGTCTTCGTATCAATAGAGGGCCTTACTATGTAACTATCCATAACGTGACTTCCCGCTGCCCTGTTCTACCAAGGCTCTCTTACACAAAATGAGGGTGGTAAGTGAGCGGAGGAGGAAAAAATAAAATTGTTTAATGTTGTAAATATATATAACGTGGTTTATCAGTACGTCGGACATATCAGTACCTCGGACACTTTTCCCGAATTTCCTACCCTCTAACTTCACAACGCGTTTTTTCCACCTTTTATTATGTCAGTGATTACCCAAGAAGCAAAAATCATTCTAGCTATCGAGGCTATCGAGGCTATCCGAACATAAAAAAATCTAAGTCGTCGGAAGGCTGCTAAGCTCTATGAAGTACCTCATTCTACACTCTGCGACAGAATGAACGGCTGAACTACTGTCTACGAACGCCGGCCTGCAATGATGAAATTAACTATACTAGAAGAGGAGGTGGTTATTCAGAATATACTTGATATGGATTCAAGAGGATTTGCACCCCGGCTTGCTGGTGTAGAAGATATGGCAAATTTTATACTCGAATCGCGTGGAGGGAGGCGCGTCGGGAAGCTCTGGGCCCACCGATTTGTACAACGACGTCCAGAATTAAAGACGCATTTTAATCGCGTTTACGACTTCCAAAGGGCCTTGTGCGAAGATCCTGAACTAATTGGCGCGTGGTTTCGACTAGTGGAAAATATGAGGGCAAAATATGGTGTTTTGGACTGCGACTTCTATAACTTTGACGAAACTGGGTTTATGATGGGTGTGATTTGCCCTGCAATGGTTGTTACCCGTGCAGATCGACTTGGCAGAGGTAAGGCAGTTCAGCCAGGGAATCGGGAATGGGCTACAACGATTGCTTGTATCAACAGTGACGGCTGGAGTATTCCTCCATTTTTGGTAGTTAAAGGCAAGAATCATCTTGCAAATTGGTATACAGACGGCGGCCTTCCACACAACTGGGTTGTTAAACCGACAAGCAATGGATGGACAAACAATGAGACGGGTCTAGAATGGTTGAAACACTTCAACAAACATACTGCTGTTCGTGCAAGGGGTCCATATCGAATGCTGGTGTTAGACGGGCACGAGAGTCATGAATCAGCCGAGTTCCAAGAGTACTGCAAGGCACACAACATTATAACTCTTGGACTACCTCCCCACTCGTCTCATTTAACTCAGCCACTTATGTCAGGTGCTTTAGTGTGTTGAAGCGGGCATATGGTCGGCAGATTGAGACCTTCATTAAGGCTCATATCAACCACATTACCAAGGTCGAGTTCTTTCTCGCCTTTAGAGCAGCATAGCTGGAATCCATGACAGCCCAAAACGCCCAGTCCGGGTTCCGCAGAGCTGGCTTAGGCCTTTCGACCCACAAGCAGTGCTTTCAAAGCTTGACGTGAGGTTACGGACTCCAACTCCCTCTAGACCCTCTACTGCCAACACCAACCCTTGGGTCTCCCAGACCCCTTCCAACCCAACTGAAGCTCTTTCACAAACAACCCTCATTCGAAATCGAATTGCCCGTCACCAAGGAAGCTCGCCAACTCCACTCTTCAGGACAGTTATTGCATTGGCAAAGGGTACGGAGCGACTAGCACATGAGAACACCCTTCTGTCTGCTGAGGTACGTACCCTTCGAGCAGCCAACGAAGCCCTTAGCAAACGCCGCAGGGCTAAAAAGGCTCGTGTCCGTGAAGGAGGTGCACTTATAGTAGAGGATGCACAGGCTATTATCGCACAGAAGGATGTGGATGAGCAGGTACGACGCGACGTACGTGCGGTTGGGGGTAGTCGCAAGGAGGGGCAACCGTCTAGGCGATGCTGTGGGATCTGTGGAAAAGCTGGTCATAATGCGCGAACTTGTCAAGAAGCTATAGATATGTCTAGTTCATCTGATTCTGCTTAGTTATAGTTAATTTAATATGTTATGGTTGATTTATTGATATTCAAAGTAGAATGCCAATGAAAAGTGTCCGAGGTACTGATATGTCCGACGTACTGATAAACCACGTTATGTATATAAGCGAGAATATAATGTGTGAAGAGCAAGTTCAGTTATGGAGGAGGCATTGCCCGTTTTATAGATAACTTCCTAGGATAAAGCAAGATTATCGGGATAGCAACCCAAGTCTTGTTTCCTGCGATTGCCAATTCGAGGCCGACAAGCAGCTTGCTAGCACGCACTGCATCGCGGAATCTGATATTGTTTGAGTTGTGACTATGTATTGTGTGTTGCTGGCCTCACGAGACGGCAACTTGGCAGCTTGCTGACATGAAATGCTCTGTGGGAGTATAGTCATGCTTTGCTCACCATTTTGCCCGCTCTTTAGATTCGCAGTGTTTTAGCGAACCTACCAAACACAGCAACCGTCAAGTTAAACACTTTGAATGGGAACCTGTTTGTAACATGCATTCAATCAAGGGCGGTTGATCTGGTTCTGTTTTCAACCCCTGCAATGGCTTGGAGGGATAGTAAGAGCACACAGGGTAAAGGAATTGGTCCGGGTGCCAAGTCCAACAGTGCAAAGATCACCCAGCAGCTTTCCGACATGCACGGAATTGGATCTTATTCTCGCCCCTGCTTTCTTTCAGCACTCCTGTATGTCTGGGATCAGAACATTGGTACGCGTGTATAGTCAAAATAAACGAGCAAGCGCCAAGTCCAACATATGGCAGCAGGCAGCTTGCTGATACGCATCGGACTACTAGATCCTTTACTTGTTCTCGTTCTTTTTCGAAACCCACGGGTTAGGCAAAGAGACCGTAAGGCCCGACGAAAACAATCAAGTACGAAGTCCCACATCGGATAGATAAAGGCAGCTTGCCGATATGCATTGAATCACTAGATCCCTTCCTCATTCTCGTTTCCTTTCACCGCTCATGTCCGGGTTCAGAATGTTGGCAAGGACGCGTAGAGTTTGAGAGAATAAACAAGCACCAGGTCCAATGTCGAATAGCAACAAGCAGCTTGCCGCCATGCGCTGCATGACGAGAATTTCCCGGTCTCATATTCCAGTCATAGTCGCGTGTTTTTGTGCTTGTATGATCATGGAGGGCCATGTCTCGGCTCGGATGCTGTAGATGCGTACAAGCAGTATGCCATCACCTGCTCCATTAGGGGCTGTCCTCTTCGTAATTTCCAGGCTTCTCCACTTGACTCCCATTGTTTCCTTGCTTGGGATTCACACAGTATCGTGCATACAGCACACGCTCGACTTAGCCCCATGCAATATGCAAGGGAGAACACAACCAACAAGCGCCATATCACGAGACGTCGACCTTGCTCTGCTTGGCAGCCTTGTTGTGATTGTTTGCTCGTGGAAAACCCCAAGGTTAAGATGATGTCTCAGCTCTTCCACTAAACCCCAAATGTCCAATATAACCCGGAAGCAAGGGCAACATCATGGGGCCCCGCATCCATTCCGCATTCCCAATAGTGCAAGTTTTTTTCCCGACTCTAGCCTCCACTAGGTAAGAAGTTTACCGATTCGAGATTTGCGGAAGGCTTGATTTAATTGGCACACATTGGCGCGCACATTGGCACACATAGGCGCACATTGGCACACATTGGCGCACATTGGCACACATTGGCACACATTGGCACCAACAAGCTCCCAGCCTCCACGCAAGACCCTGTATTTGGAAAATACAGTTCTTTACGTTTAGTATAGTAATACAACTTAGGAGAGAACACCGCATTAAAACACAGTGCTACTGTCGAAATCCCGACTTTCTCCATACCTGCACCATACGCGGCAGGTTGTGGTACACATAACTAATATTAACCGCTTACAGATAAGCAGATGCGGGGATACGCTCAGTCTCATTTCTGTCGCGCCGCTCTGCTCCATCCAGTGCGTTACTAAAGTACCTCTGGCGATCGGGGATTTATCTGGACCCCGACTGCCCCTAGTAGGCCGTTAGCAGGAGCAGCTCGGAATCCTACTGAGTAACACCGATTATCGTGATTGGAGTGATTCCAGCGCGACTGGCGGCAGACCGGTCACATTGGCGAGATGGGGATGCACTCTAATCAGCGTGGAGGAGTGTGGAGGTGTGGAGGGCGACGATCAGCATGGCCCGACGCAGCCTGGCGCGGCGCTGCCTCAAGTGCAGCCCGCGGCTGACTCGTCGCCGATGCTTGGTGGGATCGATGTTTCCGCGACTTGTTTCTCCGCACCCACCTACTACTTCTACCCCCTCAGTAGCTCTTTTATTTAGACCATCTCCAGGGTTTTGAGACATTGGATTTTTTGTCGCTGAACCGTGGGATATCAAGTTCAGTAAGTTAGAACCCGTCGCGTTTGCGCTCACTCATATGTGCGCTCCAAGGCGCAAATGTGACCAGCCGGCGCATATGGGCGCATTTCCGGTAGTAGCAGCAGCTAACCCGCCTCGCAGGTTATCATGGCAGACACTCAGCATGGCGAGAAAAATGGCTCGCTGGAAGAGCAGCCGACTATTGAGAGCCAGCGCGAGGTCTCAATGAGCGCTGGCGAGTACATCGCGACTCGCGCCACCACGCTCAAGCCGCCTATGAACCAGGCCCCCAACCCTATCAAGCTGCTGATGATGCTGACCCGCAAACAATGGGCCTTCTTCGCCGTAGCCTTCATTGCTTGGTCGTGGGATGCCTTCGATTTCTTCACCGTCAGCTTGACGGTGGAGCAGCTCGCAAAGGAATTCCATAAGACTAACACGGATATCACTTGGGGTATCACCCTTGTTCTCATGTTCCGTTCCGTCGGCTCCATCATTTTTGGTATTGCGGCAGACAGATACGGCCGCAAGTGGCCGTTCGTCATTAATAACATTCTCTTCATCATACTCGAACTCGGCACGGGATTTTGCAACACCTACGACCAGTTCCTTGCCTGCCGTGCTTTGTTTGGCGTTGCCATGGGTGGACTCTACGGCAACGCCGCCGCTACTGCCCTCGAGGACTGCCCGGAAGCTGTTCGTGGCCTGATCAGTGGGATGTTACAGCAGGGGTACGCTTTTGGCTACTTGCTCGCCGTAGTCTTTGCGCGCGCGCTGGTTGATACCACTTCGCACGGCTGGCGCCCATTCTACTGGTTTGGGGCCTGCCCTCCAGTGTTGATCATCGCCTTACGGTTGATGCTACCAGAAACGGATGCGTTTATTGCAAGACAGAAGGAACGTGTTGCGATGGGCGGTATTACGAGCACGTTTATGAAGGAGGGCAAGGTCGCGCTCAAGAAGCATTGGCTTTTATTGACCTACATGGTTCTCCTTATGGCTGGATTTAACTTTATGGTATGCTTGCTGATAAGCTGAGCTTGGAAACAATACGACTAACTTTATCTCTAGAGCCATGGATCTCAAGATCTTTACCCCACCATGCTTTCGAATCAGTATAACTACTCTCCAAATGCCGTAACTGTCACTCAGGTGGTTGCAAATCTTGGAGCCATTACAGGAGGTACCACAATCGGTTACTGCTCGCAGGTATGTCCCCTCCTTCTAATGATTCTATAATTTCCACTAACACTAAGCAGATATTCGGTCGCAGATTCTCCATTATCATCGTCAGCATCATTGGCGGGGCCTTGCTATACCCATATACCTTCACATCTTCATCGGCCATCAACGCAGCTGCGTTCTTCGAGCAATTCTGCGTCCAAGGTGCCTGGGGAGTTATTCCAATCCACTTGATGGAACTTTCCCCCGGCGCTTTCCGCACTTTTGTCGTCGGAACCAGTTACCAACTTGGTAACCTGGTCTCCTCAGCTAGCTCGACCATCGAGTCGACAATCGGCGAGAGATTCCCTCTGCCTCCCAATCCCAAGACTCACGCGTCAAGATACGAGGTATTTGGTCCCCGAGACCCTTGGAGGCGGTTCATGCTAACGGTTGATAGTACGGCCGTGTCATCTGTATCTTCATGGGCGCCGTGTACGCTTACGTGATTGTCCTTACCTTCATCGGCCCGGAGTACCTGCAGAGATCGTTTGCCATCGAGCACGACTATGATTTGCGCGAGGTCATAGGACGCCCAGTGGGTGCGGATGCCTTGGTGGGTGGTCACGGAGAAGGGAAGGAGAGCGAGGAGGATGCTAGGAGGGTCGAGAAGGCGGAGACCTAGGATGTTCATGTTGCCATTGGTTGGCAGCCTCTCGACTTGGGAGTGAGAGATGATCGGTGGCGGTAATTTTGGATGATTTAACGTTCGTCAAAGAGCGATAATCTATGGTTCTCTTTTGACCAGAAGGTATGACAAGCTATAGGAGATAATCAATTGTTTCATCCTCCAAGCACGACATTAGCTCCGATCTGCCGGACGATTTGCATCGCCATGCACAGGGGAGCTTCAAACACATACTGTATGCCAATTGGATACCATGAAAATGCCTGGTCCTCCGATTTTCATGATCAGACTGAATGACGAAATATCCACGCAACACGTGATATTTGCCTACCATATCAGGCCGCAAACAGCAAAATCATAGTAGTGCGGTCCGTGCCGATTTCCCAACAGCTCTCCCTTCGATTTCTCCCGAACCATCCTTTCTCTCTTTCCAACCCATAATCACAAATACCCAATTCCTCTCCTCCAATCCCACCCTCACAAAACCCATCATGTTCGCAGCACGCACCTTCAGCGCCGCCCAGCGCCGCGCCTTCTCGGCCTCGGCCAGAGATGTAAGTAGAAGCCACCGTTGACAAAATTTCTCAGACCTCGGCCGCCCACTGTCGGGCCGAAATGAATGAAGCAATTGCTAACACAGCCCAATCAGCTCTCTAAGGTCACTGTCCTCGGTGCTGCCGGTGGCATTGGACAGCCTCTCTCCCTCCTCCTCAAGCTTAACCCCCGCGTCACAGAGCTCGCTCTCTACGACATCCGCGGAGGCCCAGGTTCGTCAGCCCATCATCATCACATGTCCAATTGAGCCTACAAAAAAACATACTGACTCGATTTCACAGGTGTCGCCGCTGATATCTCCCACATCAACACCGGCTCCAACGTCACTGGCTACGAGCCCACCCCATCCGGCCTCGCCGCCGCCCTTAAGGATGCCGAGATCGTCCTGATCCCCGCCGGTGTTCCCCGCAAGCCAGGCATGACCCGTGATGACCTCTTCAACACCAACGCCTCCATCGTCCGCGACCTGGCCAAGGCCGCCGCCCAGTCTGCCCCCAACGCCAACATCCTCGTCATCGCCAACCCCGTCAACAGCACTGTCCCCATCGTTGCTGAGGTCTTCAAGAAGGCTGGCGTCTACAACCCCAAGCGCCTTTTCGGTGTCACCACCCTCGATGTCGTCCGCGCTTCCCGCTTCGTCTCCGAGATAAAGAAGACCGACCCCGCTGATGAGGCCATCACCGTCGTCGGTGGCCACTCCGGTGTCACCATCGTCCCCCTCTTCTCCCAGAGCAAGCACGCCGACCTTGTCGGCAACGCTGCTCTCCTGAACCGCGTCCAGTTCGGTGGTGATGAGGTCGTCAAGGCCAAGGATGGTGCCGGATCCGCCACCCTCTCCATGGCCATGGCTGGTGCTCGCTTCGCCGAGTCGCTGCTCAAGGCTGCGCAGGGCGAGAAGGGCGTTACTGAGCCAACCTTTGTTGACTCCCCGCTCTACAAGGACCAGGGTGTTGATTTCTTCGCCTCCAAGGTCGAGCTCGGCCCAAGCGGTGTCGAGAAGATCCACGAGGTTGGCAAGGTCACCGCTGAGGAGCAGAAGCTTTTGGATGCTGCCCTCGCTGACCTGAAGAAGGTTCGTTTACCCCCTACCCCTATGAATTTACAGAGACCACCCAGCTAACTCTCTCCCCTAGAACATCGAGAAGGGTGTCCAGTTCGTTGCCACCAACCCAGGCAACTAAGCTTATCATCCCTCCCTCCTTCAAAACTGCCATGCGCATGTCTAGAAGAGACATGCCTGCATCAAAATCGGGTCTGTAAATAAAAGTGTTTCGAGACCGCGCGCAGTTGTATATTTCTTCCCCCTGTTTGTTGTTGTAGCGTGGTGGCTGCGAGCGCGGAGATTTCGTGGGTAGACGGGTATATAAATATGTTGTCTAGGCAGGAATCTATGCGTCAGTAGATATCTTTGCGTGTTTTGACTGTCAACTTTGCGTCAGGTGCCCGCATACCCCCGTTAATTGTCTAGGTCCGCCAGCCCATGGTGAACCCAAGTGCCTCATCACACATGCTTTTTGTAGCATTCATCGACTTTGTGCTAAGGTAGACTAGGATGCACAAGCTTGCCACATGGGCATTGCAGGTGTGGGGTACCATAACACGTCGGGATGGGTTATGGGTGCGGCTTACAGTGGCAGTAGGGTGGGGACGGCTGCTGGGGCATTACGGGGGTAAGACAACGTGCCAGCTAGCTGGATAACTGATTTCTGGTTCACGGGTTTTAACCCAGAGAGCGAGATGTGTGAGGCGGGGTAGCTGTTGGGGAAAGCTCGTGGGGATGGCGTGCAGTAGTTCACCGCGGGATCCTCAGATCGGGGGATCAACTGCGAGATCGTCAGAACATTTTCAACACATCAACAACTATTTTCATATTTACACCGCCTCCCCTCCTCTCGATATACATCCCGTCATTCCATAAACCCCATTGGCCAAATATTCATCGCCGCCTTCCCTCCTCCACAGCCAACCCTGCATGCATAACCCTCGTATCCCCCCGCCCATTTGGCATCAAATTGACCCAAAACAACCGGCTTAAACGCCGTCCCCCCCTCATGCGCCCTCCACCTCCCCTCCCCCGGCACAGAAATATGCTGAAAGAACGTCTCCCCACCACGACGTGGTTGCGTGGCATCATTGGCCTCTGCCGGTCCCAGCAGTGGCACGCCCCTCAGCGGCAGATAGCGTCCCCATGCAGTGCAACGGGATAAACCATGAGAGATTCCATACCAACATCACCGTCGACTGGAGGAAATACTCATTGGCTAACGAGGGGGGGTTCCTGTAGTGCCGTGCTAGAAACCATATATTCGAAGAGCATGGGTTTGTCGTCCGGAAGGCCGACTAAGGAGCGAGATCATCCATATGGCCCGGGATATAAATTGCATCTTTGGCGGGGTGCTGCTCAAAGACATCGGCAACGCCGGGTCGACGGCAGCATGATGCTGTGCCAGTCCCGATACATATCGGATTTGCCTGCGGGGAAGGCGGTATACTGAGGGCTAGGCCACTTGACCAAGGGCTTGGCTTGAACAAATGTTCGCAGCTAGAAGCCTTTAAATGATGTCTTTACAAAGCTGCAAGTCGTTGAATTTCTTCGTAATTCAGATGGTCACTGACAGATGATATGACAGGAAGGAGCAACGACTTACACAAATACAACGGTCATTGCGACGGTGCATCGGCAACATGTGCGGTAGAATACCAAGCATATAAGTATGTGCATGGCTGTTTCTGTGCATATTGCACAGAAGCATATCGGATTACGACGACAATCCGGGCCGACAGTGTCATCGCAATCGCAATTAAAACCACGTGACTATATCAATATAGTCACGTGGTTTTAATTACAATCACCACCATTTCGGTCGCGTTCAAATGTTGAATAAAACAAAATAAGCAGGATCAAGATGACTCTTTCAAGAGGAAAGGGATGCTGTTGCGCCAAGGATGAAAAGCAGAGATTTTGTGGTGGCGCCGAACCTGCGACAACCTTATGAGGCGCCAGGGGTCGCGGGCCGCTTCACCACGAAAGATGAGACACGGTGCACGTCTCATCGTCTCCTCCGAGATGCTAGAGCTATCGCCAAGTTTAGTTAAATACAACGACAGGACGATTACGGTACGAGTACAGTATTCGAGATGCCGAGATGCACTCTTCACTCTGGCCGAGTTGGTGGAATATTGTAGGTGTATTTCTTGGGATCTCCTCTACCCACGGCTGCTTGTCGGTGCTGGTCAGTACGGGTTGTTCGGCCTTCGGTCCACGTCCGCTACAGCCGCTTGGAAGCCCCGAGGTTGAGGCCGTGGTCGAGGTCGATTGGAGGTCATGGAGCCTCCTGACTATACCTGTTTCGATGTCCACAAACCTTCCACGCCCCTGCCAACCTCGGACCCTCGTCTCAGAAGCTTAGACCGTTTCCACCTCCAACGCTTGGCTTTCTTTCCACTGTACCATTGCATGACTATCGTTGTCTAAACATCTTCTTTTTTGTTTCTCTTCTCGCCATGTTTAATTCTTTCCTGCTCGTCGGGCCTGGAAACTAATCGTCAGTTGCTGGTACTGCGAACCCTTCTGTTCTGGGCTGGCCCATTCAATTCATATTTTTAATACTTTTTTTATTCTCTGTTGCTCTGCTGGTACATGCAGATTATCAATACAGTCATTCCGGAAGACCTGCCGCGTTATCAAGAGCCCACTCGTTGCCTTCAGATCTCACGACCCTTCTAGACAAGACGGCCACCACATCGAATCATGATGCTGCCACGCCTAATCACCACCGCGGCGCTGCTCGCAGCCAGCGTCTCGGGCCTATCGGCATCTGAATACGTCAAGAACCTCGATCTCACCCTCTACCGCCGCCGATCCCCGCCCTCTCCTGCTGCCAACAATCCCGCGGCAGCAGTGGCAACCATCAACCGCCGCGCCGATACCCCGTCTGATCTCCTCAAGAACTACATCTCCAGCATTGTCGATGACGGCCGCGACCTCCTCTCCCGCGCGGACACCCCTCTTCTTCGTCCCGCCAACTGGAACGCCTCCGCAATGGCCGCCTGCACCACCGCCCTCGTGATGCTGCGAGGCCTTGCCAACTCCCCCACCGGCATGGCAATGTGCTACAACCTCCCGTCCCTGGACAACTCCACCGGCATCTTCGAAGCGGACCTACGCCTCTTCGCCATCGGCCCCGCCACTGAAGCTTTCGCCGGCGTCGCACCCGCCGATGTCAGCATCGACGTTCGCTTTGCAGGCGCGCAAGTCCAGCCCGTCCCCGTCACCGACCTAGTAGCTAGGCCGCAAGTCGCAGCGCGCGGGTTGCCACTATCGTGGCCGCCGTCAAAGAGGGGGCTATTCGCGAAGCGCGCAGATCAGGCCCCGGTGCTGGTGCAGAGCTTTGCGTTTGTGGGGCAGATAAACAAGGAGCTGCAGAACGCAAATCTGAACTCGTAAGTTTACCCCAAACCCGTGCGGGCCAATTGAACTAACACGCCTTCTCCCAGGACCGCACTCCAAGCCATCCTCATTCCAGTCGTCACCCTGTCCGTCGCCAAGAACGCGGCGAACAGCTCTCTGTCCTCCCTCGAAGCGACGTTCGTCGTCGGCCTCTTTAGCGATCAGCCCCATACCATGGCTACGATCTCGGCTGTCGGCGTCATCGCTGATGTCGCCTTTGTGCTTCCCGGCACCAAGATTGCGATCTTCCCCATCGGAAGCATCATCACGGGCACGTGGGCTGTCCTGTTTGTTGGGGTTATAGGGTGGGGAACCGTCGGTAGGATGAGATTCAGGGAGAACTATCGTAGGAGGCTGGCAAGGGCTGATAGAGGCGGGGAGAAGTCTATTTGAGAGGTTGGTTGGGATAGGATTGGGGGGGGGTTAAGGCGTAGATAGGACTCGAGGGACAGTTTCGTGCTTGGAAGCAAAGTCATACTTAGAGATCCGGTGCGGCAGTTTAGACATTCATTGTAAGGCTTTCTATAGATAGCTCTTTATACTCGTCTGTGCCAACTGGTTCTACATCACATACATGCTCTCTACCTCACAATTCCACCCGCCAATGTCTTAACCGTGCAGACACCACCCCCAACAGTAACCAGCTTCCCGAGCCCCGTCTTCGGCTCCTCTCCCTCCTTGCTAAGCTCCTTCACTGCGCCCGCATCAAATGCAACCTCGAACGCGTCGGTAATCGTAAACCCAGGTTGGATCATCTCCCAAACCTTCTTCTTCGGGTTGAGGATACCCTCTGGCTCGCCAGTCCATCCCTCAAACCACACACGCTCTCCTGCCTTCGACCCCGCAGGCGGCGTCACCAGCTCAACCGGCCCAGCATGGTTATCCGCCTCACCCTCCTTCAGCCTCGGTGACGACGCAAGCACCATCGCGCACGACTTCACTCCGCGCATCTTCACAGGCTTAAGGTTGCACACCACCACCACGTAGCGTCCCTGCATCTCCTCCAGCGGCACCAGTCCATTCAGGCCCGAGCACACTGTTCGGCACACCACACCATCCACCTCCTCAGTATCATCCGTCCCGGCCTTATCACCCATCGCAATAGTCGAGACGAACAGCGAGTCCGCTTCTGGGTGCTTAACCGCCTTCACAATATGTCCCACGCGGAGATCAATCAGCGACGGGCTCAACGGGGCCGTATGCGCGGGGGCCTTCTGCGGCTTAGGCGCCTTCTCCTTCTTCTCCTTCTTCTGCGTCTTCTGTCCGCCCTCTCCACCAGCAGCAGCAGCAGCAGCCTCCTTAGGTCCCTTCGCGTTTCCGCTGCAATCAGGGAGTGTCGTTTGCGCTCCACCCGCCGCGCCACCCGCCGCGGCGGCGGCAGCAGCAGCCTTCTCCTTCTTAATCCTCTCCTTCTCCGCCTTAGCATCCACCGGCGGCTTCACAAAAAGCACCTCATCTTTATCCACCTTAACCCTATCCCCCTCCCCAATACCGAGTCCAAACAGATCAGACCCCTGCACAAAGTCCATATGGCGGACCAAATTCGGGTGTCCGTCCTTCCCAGTGAGCTCCTCAGCGCTCCAGCTCGCGATAGCGGGGGAGAGAGCCTTATACAGCTCCACGTCCGCGACGGAGGGCAGGGCGCCCAGAAGCGTCGTGCGCGTCGCCAGGTGCGAGTTCAGGGTCGTCAGCAGCGCAGGGCGGGCGGCTGTGTCGGAGAGGCGCGAGATGGTGGTCTGCCATTGCGCGATCTCGGCGGATTGGGCCGGCGTGTAGGTTAGGGAGGCGAAGGTCGACATTTTGCGGGTGTTTGGGTGGAGGATGGCACGGGTTGTGCGGTGTAGGAGGCGTGGAGTGTACAGTGTGACGGTTGTTAGAAGGTGCTTGTGGTAGTTGGATGCGTGGTGGGGTTGTAACTGTTTTGAGGCCAGGGCGAGGGGTAAAAATTGTGGTCGGTTAATTGTGGGTTCTGGGGAACTTGGGTCACGTGCCAGGTGGAATTTCAGATGCTCCCTTCATCTTCATAAAGACAAGACATGTCTAACGGAATTGTTTTACAAAGTAGAGTATATAATTGAGTTCTCAATTGCTTAAATACCTTAACTGTGGCATGGGTTATAGAGAGTTCCTGATATCGTCGACAATTCATCCCGCTCGTGATTCCCACCTCTAATAATCAGCCTTCCCAACCACTGATAGAAAACCCCCCCATTAAGATGAAAAAACACACAAAGATACATCTTATATATAACCCATCCCCCATTCCCTACCCCTTCCCAGACTCCAAACGAAAACTCCTTCAACTTCATATTTTTAGTCTTACAAAGCCAGACCTGTGCCGTCTCCTGTCCACCTGTACAACGATAGCACTTCGCGTCGCCAAAGCTGCTGCTCCCCAATGTCCTCTGGTAGTCTACCGCGCACCTGCGCGAGCGCCGACCGCATGACCTTGCGGAAATTCCTCTGTGAAGTTATTAGTTAATGCTCGCAATTTATAAAGTAGTTGTCTAGTACGAACCTGGTATTCTGTATTCAAAGTAACCACGCAGGCCTCGTGGGCTCTGACGATTGTCTCGCAGGCCTTGACCACGCTGGGGCTCGCCTCGCTCTGCAGCTTGTCTGCAATGAGCAGGAGCAAGAAGCTCCCTTGGAGCAGGTAGACGCCGAAGAAGAATGGTATAAACTCTAGCCCCGGGTCGAATTCGAGAATGCTCTCTATCGCCTCGGCAGCCGACACGGCGTGGCCAGTAGCGTTAATAAAGCTCTGCGACGAGATCCAGAGATCGTTGTCGTCGAGGAGCGAAATAGGATCCCACTTCCCGCTAAGGAGGATGTGAAGGACGTGCATGACGTGTGTGCCATACGCGACGACAATGCGCGTCTGAATATCCGACTCAGTCGTCATGCGCGACGTCGTCGTATTGACCGAGTGCGGCCATGAAATGTCCTCCTGGCCCATGGCCATACCATCAGGACCAGTGCCATTATTCGCGCCCGGGTTCCCGTCATTGCTAGACAGGTGCCTTAACTCGAAGTCCTTCAAGCTACGCCCATACGCCTCAAGCTGCTGCGTGATCTCGTTGGCGTAGTCGTCCCACTCCTGGCCGGAGCGGAACCCAACGCCGAATCGCGGGTGATTCTTGGCGTGGTTGAGATCTACGATCTCGCCGAGTATGGTCATTAGGGGCAAGAAATACCCAAATATACTATGGCCAGTACACTCAAAGTTAGGTCCTTTCCTTCTGATTTGGGCTGAGCCGTTCGGGGAAGTAATATGAAGGCTAGAATCACCGGAATAGAACTCCCCACTCTGCCATAATGTATCATCCATTGGCTGCAGCAGACGGTCGCATTCAACATCCAGAAGAAACAGGGGTTTGTTGTAACACAACGACAAGTGTCGGTCGACTGTGTAAACTAGCCACCAGATTCTCCGGCGCTCTTCACGCTCCTCCTCCGTGATGCTACACGGTGAGCCGGTGGGAGGATGTGGGGTCTCCAAATCATCATCAGCTTCACCATCGGCGTCCACGTCATTGTCGGGTTGTGGTATGGAACTTGGTGGTAGCTCACGGCCGAGTTTCAGTTCGCGGGCGAGCGACCAGGCTGCATTCCACCAGCGTAGGCTTGCACCTTTGTACTCGCTAGCAGAAACGACAGTTGCGAGATGGATATATGTCACAACGTCATCCAAAGCACCGGCAGCGCCAAACGCGCCGCCTTCGCCAGTCATGGCTTCTTCACTGACAGTGCCAGGCATTGCTACGCCCAGTCCGCCCAGCGCAACTCCATTGATGACTGTATCGGAGAAGTTGTTCGATGCTTCATCAGCTGGAGGACCGTGGATAAGCGGCTTTAGCAGGCCGACAGTAAGCTCTAGGAGCTTCTGGCAAACTCGGCCTCTAGCTGGGGGCGGGATTGTTAAGAATGCAGCATCGCTAGTTTGTGCAGCCACCCAGAGCATACTCGCCAGGAGTGCTGGGGTGCATTGCCGTGGCTTTGTCTGGTGAAGGAATGACCGTCGACGGAAGGCGTAGCCAAGTACATACGGCGACATTGGGTGCATCTGCGCCGACGATGAGCTGGCGAAGTAAAGGTCAAGCAGCTCGCATGCCAACGAGATGGGTATTATTCCAGTCAGATGAGGCACAAGGGGCTGTAAGACTGGGTATCTCAGTTGTGTCTGAACATGATGGTGAGGTGTCATGTGATATTGGTTCATGGGAGACTCGATGGGGGCCCAGCCAGGGGAGGTGACGGTGGGTGTCTCCATCGAGTACCCAGTCATGGGACTGTCCCCTAGCCTGAATCCGGGGGATTGATTATTCGTTGGATAATGTGGGGGGCTCTGGATGGCGTATGGGAGGACTGGGTATCCGGGTAAAGAAGTAGAGGAATAAACGTATGCATTTCTGTTCATCAGATGGCCATTGACCGATCGATTATAGCCATGCATAGCGCCGTAGCCGTTGAGCCCTATTTCTGTTGGGCTGTCCATCTGTGACTGGCTCATGGCGTCATCGTGTCGGTTTGTCATCATTGGCTGGAGCTGGTGTGGTAAATCTCCGAGCTGTCCGCTAGTTCGAGCGCGTCCATTGCCTTTCATTAGATGCGCGTTGTTGATGTTTTGCGCCCCTGCGAGTTCATTCGCAGTTCCAGAGTTTCGTTGATTCCCATCTGATGATTCGTCGAGAGATGACTTGTGCTCCATTCGGGGCTCGATTGGCGACCTCTCGCCCGACGATGCGGCCGCAGTAGATTTTTGGCCATCGCCTGATGCGGCCGCCGCCGCTGCTGCTGCCGCTTGTTGTGCGATTTCCTTCCTCGATGCCTTTCCGCGCTTCTTTCGCTCACGTATATATTCACAACCTAGGTTGAATTCTAAGGTATCGCGTTAGCATCGTCCCGCCAATAATTGTGTAGGTAACATACCAACACAGTGTGCGCATGGGTTTTGTCCATCGCACTTGGTTCTTAGCTGGTTGCACTGGTCGCAGGCCCTGCTGATTCGTCGTCGGGCTGGGCCAGAAGCCTGAGATCCATTCATGCCGGAGCTTCGGCCGCCTAGCATCCCACCGGCTACCCGGTTGTATGGGTGTTGCCGATGCTTTGAATTAGAGTCCCTATTCGAATGATGATTCTGATGTACATCGATCTGCCGTTGCAGTTGATGAAGCGCATGCTGTGAGCCATGCGCCAGGTTGTCCAAGCCGCCTCCGTGAATGTGGTTCGATGGGATGTGGCCAGTCGGCAACGTGTTGTTGACTGGCATGGTGTGGTAGCTTGAATAGCGATGGGGAGGGTTGGAAAGCATTTTGGTTGGTGAGTTTTCGAGAAATGCCTACTCCCAGGCTGGTCGGTAAGACAGGCTGTAGTGGGGAGACAATGATAGTATGATGGACAGACATGGGTTATCTTAGTGGACGTGGCTCGGCGAGCTTCAACCGGGCGTATGAGTCTGTAGTGGAGGAGTGAAACGAAGTGATGAGATACGGAGAATAAGACGGTCGGATGTCCAGCCCATCTATATCTCAGCGTGCATCTCTCCGCGGTCTGGAGAAATTTGTAGTGTTGGGGACCCCAAAGCGGCAACGAATCTATTTTGTTTGTACTCCGAAGAATGGAATAGCGGGGTTGAGCGTTAGAGAGTTAGTCGACGTCTGCTTCCTGGATGTACGGTGTACGTTCCACCAGGGAGCGGGATGCCTGTTCAGGGATATATTGCTATCGGAGGCGGGGATGTGAGGAAAGCAGAGCAGTCCTTTAGTGGTGGCCGCTGTGCATGAATTACCGGGCATACGCCTCGTGCTATAATAGCAATGATAATGGACGGTCCACGAGCGAGACGACAGGGTCACTGAGGTGTGGGGAGTGAGAGTGGATGGATGGATGGAAGGATGGAAGGATAGGATGATGGCTTTGAGTGGACTGAGGAGGCGGAGAGGTTGGCTGATCACGATCAGGGATGTGCTGGAAAGCCCGGTAATATGATTTGCTCGTAGAATAGATGATGGGGGGAGGGAAGAGAAAATGAGGAGAGACGACAAGACGACAAGCGGAGATAATCACACTATGTTAGCCCCATCCATGCACATCCTCGACAGCGGGGCGAGGGGGGCGGCGGCGTTGGAGAAGAGCACAGTAATAGTATAGAAATACGCTGAACGACGCCTTGGATGGTAAGTGGGATGTGTGTGTGGAGGCCGTTGGTTGGGGTGAGCGAGTCGGCGTAGAATTTCCCATGGCGCGGAGTTGAGGGGGGAGTTGAGCAGGGAGACCGTACTAGAGTAGCTAAGGACTAACAAAGATAACGGTATCCTGCGACGGCAAGGAAGGCGGCTTTCAATGTCGGAAGGCCGCCTTCCTTGCCGTCATATTCTGGGGTATGAGTGTGATGATGGAAGCCTTCTACTGCCCTCTTACTGGCCAATCACACCGCATGGTGGGGATCGGGTCCTAGTCAGCTCGGCCTGGCCAATTCATATCACTTCGGATCACGTTTATAAGGTGGCTGACATGTTATCCAACGGTATATTTCCAGCGAATCGAATTCGACCCTTTTCATTCCTTTTTTCTTAGTGATACAATGTAGAGGCTCTCAGACCTTCATCGGATTGTGTTGTGAGAAGTGTTGAAAGCGTGGTTACGTTACTTCGCGTCGCGCTACTAGAGTCGCTCCCGACTAGCACACTTACTAGTAGGGAGTAGACGGCGACTCGGCTAGGCTTACCCCCATCCATGTTTCATGTCAGCGCCCCGTCCAGACAGACCCTGACAGAATAATAGACCGTGCATTTGGGTGTGTAGAGTTTTCATTGATGCTAACCACTAAACCTAATATAATACAGAGATCTTACTAATATGATACAGGGTTCTGATATCCTTACACCGATGTTGGGGGAGCGGTTTAGTGATCGCCGGTGAAGCCGGCGATCCTAGTGCCAAGCCCCTAGGGCCGTTTTCAACAGACCCTTCGTCATGTGTGCCTGGCGCTGTCGCTCTTAGTGGCCGCGACAGAATCGACAACACTCGATGGAATGCGTTCCATACCGTCCATCTTCAGACGTCAGAGCCTCCAACAGAGATGCTCATCTTCATAGTATCCTGATTTATACTTAATAGCTTTTGAGGACTACACTGCTTGCCGAGACACGATGAAGCTTAAGCACAACTGCCATTGATAGCTAATCCCTCAACTTTTCTCTTTTTCCTTTTTCCTTTAACGTGGTTTATCACCGAGTCCATCACTTTCCCCACCTTACTACCTACCAGCTTCAAAACGCGTTTTCTAAACAACCAACAATGGAGAGTCAATCCTAAGCAGCGCAAATCCTCCTAGCTATTAAGGCTATTCAAAAATCCAAGAAACTTAGCCGTTGCTCTGCTGTAAAATTCTATAAGTACCTTACTTAACACTTTCTAACAGAATGGCTAGCCGAACACATTGACGCGAAGCTAAGGCAAATTGTCTTAAATTGACTAAGCTAGAGGAGGGAGTAATTATTCGACATATACTTGAGCTAGATGCAAGAGGATTTGCGCCCTAGTTAGCTAGTATAGAAGATATAGCAAATTATATCCTAGAATCATATAGGGGACAACACGTTAGCAAGATCTAGGCACATCGATTTGTACAATGACGTCTAGAGTTAAAAACACATTTTAATCGCGCCTACGACTTTCAAAGGGCCTTATACAAAGATCCTAAAAAAATTAGAGCATGGTTCAACTAGTAGAGAATATATAGGCAAAATCATGTATGTAACGCTAACTTCTAAACGATAGATCTTGCATAAGGTTGACTTGACAGAGTGTAAGGATGCCTTCTCGTCTCTCACTCTAAGGAGCAGACTCTGGGTAGCTGCGCGATTGTAATGGTGGGTGCACCAGATGTGAGAATCTAGCCACCCAAGGAAGGGATGATTTTACTAAGACAACACACTGTCTTAGGAAACAGAGCCAAAGGGTCATAGCTTAGACTATTCCACAACGCAGCAATCAGGTGTATGATGATGTAGTGGAGTGGTTTAGACAAGTTGTAACAAATGTTGAGTCTGAGAACTCAGGGATAAGTCAGAGGTTAGCACCTCACTGACTTTTCAGAAACAAGGAGTAACAAGATCAATGCTTGGAAGCTTGTAAAAGACGTGGAAGTATGTGATAGTCGATTTACTGTATTGTCTGCTTGCCCTTTCTTAAGGAAAGGGCAATCCTATTTATGCTAAAGGAGTGTAGTTCTCTCATTTTCCAAGACTTTCTATGACTAACCAGGCTTGGTAACTATAGTCGACATAAGAGAATCCCATAGAACCATCTCCTAGGTTCCTAGCCTATAGGAAGTGAACAGAGGTCCAAGGTCAGAGTACCCTATAGACAAATTATGTCATAACTTAACCAATCTTGTGGGTAACTAAGGAGCGATGACATGTAATGAATCATAGAGGGTTGTAGAAGCTTTTGGAGCTATCGTTCATGTTCCTAGGCCTCTAGTTGATAGAGATATGTCATGTGTAGTATTAGCACAGTAACTAAGGAGTGATGTCATGTAATGAATCTGTAACGCTGGGTCTTAAACGTATAAGACTCACAGAGGTTTCGTTGGTTTACTTGACAGAGGAGGCAGGGGATCAGACACAAAGGCTTTCGTAAAACACGTTACTAGTATATAACAAATACTGTATTGAGTTGAGCACGAAGCTCCTATCTAAGAACTAACTATCTACTTATATAGTGGCGTCATGCCAAATGCCATGAAGGACCATCGTGGTCCATGGTCCTGGCCCACACTGGACCACCGTGGTCCTGCGTGGTCCATCACGTGATACTTAACCCCTTGGTCCCCTCTGGACCAATGACTATGATTTCTCACATGCAGTTCCGTAGCCAATCCCTTCCTTAGCACTAGTGGTGGGGTTAGCCGTAACAGAATCATAGAGGGTTGTAGAGATATACTATGTGGTAATATCAGCCCAGTAACTAAGGAGCGATGACGTGTAATGAATCATAGATGGTTGTAGCAATCGTTGAGTAGTATTGCTCTTGTTGTTGGTGTGATAAGCCAAAATATGTATAGTGACTTGTAGGTTTGAGGAGGAGATTTCCAAGTTTGCTCTTGAGTTTGATAGCAAACTGAGTGCAACGAATGTCAGTATGACAGGAGGGGGGGGCTTACCATGTCGTCCTGACAGACTGCCCGTAATGGGCGCGGAGGAGGGCATGGACACGGGCGCGGATGGGGCCAGAAAGCCTATTCTATTGGTATTAGAACAATAATCAAAACAAGAGAGAGAGAGAGAGAAAGAATACTTACTGCAGAGGTTGCAGTGCGCGCCTTCCCCACCGAAGTGGCAGTTCACACAACTACCACCAAGGTATCCCCCCCACGCAGACGCACTCGGAGAAGTGGCCGTAACCAGCCGCACAGTGCTGCACTGCACCAGCACCAGCTCCCCAACTGTATACCCAACTGCCGCTTCGAGGTTTTGCATCCTCGACAAATTGGGAGGGTCATTGGAGTCGAGGGCGCGAAATTCCAAATGTCGGGCGTCGGGGAGGGCGATGAGGCTGGCGAGGGCGCGAGAGTGGCGGGGTTCCTCTAACTGTTATGATATCAAGTGCGCCTTGCAGCTCGAGTGGGGGTTCAGGGGTGTGGGGAGCTTTCCGGGGTTGGAGCGAAGGTTTCAGTTGTGGAGTGAATTCTCAGAACTGGTCTCGCTAAAGAGAATTCACTCCACAATAGCTGTATATAGATTGAGCCACTGCTCGAGTGCTCCTCTTCTCTTTCCTTTCTTCTCTAGATTGAGTTTAATTCATAATACCCAACTGGCGCCCTATGCCTTGGTGAACCGTGACAGCACCCTAAGACACATGGCTTCGGCACGAACAAGAGCTAGGCTTCTAGGAAACTTAGGGGGAGTTTAAAAGGTTCCTCCTCCATTTGGTCTAGGAACTGAACTTCACAATGGCAAAGGGGGGTAGGCGAACAGGAGATCTCCCTATTTAGGAAGGCTCAGCTTACCCTCTACATCAAGGACGATGAAGGAGTTACCTATAAGGGGGAACATTCCTTCGTTACAACAGTCCTTGAGGAATACGACCTTATGCTTAGATACCCATGGCTCTATCGTGAAAACCTAGTAATAGACTAGAAGGGGGGGACTTGGAGATTCCCTATAGAAGATATCTAGTACTTCTTGCATGAGGAAGCGGAAGGTCTGCGGGCACGGAGTGTAAGGATGCCTCCGTACCTAGATACTCGAAGAACCTGTCTCAGAACTGTTACGGTCACTACAAACATGGAATCCGACTCGGTGGGGTTTCGAACCAGTAGAGGATCACATAGCGAGTTACACTATAGTGGGGGACGGTAAGTGTATAGGGTTCAGGGCCGATGTAGACCTGTTGCGGTGGAAGGTTCAGGGCTAGGGTTGGGATAACCGAGTCGGGCCCGTTTCGGGAGTTAAGGAAACAGACTCAACGGGGTTCCCCCTTCATCTTTTTTGTATCCTTCGTAGTAGACCTATAGGATAGAATACAGCATCACCTCCGACTCGCACTCCCATATGCACCTACGGAGAGCCGTATTCCCTGTGTCCTTACACGGAGCTAGAGACGATACAGAGCCAAAGGCACAAGAGGTACCTAAAGAGTACTAGTCATTCTAGGATGTGTTTGATGATATAGGGGCAGCGTCCCTACTAGAGTATTCAAAGAGGGCAGAGCACGCTATTGATATTAAGCTAGGGAAGCAGCCTCCCTAGGGGCCAATTTATAGCTTATCTGCAAAGGAACTGTCCACCTGTAATGCTGACTTCTAAACGATAGAAGACACAGAGGTTCTCTTGCGTAAAGGTTTACTTATCAGAGGAGGCAGGGGATCAGACACAAAGGCTTCAAGTAACACGTTACTAGTATATAACAAATACTGTATTGAGTTGAGCACGAAGCTCCTATCTAAGAACTAACTATCTACTTATATAGTGGCATCGTGCCTAGTGGACTCCTGGGAACTCACTCGAGTCCTCGGAGTCCTGGACTCTTAGGATTCTTCTCATCATCCTGCGAGTCCGTCACGTGCCTAGTGGACTCCTGGGAACTCACTCGAGTCCTCGGAGTCCTGGACTCTTAGGACTCTCCTCATCATCCTGCGAGTCCGTCACGTGATACTTTCGGAACTACTATTCCCCGCTGCCCCTCCAGGTACCAGGGCCGGTCTCATGCGACCTCCCTCCTTCCTGTCCTGTAGTTGGCCAGCCTTCTTGTTCCGTCGTAACACCACCCTTCTGTATATACATCGAAGATTCCTTATAGCAGGGCTGGATCCGACACTCTACGAGCCTAGCTAGGGCCCTGATCCTTTTTGTGCCAAAGTCTAATGATATAAGTGGTATAGGGTTCTTGACTGTCATTGCGTTTAGACCCCTATAATCAACACATAGCCGCTTCGATAAATTCTTAACCGGCTAAGAGGAGCGGAGGTATTTACTAAGCTTGACGCAAAGGATGCATACTAGCGGATGAGGATCAGAAAAGGGGACGAGTGGAAGACAGCCTTCTGTACCTAGTACATTCTATTCGAGTATTTAGTGATGCTGTGTAGGCTATACAATGCCCCCGCCTCATTTCAGGCGTGTATTAACGAAGCGCTTGTAGGACTTGTGGATGTCCTGTGTATTGTGTACCTTAATGATGTGTTGATCTATTCAAAGCATACGTAACACGTCTGCACAGTCCTCGAAAGGCTCCGGAAGTTCAAAATCTACTATAACTTGAAGAAGTGCAAGTTCTCAACTATAGAGGTAGAGTTCCTTGGATTCATCGTCTTGACTAAGGGGGCATTAATGGATGCCTCACGAGTTGAGACTATTACAGAATGGCTAGAGCCTACGAGCTTTCAAGATATTCAGGTCTTCCTTGGCTTTGCGAACTTCTACTAGAGGTTCATTAGGGGTATTCGTGTGTAGCGCAGCCCCTTACAGCTCTATTAAAGGGCAGTGATAAGGGGAAGAAGGTTGGGCCGTTTATATGGAACGATGAGGCAGCGGAGGCCTTTCGGACGCTAAAGACAGCCTTTACGATCTGCCACTTTGACCACGAAGTTGCAGATATTCAGGATATATAGATAATATTACTATCCTCTCCGTCCCACAATTCGCTATATTCACCTCTTCTTGTTCTTCCCGCTCGGCCGAGCGTTCTTCTCCTTCTTCCGCTGCTCCAACTGTCGCTGCTTTCTGATATCTTCCGTGCTCTTGATCTCCCCCTTGCCACCGCCATCTCTGAATCTCCCAACCCGCTTCTCCTTGGCCTCATCAACCCTCCTCCTTCTAACATGGTAATCATCACGGTATTTATCTGCCTCCTTCGGTGCCCTCTCTTGCTTATGCTTGTACCTCGTCCCCATGCCTCTACCAACTGTAGCGCCAACCCCACCAGCCCGCTCAGACTCACCAGTCCTCGGTAGGCGCTCTACCTTGTGCGCCTTGCGCCACCTGTCGAACCGTCCCGACTGGAATGACGCCGCGATCTTCTGTCCCGACTCTCCGCGGATCATCTTTGCGCCCTTGGATCCATCCTCGTCGTTAGCACGTGCAACGTACTTGCTATTCTTTTTGTCCCATCTCATTCCCTTTGCCTGACTGGGCTCTGCGAAGCTCTTCGCACCATCATCGTTCGTGAGGTCCATGGTCACACCGCGCGCTGCCTCCACGAAATTGGAGTTCTGGCTTGCAGTGTTGTAGGAACCTGAGTGGACACCGTAACCCCGCTCCTCAGCCGCGTTTAGGTTCTTGGGCGTGTAGGACATGAAGTTCTCCGAGTCCTTGTAGGAGAGGGTTCGGCCCTTACCCTTCTGCGCGGCCTTGGAGAAGGTCACTTCTAGCTCGTCCTCTGAGGCTTCGGCCATGTCAACGTCGTTACCGCCGGAGATGGTAACCTCCATGTCCGAATCATCATGGTCGTCCTCAGCTGGCGCGGCCATAGAAATGCCCTGGAACGTGTCATCATCGTCGGTGAGCTCTGTGGCCTCTGCCTTGGCGTCATCGATGGCCTTCTGGCGACGAGGAATGATTTTCTGTCTTCGTGCGCGCATAACCTCTGCAGCCTCACCATGTCCAGCCTTGCCCTTGTAGCCAACTTCGAAGACGGTTTCAGTAGGGCGGAAACCGGCGATGCGGGCCAGCATGTCGATGCGTGCCTGTTCATTGCTGTTCGTCTCCGTGTTGAACAGGGGGTGGAGTTGTATCCATTGTGCGGATGCAACCGACTGTTTTGCTCGCTTTGCACTCTCGCTCGAAGCAGAATTACGCGTCTTGAGATACAGACGCTCACCTTTGACCGAGACGCCGCGGAGGGCAGCCAGGTCGTCATCGTCGCGGAGAAGCTTGTTGATCCATTCTTGGTTGGTTTCAAGCTTGTCGCGTACTACTGATCCGACAATGACATCCTCAGCGTAGTTTGGAGAGTCTCCACTCTCACGTCCGAGAAGTAAGCGCCGTCCAAGGAAAAGCTGCAAATCAAGTAGATAGGGTGCATCTGTCTCCTTAACGAGACTGTAACTCCAACCGCGCTGTCCAGCTCTGGCAGTTCTACCAACACGATGGACGAAAATTTTAGGTTGTGGAGGGAAGTCGTAGTTGACAACATTTGCCAGCACAGGAATATCGATACCTCTAGCAGCGACATCCGTGACAACCAAGATATTGGTCATGCCAGTTCTGAAATCCTCAACTTGCATCTTTCTAGCCGTTTGATCCAGAGAACCATATGCGTGAGACACAGCGAATCCAGATAACCGTAGAAGGGATGCAAGGTAATCAACGTGATGCTTTGTGGCGGCGAATACAATCGTAGAGTGTTCTGTTGGCTTATGCTTTGGGCCTCTTCCATCATCACCACGCTTCCTCTTCTTGCTTGCCTCTGCCGCCGCAACTGCGGCTGGGGGTGGCCCAGTTGGCATCCTAATAAGATCATGAAGAATGTGGAGGAGCGCGCCCTCTTTCTCTTCGCTCTTGATAGTGAAGAAGGCACTCTGGAGATCTGGCGAGATCTTGCTCTCGGCGTCTAAACGCACGAGAGAAGGCTCTTCCAGACCAGCTCTTGCGAACTCAACCAGCGATTTAGGTAGCGTGGCAGAGAAAAGGAGCGTTTGCCTTGATGACGGCAATGCGTACAGAATCTCGGTAAGCTGGGCAGCGAAACCCATTTCGAAGAGGCGATCTGCCTCATCAAACACGACGTACTTCATAGATGACAGATCCAGTCCCATTTCGACCTTGAGATGTAGGAATCGACCGGGTGTAGCAATGACAATATCCGGGTTGGATGCCATGAATCCAAACTGTTCCTCGAGACTGTCTCCACCCACCAGTAACACACACTTCAAGTCTGTGCCACGGCCAAATTGCTTGACAACCTGCAGAGTCTGCAGCGCCAACTCACGAGACGGAGATAGAATCAGCGCTCTCGCTCCAACTTTCGCGCTATGGGCCTTCAGTTTCTCGATCATGGGGATAACAAATGCCGCCGTCTTTCCGGAACCAGTCCTAGCCATACCGACAACATCCTGACTATCGAGAATAAGAGGTATAGCCTTGCGCTGAATGGGTGTAGGCACAGAGAATCCTTTCCGTCCAATAGCCTTGAGCAGATGCGAATTGAGTCCCATAGCCTGGAAGCCACCGCCCTTCTTAACACTCTTGCCTTTAACATTCGAAGACTTTCGGTTCGAAGCTGCTAACTCAGAAGCAATAAATGCCTCGTCGCCTTCTCCATCGCTCTCTAGAGCCATATCGAGGACTCCGTCCATGGGTATGTCAGTTTTTTCTCCAGCGACGCCAAAGTTATCGTCGTCGGACTCGACGTCCTCATTGAAGAGGGATTTCGTAATGTCGAACTCATTTTCCGACATCGCAGGCGATGCCGCCCGGCGATTGTTTCTGGGAACCATTCTCCGTTGCGTATTGTTTGCGGAGTGGTGGAGGGCTTATCGAAGCTTCAGATTCTCAGAGATGGGAACTTTTGACATGGGACCCACCAAATTAATTTCTCACCGCCTCTGGCAGAATCTTGTGCTAGCGCCAAATCCCATCGAAAAGATTATTCGAGGCTGCACTGAAAACCTCAACATCGATTCTGGCTTTGCGAAAGTATAAGATGGCGCCTCCAAATGGTCATAAAATGGCTGGCAAGTTTGCGAAGCCAAAAAACGATGCTCGTTCGCTAAAGAGGAAGAGGGTTGTGGATGACCACGATCGATTAGAGAAGGAGATCAAAGAACTGGTACTTCCCCATCACTGGCTTTGGAAGGCGGGAACAGTGCTAATCGCAATCTACAGGATCCCAAAGTCGCAGACATTAAGGACTTCCAACACCTTCCCTTATCGGAGCCTACCTCCAAAGGCCTCGACGCATCGCATTTCAAAACCCTGACCGATATTCAATCGAAAGCGATACCTCTCGCCCTTAAAAGCAAAGACATCCTTGGCGCTGCAAAGACAGGCAGTGGTAAAACTCTCGCCTTCCTCGTTCCTGTTCTTGAGAACCTATATCGCCAAAAATGGACCGAGTTGGATGGGCTAGGGGCCCTAATCATCTCGCCGACGCGAGAGCTTGCCATCCAGATCTTCGAGGTACTACGGAAAATCGGGAGGTACCACTCGTTCTCGGCCGGCTTGGTTATTGGCGGTAGGAGTCTACAGGAGGAGCGTGAAAGGTTGGGCAGGATGAACATCTTGGTTTGCACACCTGGTCGAATGCTGCAGCACATGGACCAAACGGCCGCGTTTGAAGTCGACAATCTGCAGATGCTGGTACTGGACGAGGCAGACAGGATCTTGGATATGGGTTTCCAAACCTCCGTGGATGCTATCCTAGACCATCTCCCCAAAGACAGGCAGACGATGCTATTCAGTGCGACACAGACAAAGAAGGTGTCTGACTTGGCAAGACTGAGCTTGAAAGAACCGGAGTATGTGGCAGTGCATGAAGCTGCTACAAGCGCCACGCCTACGACGTTGCAACAGCATTATATTGTTGTACCTCTGGCGGAGAAGTTGAACACCCTGTACAGTTTCATACGGGCGAACTTGAAAGCGAAGATAGTTGTTTTCATGTCTTCTGGAAAGCAGGTACGATTTGTCTACGAAAGCTTCAGGCACATTCAGCCTGGTATTCCACTACTTCATCTTCATGGACGACAAAAACAAACGGCAAGGCTAGATATTACGTCAAAGTTCTCGTCTTCTCAAAATTCTTGCTTGTTCGCAACGGATGTGGTAGCTCGTGGTCTTGATTTCCCGGCCGTGGATTGGGTTATCCAAATGGATTGCCCTGAGGATGCGGACACATATATCCACCGTGTCGGGCGGACAGCTAGATACGAAAGAGCAGGCAGAGGTGTAATGTTTTTGGACCCAACCGAAGAGGAAGGCATGCTTGCGCGGTTAAAACACAAGAAGGTTCCGATCGAGAAGATCAAAGTACGCACAAATAAACAGCAGAGCGTTCAGAAGCAGCTGCAGGTTATGTGCTTTCAAGACCCGGAGCTCAAGTATCTTGGGCAGAAGGCATTTGTCAGTTACACCCGATCAGTATACCTTCAGAAGGATAAGGAGATATTTAAGATCGACGAAATTGACCTCGAGGGGTTTGCCTCTAGCATGGGTCTGCCGGGTGCACCCAAAATCAAGTTCCAGAAGGGCAATGATGCGAAGAAGCTGAAGAATGCTCCTAGAGCTACCTTGGAATCAAGCGACGAAGAGAGTGGTTCTGAGGCTGGTGGGAAGAAGGGCAAGAAGGAGGTGCGCACCAAGTACGACAGAATGTTCGAGATGCAGAACCAGAATGTTCTTTCGGGCCATTACACGAAGATGATAGCAGGGGATGAGGAGAGTGAGGGTGATGAGGCGAATGCTGGTTCTGATGAGGATGGCGACTTCATGTCTGTCAAGAGGCTCATCCCAGTCGACAGCGAATTCCCCGAAGACATGGAGGAAGTTGCATCTGCCGGACCTCAGCCGAAGGTTGTCAAGGGAGCGAACGATACGGAGCTCGTCATTGACTCGAAGAGACGCGAGAAGATGCTCAAGTCTAAGAAGAAGATGTTGAAGCTGAAGGGTCACGGAACCAAGACCGTGTATGACTCTGATGGCAACGCTCACGATATTTATGAGCTTGAGGATGAGGATGACTTCAAGGCTAGAGGAACTGCTGAGGCACAGCGCGCCAAGTTTGTCGAGGAGGAGGCATCGAAGGTCAAGCAGGCAGATATTGAAGATAAGCAGTTGGCTAAGGATAAGAGGAGGGAGAAGAAGGACAAGAGGAAAGCAAGAGAGAGAGGCGAAATGGATGAAGACGATGAAGCGCCAGCGCTACATGATGCCGGCAGCGACGCGGAAGATCCACTGGAATTCCTCAAGTCATTGCCAATGGATGATGAGAGTGAAGCAGAAGAAGATGAGCGACCACAGAAGAGAACCAAGAAGTGGTTTGAGAATGACTCCGACGATGAGTCCAAGGCGGCCGCCACGAAGAAATCTCGTCGCCACATCATCGAGGCGGCAGACGAGCCAGAGACACTCGAGGATCTCGAAGCTCTCGCATCCGGATTACTGGGATAGCCTTTGTTGTAGACTTTATAAAGTACTTAGAGCCTCAAAATTACTATACCCCATTTCACAACCCAGTCCACTTTTTTCACCCGTACCTCGCTTACCCCTAACTTACTGTACAACGCCAACACACCGACCAGGCCGACGCTAGTCCCCACCCCGCCAACCCCCGCCACCCACCTCGGAACGTCGATTCACTCACTTTCCAGCCGCATCCATCGCTTCCTCTCGAATTGACCAGATTGCACATGGACAGCACCACACTCCGCTGACTTCCGCGATGCCATCGAGCGCTCCCGCCTCCGCTACAGTGACCGACGAAGACGCGCCCAAGCTGGCCAACGGCAATGCGGACACCAGCATTCGGCCGCTGTGCGTGCGGCTTGCGGCGAGACTAAATGCCTTCCTGGCTGCCGAGCCCGAGTCCGAGATGCTGCGTGGGGTGCAGGAGCAGACGAAGACTGCGCTGGGGGTGATCACCATAGCGCTCGAGAAATATACGTAAGCCTTCATTCCGCCACCTGCCCAATTCTGCGTCAAGCCGAGCACAGCAGGGCAAATCTATGGAAGGCAGAGAAATTTGTGCGATGATCATAGAGCATATCGCTGACGAGAACCCCACAACACAGACTGGAAGAAATGTCTATATCCTACAACGGCGGCAAAGACTGTCTCGTCCTCCTCATCCTCTTCCTCTGCACCCTCGCGACTCACCCCGCCCCGCTCCCCACCCGCCTACAAAGCGTCTACATTATCTCCCCCCACCCTTTCCAGGAGGTGGATGACTTCGTCGACGAGTCAGAAGCCTATTACTCCCTGGGGCTCGCGCGTTACGCGATGCCGATGAAGGCGGCGTTCGCAAAGTACCTTGAGGACGAGCCGCGGGTGAAGGCGATTTTTGTCGGAACAAGGAGGACAGATCCGCATGGAATGCTATTGACACATTTTGATCCGACAGATCAGGGTTGGCCAGCGTTTATGCGGGTGCATCCGGTGATAGATTGGCATTATGCCGAGATTTGGGGGGTGAGTTGCTCCATTTCTCGATTTTCTGTGTGGCTCAGGCTAACGCGGTGTATAGTTTATTCGAGCGATGGAGGTGCCATATTGCCAGTTGTATGACCAGGGGTATACCTCGTTGGGGGGGACTACAGATACGCACCCCAATCCAGCGTTGAAGGCAGATAAGGGAGATGGGACAAAGGACGAAAAGTTTAGACCCGCGTATGAGCTGGTGGAAGACAAGGCGGAGAGGTTAGGTCGGGAAAAGTGATGGGTGACGGGCAGGGTGACTCATGGGATACAGTATAGAATAGCGATGCCGTTTTGTATATATATTTTCGCATAGCGATCACAGAACTATAGAAGCACTTTAGTGCCTAGAGCTATGAAACATTGGGTATATTGCCTGTATATCCAGTCATTAATAGTTGTCCGCTCCATGGTATAGTATCCCTTTTCCCTGGCATGTGAAACACCCCGCCAAAACGCCGTAGCCAAATAGCCAACCTATAACTCAGAAGTTTGTCTCGGGATATCATGAATCCTTTGTCGAATTCGTAGCCAGGAACAGAATACACACGACTACTATACTCGCAGCCACTAATCCAAATGTCTAATCCACCGTCAGCGCCAACTAGATATCCCCCAGGATGTTTACGACTCACGGTCTGTGTCTTCCAGCCTGACTGAACCAGCGCCGCGCGCTTGCTATATAGAGTCATCGTCTTCACGTAGTTTCCAAACCCCAGCACCAGGCACAATAGCCCGAGGCACCAGAAGACGATGCCGAGGGGTAGGGCCATGCGTAGTTCGAAGTCGGAAGGTTCGTTTTTGAGGTGGAAGGAGAGGATGATGGCTATGGAGACTACCGACATATAGACCGAGAGGCGGAGGTAGGAGAGAAAAGCTGTAGGCGGGGAGCGTTAGCTGTGTAATAGTATGGAAGGTGGGAAAAACGAAGGTGCAATGCGGAGTAAGTCCGGGGAAGGAAGGCACGAAGAGGAAAGGCAGGAATTTGCAAAGGAAGGCGGGGCCGAGCAACTGGAGGGTTTCTAGAAGGAAGGCACGACTCGGAACGAGGCACGACGGAGGGGAAGGAGCGTTGGAGGACGTGAAGCCTCACAAAGAAGGAACGACGGTGAAGGAAATAAAGCTGCGTACTCCTCTCATTTGCACAGTGGTCGCGAGCATCACTGCTGTCATTTTCGAAAATCAACGGAGTCCACCACGGCGAAACCGCAAAGGCCGAGCCGCTGCGGTATCTGTATCATGCATATCAGCCTCAGGTCTCGGAAAATTCGAGGCAAGGAGCCGCTTTGGACGTACGGATCGGCGTCGCAATTCCTCGAGCGAAACGGAAGATACCACGGTCGATACGCACCAATCCTATGCGCGTTTTCCGGGTCTCCCACTAGGGACATGTTTCAGTCGCAAGGCGGGTCGGGTCGTACATATATACAGAGAGAGAGAGAGATCGTGGCTTTCTTCGCTTCAAAGTTGCTTTTTCTTAGTGACTGAAGAAGGGACGAGCTTTTGATCATAGTGAGACAAAGGGCGGCGCGGCGGTGGTTTCTCCGAGCGGGGGTCGTGGAATTGTGGGATTTATACTCGGTAGGATGAAAGAGATGGGGCGATTGAGTGATAGCGCCACAATCCTATGTGCTAGTTACTCATGTGCTTGTATTGTACTATGGCGTACGTACTTGGTGAGCGTCTGGCCGCCCTCGGTATCGGCTCGCGTTACCATACCCCATTGGAGATTATCCCACAGCTAAGACCATGACTTATATGAAAAACAAGGGTCTCTCATAAGGGCCAAGGGTCGGCGACTGTTGCCACCTACACTTTTTTCCTTCCCCCTTCTCCAATGCTGTGCTGCGTTGCTATATATTTGCGGAACATTGGCACATAGTTGAACGTGATTTGCTCACTGGACATTTTCTTGGATATACAGTTCATACGTCCTAATTGGCAGGGCAGTGTGATCTCGTGCATGACGGCTCCACCAAGCTGCTAGAGCGAAATAACTTGACTACAGTCACATATATCAGCATTAACGGCTGCATTCAACTCCCATTAACCTTAATTTACATTCTTGCTTGAATATAAGTACATAACGAAATCAATTCAGCAATGAGGTAAGTATCGTCCTATATCTGGCCGAGTACGCCTCAAGGATGCCGAGTTCTGATCAAGGCCACGGTAGAAACACGGCGAGTTCATCACGCCCCATTGCTGGTACACCAAGCCAACGCAGCGGTTCCGCTGGCCATTCGCACTTTAGCAGCTCATTTCGCTCGGGTTCGCCACTGGCACAAGAGTCAATCGCTCGAGATATCGCGGCGAGCTCCGGTGATGACGATGCCGCGAGCATAGACTCGTGCGGGGATGGCGAGGGCTCCGACAACGAGTCTAAGGCCTCCACACTTCGCCCAACCCACCAGATGTCAGGCTCTTATAGGCGGCCTAGCTTCGTTGCTTTCGGGGGAGGAAACAGGCCCGCTATAGCCCCACAGCATCCGGAAATTGATCATCCCAGCAAGAGAGAAATTGCACAGGCAAGGAAGGAGGAAGAGAGCCTGCTGCGAGACAATCATCTCGCGCCTCCAAAGCATCCACGGCCAAAGGATGAAGCGTTGCCATCCAGGATATATCGTAGCATATTTAGTACGAAAGTACCAAGGGCCAGAGACGACGAAGAAGCCCCTGGGACACTGGCCCATGGCTCCCCAGCCCAGCCAACTGAAACCTCTCCTTTGCTTTTAAATGGTGCGCCCGAATCGGCTAGGGATATCCATGAGAGGACGAATAGGTTATGGGAGGATGCAGTTCGCAAAGGAAAGATTGAGACGACATGGCAGCGAGAAGCAAAGACGCTGGCGCAATATTCAACCCCTCTGATTATTACATTCCTCTTGCAGTACTCTTTGACGGTGGCAAGTATCTTTACCGTTGGACGCATTGGGAAGATCGAGTTGGGAGCTGGTAAGATATTGGCATGGAAGTTTATGTGAAATCCGCTGACTCGTTGCTAGTTTCTCTAGCTTCCATGTCAGCAAACATCACCGGTTATGCCATTTTTCAGGGACTGGCAACCAGTTTGGACACGCTATGTGCCCAGGCATATGGTTCTGGACGCAAGCACCTGGTTGGTCTTCAATGCCAACGGATGGTGCTATTTCTATGGTCTCTCTCCATTCCAATTGGGATTTTTTGGCTTTTTTCAAACCGAATTCTTGAAGTCATAGTACCAGAGAAGGAATCGGCAGACCTGGCCGGCCTATACCTCCGCGTCATAATTTTCGGGCTCCCTGGGTATGCGCTCTTCGAGAGCGGCAAGCGTTTCGTCCAGGCGCAGGGTCTTTTCAGCGCGACGACATACGTCCTCCTCATCGCAGCGCCATTGAACGCCTTTATGAACTGGCTCTTTGTCTGGCGCTTCGAATGGGGCTACATTGGCGCTCCCATCGCCCTCGTAGTGACTCATAATTTACTGCCCATCCTCCTTTTTCTCTACGTCTACTTCATCGACGGCCACGAATGCTGGAACGGCTTCAACCACCGCGCCCTCAGCAACTGGGGCCCAATGGTAAAGCTCGCTCTGCCAGGTCTCGTTATGGTCGAAGCCGAATTTCTAGCTTTCGAGGCCCTCGTCCTGGCATCCAGCTACTTCGGCACCACGCATCTCGCGGCGCAGTCGGTCCTAGGAACCGTCAGCGCAATGACGTTCCAGATCCCCTTTCCCCTGTCCATCGCCGCCTCGACGCGTGTCGCGAACCTCATCGGCGCTACACTGTCAAGCGCCGCACGCACCTCGGCCAAGGTGGCCATCTACGGCGCCGTCCTCGTCGGCCTCTTCAACGTCATCATGCTCTGGACTCTGCGCCACCACATCCCCCAGCTCTTCACCGACGACCCGGAGGTTATCGAGCTCGTCGCGCGCGTCCTACCTATCTGCGCGGCGTTCCAGCTCTTTGATGCGCTCGCCGCTCTGTCGAATGGGCTCTTGCGTGGCTTGGGGAGGCAGGAGATAGGCGGCTATATCAACTTATTCTGTTACTACGTTATCGCGCTCCCGATCTCGTTCGGGACGGGTTTTGGCCTCGATTGGAGGCTCGAGGGGTTGTGGAGTGGTGTCGCGGTGGGGTTGGGGTTGGTGGCAGCGGGTGAGGGGTTCTTCCTCGCCACGACAGATTGGGATCGGGCGGTTGAGGCTGCGGCGCATAGGAATGCGCATGCGTGAGTGACGGGTTGAAAAGTGTTAAGAAAGGGAAAAGGGCATTCGATTGTGGAGGTACTCACAAGAGTTGATGTCGGCGTTGGCGTTTGTGGCGAATAATACATGGACTGTACTCGTACCATACCACAGCACAGGAAGAGTATGTGACGATTACTTTATAAGAACTCAAATCTGCAACGTGCTTTGCCGGACACAGTGAGACCATACCTCTTATTGAGAGTCTCTATTCACAGTCGCTAGGAACACTCACAGCGACACCAAGTCTTATGGGTAACCCCTAGGCTCTGTCCACGGCTCTGTTCTTATGGCCCCTACAAGAATATCTTCTCTCAATTTTATAATGCGGAGCATAAAAATGCCATCATTCACAAAAGGCGTACCTATTTCAATTCACCCATGTTAACAACAAATGATACGATGGGAATCCCTTCTTTGACCTGCTAGCTGCAGATCAAAAATCCATAATTATGAGAATGGTGGCTAAGCCCCTACGACTGGTCTAGGCAGACTTACGGGCGAACTGGGGCATTCTGCGAGATCTCGCAAATGGGAAGGCTTGCAGAACATCGCGAGGTCTCGTAGCGTCCCACTGTCGGGATATTGCCTAGATGTTGTTCTCTAAGACGCGCAGTTTAGACTCTTCACTGTAGTACCTCTACTCAAATCATCACTTTCAACTATACAGGCTATATAATCATCAACTCGCGCAAGAACGATCCTGGGACCGGGCAACCCCAAAGCCATAACTGACGTTCTCACAATGTGCTAGGGTAGCGATGCAATACAACATGTAAGTTGCTACCATAATGGACTACATGGAGAAGCTAACAGAGATGTGTAAGGGGCTATCTATTGGCGGGGCTGTCATGGCCGCCTCGTTGTCACCTAGCACACCTTCGTTAACACCTACAAATGCTTTATCGAGCTCGAAAGCATCATCGCGTGGAGCGAAATGGCTCCATTCACTAGGTTTGCCACTTCAAAACAAGCATGGGAAAAGTCTAGCAATAAATGATACTTCCATCTTCGATGTCTCACGAGGCGATGAGAGTTTGGAGTTGGACGTCGGCCGCGAAAGTTACCCTCGTCGACAACAGAGCCTTTTCCAGTCCATTAGTTCATGGACCTAACCACGGTTTACAGCTTCCCACCATTCCTATCATTAGCAGAGGTGTCTTTACTAGCTACAATCCTCTCGGTGCCTAGCAGGGCTCTAAATCACCACCCTTGCCAGCATATACAATTACAAGATCACTTACTCCTCCTCAACCTTCATTGAAGGTATCACACCTCGACCACCTCTCTGTTACCAAAACCGAAGAACCCAATCTAAACCAAGTCCTTGCAAGCAAATCTTTCAAGGACCTGCCGTGCAGGATCACTAACGAAGATATCACAGGCTCACGCCCTGTTCTAGAGTCCGTACCAGAATTCTCTGTCGGGATTCCGACCGAGGTCAAATTAGTTATTGGAAAGGCACATGATAACGACAGCACCTGCAACGATGACAACGACAATGCCTGCTCTCTCAAGGGGGGTTAACCCCTGAAACATAATGACTACAAACATCGTGGAACCTCGACAACTACGCCACCTCCCTCAGACGCACCCGAAGGCGGACTAGTCGCGACACTGGGAGTGGAAGCTTCACCGCGACTGGCATGGCGGCGCAACACCCTTCGAAGGCCAAACTTCTTTACCTAGCAGAGGCAAAAACACACAGAGAAACAAGATCAAGACGTGTTGGCCATAGATTCTAGCGAGGATTCACCTACGGAGAGTTTCACTCCCCTTCCCTTGCTCTGTTGGCACGCCGCGGCGGGGCATCCCTGGTTCAATGGCAAGGGGCATAGATCACCCGAGGTCTGGCGTTTGTGGTGGATTGTCTTCTAATCGCATCATATAATATATGCCATCCGAGGCACAGATGCTGCTCGCAACACCTACAACTATTTTCTCAAATTAACAAATTGCTTACAACTTTTCCTCCTAGACCCTTAGGGCTCTACTTCCAGTCAATTACGCATTATAACTCCAATCTCCATCCATTCCTGCTCCTTTCGAGCATCCCTAAGTGGTGATGGAGGCCTCAACTCCCTAACGGCCGGATCTAGGCCCCTAAGACAGTGCTTTTACTCGCTCCTAGGAACCACAATCACCATCTAACCTTAACTGCACTTCTAAGAGACAGTAGAAGACACTTAGTACCAATACTATGCCTCCTCCCCGCCTTAGCTTAGGTAAAGCGCGCCTAACAGTCACGAAGTAACAGCAGCCATTAGTAGCTAACTTAATGCCATTAAAAGGGAAGTTAAGATATAGTGCATAGTTATGTACGATTTCGCTAGCATAGTAGACAAGTTTGTGTCCTCCTACAAGCTCCTAGAGCAGCGTACTTTCGCCTACGACCTCTCTAACAAGGTAGTTAGCTTTCTCACTACCTCTCTATATGTAGAAACTTCCAACTACGCCCCTATCTGCCTTAGAAGCCAGCCCTTACTAGCAGCTACCTCTATAGGGCCGAAATTGTCAGCTAGGCAGATGTGCTAAGACCCTGAAAAACTTATAGGGGCTTCTCTTTAGGGAGCTAAGGTCCCTAGCTCGTCCATTTCTAGCAGCAGATTAGCTAATGTAACCTCCTATGCTATAGGCTCTAGCCACAGCTATAGGACTACTCTAAAGCAGGAATAAGACTCCTTATTATAGTAGAGTAGGGTGCTCTACTCTAGTGACCTAAACCCTTTGCACTACATTAGGAACTCAGCACTAAAATCACCAGCCTCACCCTAGCCTTAGTCCTAACTATCAACCCTAGCAGATCTAGCCACCTAGTGTAATGGTGGGTGCACCAGATGTGAGAATCTAGCCACTCAAGGAAGGGATGATTTTACTAAGACAACACACTGTCTTAGGAAACAGAGCCAAAGGGTCGTAGCTTAGACTATTCCACAATGCAGCAATCAGGTGTATGATGTAGTGGAGTGGTTTAGACAAGTTGTAACAAATGTTGAGTCTGAGAACTCAGGGATAAGTCAGAGGTTAGCACCTCACTGACTTTTCAGAAACAAGGAGTAACAAGATCAATGCTTGGAAGCTTGGAAAAGACGTGGAAGTATGTGATAGTCGATTTACTGTATTGTCTGCTTGCCCTTTCCTGAGGAAAGGGCAATCCTATTTATGCTAAAGGAGTGTAGTTCTCTCATTTTCCAAGACTTTCCATGACTAACCAGGCTTGGTAAGTGTAGTCAATGTAAGAGAATCCCATAGAACCATCTCTTAGGTTCGTAGCCTATAGGAAGTGAAAGGAGGTCCAAGGTCAGAGTACCCCTATAGACAAATTATGTCATAGACAAATTATGTCATAACTTAACCAATCTTGTGGGTAACTAAAGAGCGATGACATGTAATGAATCATAGAGGTTCGTAATGGTGGGTGCACCAGATGTGAGAATCTAGCCACCCAAGGAAGGGATGAATTTACTAAGACAACACACTGTCTTAGAAAACAGAGCCAAAGGGTCGTAGCTTAGACTATTCCACAACGCAGCAATCAGGTGTGTGATGTAGTGAAGTGGTTCAGACAAGTTGCAACAAATGTTGAGTCTGGGAACTCAGGGGTAAGTCAGGGGTTAACACCTCACTGACTTTTCAGAAACAAGGAGTAACAAGATCAATGCTTGGAAGCTTGGAAAAGACGTGGAAGTATGTGATAGTCGATTTACTGTATTGTCTGCTTGCCCTTTCTTAAGGAAAGGGCAATCCTATTTATGCTAAAGGAGTGTAGTTCTCTCATTTTCCAAGACTTTCCATGATTACCAGGCTTGGTAACTGTAGTCGACGTAAGAGAATCCCATAGAACCATCTCTTAGGTTCGTAGCCTATAGGAAGTAAAAGGAGGTCCAAGGTCAGAGTACCCCTATAGACAAATTATGTCATAGACAAATTATGTCATAGACAAATTATGTCATAGACAAATTATGTCATAGACAAATTATGTCATAACTTAACCAATCTTGTGGGTAACTAAAGAGCGATGACATGTAATGAATCATAGAGGTTCGTAGGAGCTTTTAGAGCTATCGTTCATGCTCCTAGGCCTCTAGTTGGTAGAGATATGTCATGTGGTAGTATGAGTGATGTCATGTAATGAATCATAGAGGGTTGTAGAGATATGCTATGTGGTAATATCGGCCCAGTAACTAAGGAGCGATGACGTGTAATGAATCATAGATGGTTGTAGCAATCGTTGAGTAGTATTGCTCTTGTTGTTGGTGTGATAAGCCAAAATATGTATAGTGACTTGTAGGTTTGAAGAGGAGATTTCCAAGTTTGCTCTTGAGTTTGATAGCAAACTGAGTGCAACGAATGTCAGTATGACAATTATCAAGCATTATATAGCCAAGCTTGTTAATAATATCAAACTTAACAAGAGCATTTGTCACATATGTTGCCTGGTTCTTACTAGTATGTAGGCCTATAAGCTTACGGAAAACTAATACAGGAGCCTTTTGTTGATTGTATTGATTGAAGTAATGAGCAATAATGCTAATATAAGCAACGCCTTCCCTAGTCCAAATATCAATTGATGGATGGATTTTTTAAATGACGATGGCAAATTCGTCTTGAAGATCTGTACGTCGAGTTTGATATTGTTAAAGGGACTAGTTTTTGACAGTATTTCAAGTAGGAAGGCAGCTTTCGACATAGCAATTTAGATACTTTAAAAGAGCCTTAAATTAAGGCGATTCACACTTTTTGAAAGCAATAGAATCAACAGCAATCCACTCAATAAGAAGCTCTTCAAATACTGCTAATTCAAAGGCTTAAGCATATCCATTATCAGTTATTACCTGTTTCCGTTAGTAGGGATTGATAGCAGCTCTGGCAAATGCAGCTTCAATCCTACCTTTGACAACCTCATGCTGTTTGTAAGGATGCCTCCGCCCTGCCTCCGCCCTGCCTCCGCCCTCAGTGATGGAAGGGATCTGAGTCGGATGGGTTACGGTCACGTGGGGAGAGTTAGGGCTGGTTAGCCGACTCGGACCCGTTTCGGGTACTTAAGGGGATTGACCCAACAGGGTTCCTCATCATCTTTTTTGTATCCTTCATAGTAGACCTATAGGATAGCATCCGTTTAGCCTCCGACTCGCACTCTCATATGCTATTACTGTGAGCTGGGTGCTGTTACGATGTCAAGTGCGCCTTGCAGCTCGAATAGGGGTTCAGGGGTGTGGGGAGCTTTCCGGGGTTGGAGCGAAGTTTTCAGTTGTGGAGTGAAATCTCAGAACTGGTCTCGCTAAAGAGAATTCACTCCACAACAACATAGCTGTATATAGATCGAGCCACTGCTCGAGTGCTCCTCTTCTCTTTCCTTCCTTCTCTAGATTGAGTTTAATTCATAATACCCAACTGGCGCCCTATGCCTTGGTGAACCGTGACAGGTGCCCTGTGTCCTTACACTGTTGGACCTTTGTATCCCTCTTGTTATGCGCCTTTGTAAGGTGTGCTGCTATTGATCGAGTGCCTCCTGAATGCTTGTAGCTCACTAAGCAGTGTAGGCATCGCCAATACAGCTCGCCGTTAACCAACAAGACCACATCTAGACCACCTTCCATTTGCTGCCAAACCCATGAAGTCCTTGACTGCTGCTTTGATAGAGTGCTTCTTGCTATAGATTCAGTAGATATAAGGGTTTCAGAGACCCTACTGATCTATTGCGTATCCTCTGCCATTATTTTGTATGATTTGGGCATGTTTTCGTTAAGGTACCACGGTTCTCATAATAGGCAAAAGGGGATGGTTTGCTCAGATGCGGAAATATCTTCATTTTTCACAGGGGTAGCACAGACTAGAGCACAGACCAACTACACTGATAGTGCAAGCTTCTCACACTGATAGTGCGAATACCTCACACTGCACGCACTAAACCGTTGACATGCCTGATTGAATTTAAAAGGAAGGGCACTCGCACACCTCACAACAATGGAAGCGGCTTATTCTCAAATAGTTCAAGTGTATCCTTCGGAGTTAATAACTTCTGCACATCAAAATTTTCTCCTTCATACGCAGCTCTAATAGATCCTGCTCCGAATTTTAGATGTCTGGGTAACAAGTAGCATCATATATATGAGAAATATGGCTCGCATATCTCGGATCGGATAGAATCGGGCCCTCGCCCAAGTCCACGAGTTAGTATTAATGCTGTGCCGTTTTTGAGAAAGTCCCTGATATCAATTTGGAACTCAGTAGGGCAGATCTTGCACTGGAACAAGCCCGATGTAAAGTCGTAGGACCCAGGGTCACACGGGAGCTCAGGGAACCAGATCAGTAGGTAGGAAGTAGGATTCAATGCGTAACAATAGGTCTACGTATATACAGCGACTATTGACTGGAGGCCTCACTCCGAGCCTCCAGCCCCTTATATACAGGAACCCGTAGGCCCTAATTTACCGAGCCCGCCAGGTCCACTGTAAGAGCGTGACACCTCACGTGCCCTCACGTGAGGGCCGCCTTACAATTACCTCCCCCTTCTAGGGAATTGCCCCCAATTCCAGGCATAGAGATCAGGGCTGATTGCGCCCTTGTTTGGGCTTGTTTGGCTTGTTTGCTCGCGCGTAGGGTGGGTTGTTGTTATCGAACTCGCGCCTGTCAGGGGGGTCCCGTGACCCCCCTTGTTGTTGTGCCGCGGCCACCCCCAGTTGTTGTGGGCATCGCGCTTAACTCCCACTTCCTACCCAACTTCCTACTTTCCTCACACAACCTCACACCAAGTGCCCGCTCTTCTGGGTTCTTGGGTTCTTCCTTTTGATCCTCTTCCAAGGTTTGCTTCAAGGATTACTCCCTCTTCGCAAGGTATTTACCTCCCTTCCGTCCTTCGTCTTCAGGGACTGATCTGTGGATTAGTTCCGTCAATCATGGCTCCGCGCAAGCAGCCCAAGAAGACAGTGGCGCCTGTCACCACCCCTCTCAAGCGCTCTTCCGCCCAGATGTCTGGGTCTCCCGAGTTGGAGTCACCTGCCACCCCTACTCCCTTCGGTCCTGCTTCCGTTGCGTCCACCTCTCGCCCTCGCACCGTGCGTCCCTACCGATCACCTTCGGTTGAGGACGCTCCAGAGGAGGAGGAGGAGGTCGCTGCTCAGTTGGCCGCCAAGGAGATGCGTACGGCGCTGGGGTGGAAGCTTTCTGCGCGCCGCCCAGTTCCAGAGTCTGTTGGTCCCCTTCGCGCAGGCTCCCGCGACTGCTGCGTCAAGTGTTCAGTCACCTATTACAACTATCCTGGACAGATCTGCTGGGTCCCTGTTGGCTTGGACAAGTGCGGCGACTGTCTCCAAGGAAACCACCACTGCGTTCCGGTAGGCCTCCTTTTCCTTCTTAGTGGGATATGCTGACAACCAGGCAGGTCGGTCCTGATCAGAAGGATGCCCTCACTGCCCTGCAGCTCAAGTCCGACGCCTATTTGAACTGTTGCGCTGACGACGAGGACGCTGGGCTGGAACATAATTCGGTCGCCACCCGTGAGGCTCTGGCCTCCCTCCTCTTTGCCCAACGCGAGTTCACTACCGCTGATAAGGGCAAGGAGCCTCGCACCCTGAAGGTCAAGAATAAGGGTAAGAGAGCTGCTACGTCCTTCCACGAGGAACCTGTTGCGCCTCTCCCTGAGGCTGGGGGCCCCGTCGTCCGCAACCTCAACGACCCACGCCAAGCCCTTCTTCACCACGCTGAGACCCTTGCTGAGCTGGATCAGGCCAAAACCAAGGCTCTCAAGGCTGCTGCTGCTATGTTCCACGCCGCTACTGATGCGGCTCTAGACGCCTACCAGGTTGGCCTCAACGCCCACGTCGCCGCCCTGAAGTTTGTCGTAGGTTTGTGATTCCCATCCTTCCTGGACGTTTTGCTGACCCTGTGGGTAGCTCGAGTGAGGCCTGTCCTGCCCTCCGCGCCCTTGTCGGTAGGACCTATTCTCCTGCCTACGCCTGCGGATTACGATCGTGCTCTTTTTGAGCGTTTGTTTGTGCGTCCAGACCAGTGGCGCTTCAATCCACGCCCTGCCCCCGTCGTCGCCCCCTTGTCTGACGCGCGCATTTCTTCTAGGTCTGGGTCGGGGTCTGCTTCTGGGTCTGTGAGCCCTTCTCCTTCGGAACTTGACGCGTTGTTTTTTTCCCTTAGTTTAGGACAATACACTACATTGCCTTCTGCGTCTGTTCCTTGTGATATGCCTTGATTAACGGTAGTCCTACGTCAAGCTTTGGAACCCACTGATCGTCAGCTGCAGTGTAGCCTGCCCACCTAATCAGGTATTCCTCTCGGATTCCTCTACCCCTCCGCACAGTCCTGTGGTCTAGGACTGCCTCGACCTTGTATTCTTCTTCCCCATCCACGATCTCTGGATCTGGTGGAGGATCGGCCTTCTCAACGCCTTCCCGATACCTCTCGAGTAGGGAGACGTGGAACACGTCGTGAATCGCCTTATACCGTGGGGGAAGCCTCAATCGATACGCCTGTTTACCTATCCGCCCGGTGATCTCATACGGTCCGAGCCACCGGTGACCTAGCTTCCTACTTGGCTGGGTGGTTCTGATATTCTTGGCAGAAAGCCACACCCGTTCGCCGACCATGAACTGCATTGGCTTGTGGATCTTGTTATATCCTCGGACTTGGGCTTCCTTCGATCTCGCCCAGGCCTCTTCAAGCTCCTTTCGTAGGTCGAGGATCTTCTGGACTCGGTCTCTTGCAACCGGCACCTCCCTTCTCATGGGGTCGTCCTCGATCCCTTGCCGCAGGTCGATGTTGATACCGTATCGAGCCTGATTTGGCGACATCTGGATGGAATCGTGGAAGGCATTATTGTAGGTAAGCTCCGCGAAGTGAAGAAGTTCTACCCAATTGTCCTGGTGCTGATTGCAGTGTAGGCGTAGGTAGGCCTCAATATTCTGGTTCTGCCTTTCCGTCTGGCCGTCAGATTGAGGGTGGAAGGCAGTCGATAGGTTCCGCCGTACTTTGAGGTGGAAACAGAAGGCCGACCAGAAGTGGCACGTAAATACGCTGCCGCGGTCTGTAATTATTTCAGCAGGAATTCCAAAGTCCTTAACCCAATACTCAAGGAAGACCCGCCCCAACTCGGTGGCAGTAATGGTCTTCCGGCAGGGTATATATTTGGATACCTTGGTGTATCGGTCTACGATTACCAAAATGGAGTCTGAAGCCTTAGCTTGGTCTGCTCCTATACTAGGCGGCAGATCTGTGATGAAGTCCATACTTATGGACTCAAAGGGCTTAGTAGGCATTCTGAGGCCTTGCATTTCGCCGTAGGGTCTATGCCGTACCGGCTTGATCCGCTGGCACCGATCGCAGCCACGTACGTACTCCCTGGCTTCCTGGTCTAATCCAGGCCAGTAGTATTTCCGTCGGATCAGTTCCTGGGTCTTCTTATATCCGAAGTGCCCAGCCAAAGGGTCGTCGTGGCAAATCTTGAAGATTTCCATACGTACTGCCTGATTGGGAGGCACGTAGGCTGCTCCCTTGAAGCGTAGGATGCCTGCATCGTCTACTCTCCAACCTGAAGAGCCCTTCGCCCACGCCGGCCCTGCTTCTCTGGCCCTGTGAACAGCGAGCTCGTCAGCCGCTTGAAGGGTTTTGATCAGATCCGCTAAGGGTTCGGCCGTGGCACTGTAGGCGCTCTCTCCCTGAGCCATGGCTGCCACCATAACTCGAGGGACAACGAGACCTGGACTCTTGGTGTCCTTACTCTGGTCTTCGCCCAGTGTGGTGCCTACTTCTTGTAAGTCAGCCACTACCCGCCTCATCTGCAGGGCTTCTTCTCCTGCCTGTATGGCTTTCTGGAGCTTGTTTCGAAGGGTAGGAAGCATCACGTTCTGGCTACCCTTCTCTTCCTCATAGTCTGGTCTCCTAGACGGCCCATCTGCGGGGTTGGTCTTGCCAGCTCGATAGGATATTTGGAAGTCGTAGGCTGACAACGCCTGCGCCCACCGCGCCTGCCTTCTTGTGAGGGCGGTGGTTTCCATGAAGTATTTCAGGTTGTTGTGATCCGTCAGGACCTCGATTGGGTGTTGGCTACCCTCTAGGTAATGCCTCCACTGTTCGAAAGATCTCACGATCGCCAAGAGCTCTTGGTCGTGGACCTCATAGTTCAGCTCTGCTGGCTCCAGCTTTTTGCTGAAGAAGGCGACTGGGTGCCACCCACCCCTTCGTTCTGGGGTTTCTTCTACATATTGGGAAAGATTCCCTGCCAACCCGAAGCCGGAGGAGTCTGTCTCAAGTCTAATCTTACAGCTTGGATCGAAATGGACTAACATGGGAGCTGTGGTGAAGGCCTCCTTGAGGCGATCGAACGCGCCCTGCTGCATTGCTCCCCACACAAAGGGCCCGGTCTGTTTACCGGCCTTGGCCCCCTTCATAAGGCCAGTCAAGGGTGCCACAACAGAGGAGTACTGCTCTATGAAGCGTCGGTAAAAGTTGGCGAAGCCGAGAAACACCTGGACCTCTCGGTAGGTCTTGGGTGTAGGCCACTCAGCTATCGCAGCAACCCGGTCGCCTTCCATAGCCACTCCTTCTGTTGTGACGGTATATCCAAGGAAGCCTACCTGTTTGGTATTGAACTCGCACTTTGAGAGCTTTACATATAGGTTCGCCTCTCGTAGGCGACCTAGGACCTCCTGTACGTGGTGGGTATGTTCCTCCTCTTTAGAGGAATAAATAAGGATATCGTCGAGGTATACAACGCATATCGTATCAACGAGCCCTTCGAGGGTCTCGTTCATATAGGCCTGAAACGTGGCTGGCGCGTTGGCCAAGCCAAAAGGCATCACTTTGTACTCAAAGTGGCCGTAACGAGTGCGGAAGGCGGTCTTCCACTCGTCGCCTGGGCGGATCCGGATCCTGTGGTAGGCGTTCCTAATATCAAGCTTTGTGAAGACCTTTGCTCCTTGGAGCCGATCCAAGGTCTCTGTGATCAGCGGCAAGGGGTGCCTATTCTTTACGGTGATCTTATTCAGACCCCTATAATCCACGCAGAGGCGTAGACTGCCGTCCTTCTTCTGTACGAACAGTATGGGCGCGCCCGCTGGGCTTATGCTCCTCTGGATCCAACCCTTCCTTTCGCTTGATTGAAGGTATTCCCGGAGTGTGGCCAACTCCGTCTCAGATAGGTTGTATACCGGGCCGTAAGGCGGCTCTTGCATGCTGGTATCGATACCGTGGGTCTTCCTACCCAGCTCGGGTAGGTCTTCTGCCCGCTCCTTAGAGAAGACGTCGGCGAATTCAGCGTACTCCCTTGGGCATTGGGGTTCCAATGCTCCTTCCGAGGTCAACGCCAGGACAAAGGCAGTATCGCCTTTGTCTAGCTCTTCAATACCCACCTCCATCGCCTTCGATATATCGAAGGGGTAGCGCCATATCTGGGTCTGCCAATCGATCTGGGGGTTGACCTGTACGATCCAGTCCATTCCAAGGATAACATCCACACCAGGGGTATCCATGGAAAGGAACGTCTGGTCTACGGTCGTCTCCCTTCGAAAGTGGTCCCAGGCCTTGATCTGTACGGTCGCCGCTCCGTATATGGCAATCTCCTTGCCGTCCACAGCCCTCGCTCGAGGTGGGCCCTTGTCTCGGCACTCTAGGCCCTTATCTTTTGCGAAGAGGGGGTGGATAGTTGACGCGTCCGACCCCGAATCGAGTAGAGCCTTGGCCTTGTGCCAGGTAGGCCCTACTTTGATTTCAATGTCGATCTCCATCCTCTTCGCCTGCGTAGGGCGTAGGGCTTCGGTAGGGAGTCACTCCCGCTTGAGGAGTTGGGTATCCAGCTTCCGGACTCCCGGCCCAGTGTGCTGGCTACGGCAGTCCTTTGCAAAGTGGCCTGGTCTGCCACAGTTGTAACAGGCGTTCCCTACTTGGGTAGGCCTTGCGCCTTGGGTGTCGGCTGGCTTGCGCGCAGGTTGTTGGTCCGATCGACGGCGATCCTGGAAGGGCGTTCGCTCCCGGTGATTGCCCGACTTGTGGCTATTGAAGTGGCCCTTCCGAGCTGGAAAGCCACCCTGCAGGGTTCCCTTATTCTCCCTTGTGTTGGGCCTATCCGTAGAAGGATTCTTCTCGGTTACCCACCGGTTGTTCATTTCCAGCATGGCTAGGATATTGACAACAGCCTCCCTGTGGGTCGTGGAACGCTCGGCGTAGCCACCCTCAAGGAGGCGCTGCCTCATTTCTGGGTGTAACTTCGTCAGGAGGTGGGTGGTCCTCTGGGACTCGGTGTAGGGCTCCATTTCCCGCTCCAATTCCTCGAGGTACGCAACGAATTTGCGGATACCCTGCCCCTTACGCTGGTGGGCGCCGTTGTATTTGAGGGCTGCAATGCGTTGCCGGTTGGCTGGGTCGATATGGAGGTCGCGAAGGAACTCTTCAAACCCTGCGATATCTAAAGGGTCCTCGAGCCCTTCCTCTTGCGAGGCGCAGCGGTTGTCCCACTCCTTCATGGGGTTGCTCTCAAGGTATTGGGCGGTGAAGGCCACCTTGGATTGCTCGGTTGGGAACATTCTTGGCTGGTATCGGAAGGAAGCGCGGATTGAGGCCATAAACTCGTTGAGCTCTCGTGTCGACTCGCCTTTGTAGACCTTAGGGTCCTTGACCTTGCCGAAAGGCCTATATGACGGGGTTGCTTCTCGCGATACTACGGAGGCAGTCTCTTGTTCCTCCTCGTTTGGGGTCCCCTCCCATTCTTCCTCACTGTCTTGGTGTCGCCTTTTCCGGCGTCCTTCTTCTTGTATTCGGACCTGTCTTTCTGCGAAGACCCTTACTTCCTCCGGGTAGGCGCTATAGTCGTCGCCGTGCGATCGTCGGAATACTTGGAGGGCTTCTTCCATGGTATTGTAGTAGGCCCTCTCTTCTTCGATCCTATTCTTGAGGGCGGCCAGCTTTGACGGCATCCTGTCCGCTTTGCTCGTCGCGGAGCTGCTGGCTTCAGGGCCCAGAGTCGGTGGGCTGGCCTCGATGGTTTCTGCCGCTGGAGTCGCTCCTCCGGAGGTCGCTCGGGTAATCCTCTTTTCCTGGCTCGCCATCCTGATCTGGTAGGCTGAGTATGGGTTGAGTCAATAGAATTGTAAAGTCGTAGGACCCAGGGTCACACGGGAGCTCAGGGAACCAGATCAGTAGGTAGGAAGTAGGATTCAATGCGTAACAATAGGTCTACGTATATACAGCGACTATTGACTGGAGGCCTCACTCCGAGCCTCCAGCCCCTTATATACAGGAACCCGTAGGCCCTAATTTACCGAGCCCGCCAGGTCCACTGTAAGAGCGTGACACCTCACGTGCCCTCACGTGAGGGCCGCCTTACACCCGAACAAGTCGGGTACCTGAAATTGACGCAAATTATCCCAGTGGCTTTTTGACAGGCTAGTTTTGTTTTTAATTTTAATTCCCAATGCGGGCAGACATCAATAGGTATCATATCAGGGATAATAAGCTCATATCCAACTGGGAATAAGAGCCAAGCTTGATGGCGTAATATGAAATGGCCATTTACAATCCGAGGGATAGATGTCCATTGGTGGTTATATCCGCGCCCACGTGGGGATCCAAATCCAGTTAACCAGGAAAGCTGCTCGCTACAGCCGAGGCCAAGACGATGAAGCTTCATACTGACTGAAATGTAACAGAGCAGAATCTTTTTTGGATATAGAAGTCCACATGTGATATGATGTCCCTCGATGCACAAGGTGCTGGCTTGTAACTGTGCCCCTGTAAGCTATATCGTCGTCCATTACCGCTATGAAGCAACTGACAGTCGTAGCACAGGATTTTACGGGGTAGATCCCCCTCTAGGAGCTCTAAGAATGCCAGTCGGTGAGACTTACGGCATATTGCCTTAAGCTGATCAAGATAGTGGTTCCCCAAGAAACTGGCCTACAGGTCAGGGTAAATGAGGCGGCGGCTTGGAGAGGCAGGAATTCTGCAATTGATATGATAAGCTCTATGGGAAGCTTCTTGAAAGGCGGATATTCCAAGCTCTCAGGAGAATTCAGCCCCAGAGGCAAATAAGGCATCAAAGAGCTTTACAAGTCTCTCACGGAGATTCATTTTGACAGACCTTGGTCTGGTCGAGAGAAGAAGAGAAGAATACGACATGTTATAGAGGAACGATTTAAATAGGGTGATTATTTGACACCAAAGATATTCGAAAGTTTGCGTTTTGAGGGAGGAGGGATGGGAAGTAGTATTTAAACCTACACTACCGATTCACTTGAGGAATATGGTCGTTCGATAGTTGGATTTTGAGTCATCTTTTTGAATGAGACCACAGTCTGTCAGGCCACTTCAGGAACAGGTACGCTTCTACCAGGAACCGTGATAGTCTATGGCGCTACCCTGGCTAACTGGGCTAAAATATGAACTAGCATGGCTTGGTGAGTATTTAAACTCGGTCGGAGTACTTCTCTGAGAATTTATCCGATTTAGCTGACGTGGAAGGAGCGAGTAATAGAGAGGGTGCCTCCTTCCAGTTTTGTCGAACATTTACGTACAGTACTTTCCCAGGAAATGTAAACACAGCGCTTGTCTCCCACAGCTAAAACTATAACTCGGGGGCCGGACATCCATAGCTCGGATTTAGTTAACTTATGAAATACAGTCACCAAGACTCTGATAGCGTGGCACCGTGATTAAGCTCCGGGGGCTAACTAAACCAACAAGTCCGAACCGGCTGGCGTCCTTTGATTTACTGGATAATCCAGACTGAGGAATCACATCATGCTTCCTTATCAATAGTAACTGTCCCAAAATTAAAACACGTAAATCACAGTGATAGTCATATAATAGCATAAGGTCCTATCATTGAAATAGACTTCTATCTTCCTATTGGGGGGCTATAATGCTTCTAGTAATTATTGCGAGCCTAATACCTAGCTCGCATTGAAACCCGAGAAACAACCATCTACTCCTCAAGCCCATCCCCTTCTCCCTCTCCCTCCGCATCCGTCACCTCGGCATCCTCACAAGAAGGCGGCAACCTCTCATTCTCCTTCGGCGCCTTCCAGTTCACCATGCGTTCATTCTCCACAAACGTGTAGAAGCTCGCGTAAATGACAATAACATTGTCCAAATACCTCACCCCCAAATCCAGCTCCCTCACCACGCCCACAAACTTCATCCCTGCAAAGCAGCGCTCCAGAATGTCTTCGTCCACCCAGAACGTCTCGTCGCCATACACTGGCGGGTTCGCCGCTAGCCCCTGCTCCTCTTCAATGGTGAGGTCAAGCGTGGGCTGGTAGGGATGCGTCCATGAATTGCAGGCGAGAAGGCCGACGGGTTTGATAGTGCCAGTGCGACCATCTGCGGCGCGAATACCAGCAAAGCTCTTGCTGAGCGCCTCGCCAGGCAGGGTAATGCCCACGACTTCGAAGCCACGGAGCTCCTCGGAAACAACAGCCGGGGCTTGGTACTCCTTGAGGCTCGTAACGGCAACGGCCGCGAACTGCTCAGCTGTGCCCATGAGCGCCATTGCTGCGCGGAAGGTGCGGTGCGCCTGGTCGATCGACATGTACTGGTTCGGGTCTGCGTCGGCGGGATGGTCAGGGATCGAGGCCGGGTCGATGTATAGGAGTCTGGAGCAGCCGTGGCACATGATGGAGAGGGCTTTGTGAAAGTTGCCTGGGAAGGAGGCGCCGACGTCGTGGATGGCTGGGAGCTCGAACTTGGCGAGGTCGCAGACCTTTTGGGCGGCGATAATGGATTTGGTGTACTCTGGGCAGACGCCGTGCATGAGGACGTAGTTGAGAAAGTTCTTGACCACGTTGCAGTAATTGTTGACGAGGCCTTGGTTGTGGATGCCGAAGTTGTATGGGGCTCTGGAGGATCTGATCTGAGTTGGTGATGGTAGGAAACGTCTGGGGGTGGTTAACTCACAGGAATGCTTTGGCGATGCCTTCGAAGTCTACCACCCAATTTTGCGGCGCGCAAGGATCGTAGAATTTACTGCCCGCCTCGTCGCCGCCGTACATGACATCGGTGGCGTTGATATCAGCGATCGTGGGGCCATCGAAATCTTCCAGTGCCTCGTTGTCCACTCCTCCAGTGAATGCCTTAATCGTTGTGTCAATGCCACCAAAAGATATGTATTTGTTGAATATATTCGCACGCTCTTCATCAAGCTTGCGTCTGGCTCGGTAGCGCTGAATGCACGTCTCAATCCGCTCTGCAAATGGACGAGCGAAGTGGTATAACTGTTCCACTTCCTCCTTATGATCCTCTGGCGTGATTGGAGGGTCGGCGTAGAACTCTTCGAAGCCAGTTGGGTTTGGTTTCTTCTTCTTTCCGCTGCTCTTCTTCTTCTTCTTCTTCGCCCCCGCTACCACTGGAGCGCTGGCACTTGGGCCAGCCGCTTGGGATTCGGTGGACCACACAGCCTCTCCATTCTTGTCCTCCATCCCTTCTGCAATGCTTGGTCTCTTTTCCGTCGTTTGGTCAAGTCCATGGCTATCTTCACCTTTGTCGACAATAATAGCTGTGAGTTCTCCTGTCAATTCCGGGCGCTGTTCAACTGTGAGATTTTCCGAGGTTTGGGCACTGGCAACCGCTTCAGCTTCAGCTGGGTCACCAGGTCGGAGAGATCCCGTTGGCGACATCGGGGCTGGTCTAAGCTTCGTCAGCTTCTCTGAGGTGTGTCGGAGACCACGGTCACCCTCAGACATGTCGTTGATCTCAGGGCCTGTTGTTGGGGCGCCGTCGGAAGTCATCGCGGCAGGTTCCTCCATGTGTGGAGTCATGTTGCTTGTGGTGGCAGTGCAACTGAGATCAGGACCGTGTTAGCATACCGCAGTGGATGAGATTGTGAGTACACAAAGCCTGCACACACAGCCTGTGTCGGGGGGTAAATAACTAACCTGTTTGATGTGGTGTAAATAGAGAAAGAAGAGGGTAGAGTATTGTGAGCGATTGGAGGGGTAAATAACCGTCAACGAAGACCAGCAGCAAACAACTTTTAAGGGGTAGCAGACAGAATAGGTCTCCGTACTTGGTGAAGAAGTTTGTAAATTTCTATTCTATATTCAGGTATCACATAGAATAAAAGATGAATTGGTATGTGAAATTCAGTTAAAGGTAAAAGTAAAGTTGAAGTGAGCAGGCCACTGGGCTGATAGGACGAATATTTTCAAGAAACGGTTGACTTTTGCTTCGCTGAAGCTGTCAACATACAGAGAGGCGCAGTGCACGCCGCAACAGGGCACGGCTTCACGGCGATGGAAGAAGGAGGATGATGAGGTGGAGGCTGAGGTTGATATGAGATGGAAGCGTGTGAGAGGTGAATGGATAGTCCAACCTGGTCAAGACCAACGAAAGGCCAACAAACAAACAAACAGGTATAACGGTCTCCAACGTCAAAAACGTTCAGTATGTTGGAGGTGTTCTGTATTTCCCAACACCGATACCCCTCCCTACATTTGTGTTGGGAATCATTTGTTGTGTTTGCCGTTGTTGGTGTTTGAAGGAAGGAAAGAGGTGAGACAGGGCGGCGGGCTGTGCCAACAGGCAGGCAGACAACTGAGCTTGCTTCCCAGCCTCATCGTGCTCACCGCGTCCAACATATCGGGAACGAATATATGCACTTCGCAAGCCCTGATACCGACTGCATGATCTTATACGCAATCCAATACGTTGGTCATCCGGAGCTGTACCCACGAAGCGGCAGTAGTGAGTGACAGTGGCGGAGGCGCGGTTCGGGCGCGGCCGTTGTGTTGTGGCGGGCTGTGGGATGATACAGATGGATTGTGAAATTAACGAATTAAGCCCTTAAATTTAATTAATTCAACCAATTAATTTAAGTCAAGTTGATGGATTTAATTTATATATCCCGCAAAATCTCAGGAGCGATTGCCGCAAGTTACCGCCCACCACCCCGCCTACTCAGCCTCGCGCAACTTGGACGCTTTCTCCTTCAACCAACGCATCGCGCGCGTAGCGTACATACGAGTACATAGACTTCCTATCATCATTGCTTCTTAAATACCGGCCCTGTAACCCGACTTTCCATTTTCTTTTCTCCAGCATGACCATTTTATAGACTACTACCAAAAAAAATCATAATGAGTAGGGTGCTTCCCGACATTGAGGACCTGGTCGGCTTCGACCACGCCGTCGCTGGACAGTATGTTATGCGTCTCACCCACCCCTCCTCTCCAGCTTGCTCAAACCGACTAACCCACTCAGCGATGGAACCCTCACCGACCGTGCCGGCGAACTCTTTGTCAAGCCATGCACCCCGACCGAAATCGCCTTCTACGAATACACCGCCGCGCACCACCCCGCCCTCGCGGACCTGATGCCCACCTTCCTCGGCACGCTCGCCCTATCCGAATCACAGACAGCCATCCTCGAAGAGGCCAGCGCGACCACTCTGCCCAAGTCCACGACGCCGCCCGCGCATGCCGAGCAGCTCGTGCTGCAACATAAGTTCATCAAGACAAAGCGCATCGTGACGGACCGCGCGCTTGTGCTCGAGAACGCGACGCACGGCTTCCGCAGACCCAACATTCTCGATGTGAAGCTCGGCGTGCGGCTGTGGGCGGATGACGCGCCGGCTGAGAAGCGCGTGAGATTCGATAAGATTACGGCCGAGACAACGCACGCGTCGCATGGGTTCCGGGTCGCTGGGATGCGGGTGTGGCAGGGTGATGAGGCGCCGAGGGGGGTGCATGTCGATGCGGATGGGTATAAAATTTACGATAAGAATTATGGGCGCGAAGAGATTACGGTTGATAACGTGGCGGATGCGTTTCGGGAGTTTATAGGGGCGGGGAAGGGGGCTGGTGTGGATGAGGAGTTGGGGAGGCTGGTGGCACAGGCGTTTCTGGCGGAGGTGGAGGAGGCGAGGAGGGTGTTGGAGAGTGTGGAGACGAGGATGTATTCTTCGAGCTTGTTGTTTATTTATGAGGGCGACGGGAAGGCGTTGAGGGAGGCGATGGAGGAGGCTACGCGGGTTGGGCAGAGTGCGGCTACGAATGGGGCGGCACCAGTAGAGGTGACAACGAATGGAGTTGGGATCGAAGAACTCGTCAATGGAGATGACGCAGACGAGGATGAGGATGAAGACGAAGAGGTTCTGCCCAAGATCTACAGTGTCAAACTTATCGACTTCGCGCACGCAGAGTTTGTACCCGGTCAAGGCTCAGACGAGAACTCGCTCAAAGGGATCAGGAGCATCGCGGAGATCCTACGCAGCATTGCAGAGGAATAAGTAGGAAAGGGACAGAAGAGCGCTGCATGAGGGAGATGGCGCTATTGGCTTGTCGCATTGAAGCTTGCATAGCATACGATGATTTCTCTTCTTTCGCATATGCGCCTCTCCCTACCCGTCTGGACGGGCCGACGCATTGGGTGTGTCTCTTTTTCTCGCGCAATCGTCTCATCCCAGCCCGTCTCTGTGGTGGACTACTCCGGTCATGGGAAGGGCTACGAAGACAATGAAATGCTGGGGACGGGAAAGGAAAAAACATGTATATAGCGTGACGAAACCGCTCCAATGACCTAGAAACTACAAATAAATAGAACCTATCCCACACAAGACCTCGGATCATGAGTAACCAGTATAAAATATAAAGCAAAAAGAAGTTTAAAAGCAGTCGTGCGACAGCGCAGATCCCCTTCCTTAATCGGCCGCTATTAGTCGAAGTAACCCCAATACTGACGCCATCCCATCTACCCCTCCTTGCCAGCTACTAGTCAAGCCACTCAAAACCCCCACCATCGTCCACCAGAACCACCTTTCGTGATTCCCTCCTCCGCAATTGGAATTACGGAAATTATAGGATTAATCAGCGCGCCATCTCGTTGACGGCCTATGTCGGCATCTACCCTGCTGCCCCCCTGTGTTTATAAGCTTTCCCCACCCCCCAAGCAGTCTTGTGCCGCGCAGGTATATACCTCGACAGACCCTGAGTCCAAAGTGCCCATCACCAGGAGCCTCAAGAGCAGCTACAAGTTTACAATCACCAATACATCTATTCATTAAGACAATCCCTCAATTTCCCAGAACAAGAACCCAATTCCCCACAAGAGCAACACCCCGCAACTACACAACCATGACCACCCCCACCCTCCCAGCAACCATGCGCGCCATCAAGATCCCCCACACCGGCGGCGTCGAAGTCCTCGAGCTACACACCGACCTCCCCCTCCCCACCCCCACCTCTGGCCAAATCCTCATCAAAAACGCCTTCGCAGGCGTAAACTACATCGACACCTACCTCCGCACCGGCCTGTACCCTCCCCCCGCCTCTGGAATCCTCGGGCAAGAAGCAGAGGGGACTGTCGTCGCCGTGTCCGCTGAGGGAGACACCTACGGCTTCAAGATCGGTGACCGCGTCGCTGCGTTCGCGCCGGCAGGGGGGGCGTACGCGGAGTACGTTGCTGTGACGGCGAAGACGTCGTTTAAGCTCCCAGAGGGGATTGAGGCGGGGTTGGGAGCTGCGAGTTTGCTTCAGGGTCTTACGGCTTTGACGTTGATTCGGGAGTCTCACCCTGTTAAGAAGGGGGAGACGATTCTGGTGCACGCTGCTGCTGGTGGTGTGGGGTTGTGGCTTTGCCAGCTCCTCCGTGCGGTTGGGGCGAAGGTTATCGCTACTGCTTCTACGGCTGAGAAATTGGCGCTGGCGAAGGAGAATGGAGCGGATGAGTTGGTGAATTATAAGACGCATGATTTTGTGGCTGAGGTGGAGAGGATCACCAACGGCGCTGGTGTGGCAGCTGTCTTTGATGGTGTTGGTGCTGCGACATTCGAGGGCAGTTTCGCGTCTGTGGCGAGGAAGGGGTCGCTTGTTAGCTTTGGCAATGCGAGTGGACCTGTCCCACCGTTTACGATTGCGAGGTTGGGAGCGAAGAATATTAAGGTGTTGAGGCCGAGGTTGGGTGCGTATGTTGAGACGAGGGAGGAGTTCGAGACGTATTCTGGGGAGTTGTTTGGGTTTATTGCGGATGGGAAGGTGGGGGTGAAGGTGCATGGACGGTATAAGCTTGAGGATGTTGCGAAGGCGCAGGGGGAGTTGGAGGGGAGGGGTACGGTTGGGAAGTTGTTGCTTGTTTTGTAAAGGGGGTTTGCTATTCATTTTGTAGAGGAAAGTTGCTTGTACTATAATATGGAAGCTGAACACGGGAAATTCCAAGACCTCTACCACAAAAGCTGTGTGCATAGTGACTGTTGAGAGTCCACCTCCTGTGCACCGTTACCCAACGGCACCTCGTCTTGCCGAATAAATACCGTCTGGAATTTATATATCCTCATCAAGATTATAATCTACCTTCAAACAACCCCCTCCCCAGTCTATTACGCCCTCCTTCTTTCTTTATATCCAAGAGTATCTACAGCCCCTCTACTCCTTCTTCTCGGCCTTCACAGCCTCCAACAGATCCGCTGGCGGCGACTGCCTATACCCCCTCGGGTTATTCGAAACCCACTTCCACAAATGCTCACACGCATTCTCCAGCGTCAACTCGGTCTTCCACCCCAACTCCGCATTCGCGCGCCTCGGGTCAGCCGTGAGGTCAAGCACGTCACCTGCACGGCGATCTACGACTTCGTAGTTCAGGTCACGGCCTACGACGGTGCTGAAGGCCTTGATCATCTCGAAGACGGTAGAGCCGCGGCCGGAACCGAGGTTCCAGGCGCGGACGCCGGGGTTGGTGGTACGGAGGTGGTTCAAGGCTGCAAGATGGCCTTTGGCGAGGTCGACGACGTGGATGTAGTCGCGGATGCAGGTACCGTCGCGGGAGGCGTAGTCTATGTGTTGTTAGCTATGTCCATCCTTCGTAGTCATGAATGCGCGGGCGCTAGGACTATATTTGCGAGGGGGGGAGTATAGGTGCGTGACGTACCCTTGCCGAAAACGAGGAGCTTCTCGCGCTGGCCTGTTGCTACTTGGCCGAGGATGGGAAGCAGGTTAAATGGGTCGCCGAGGGGGTCCTCGCCCATCAGGCCGCTGGGGTGGGCGCCACCTGGGTTGAAGTAGCGCAGGAGCGCGGCGTTGTACTGCTCATATGGCTGTCCTGCCTTCTTGGCGTTGGCGCGCTGCGCATCTATGTAGTCGGTGATAACAAGCTCGATCATGGACTTGGTGCGGCCGTATGGGTTGGTGGGGCCGATGGGGCAGTTCTCAGGGATGGGGATCATGTTCTTCCATTTTGTGGCGTCGCCGTAGACTGTGGCTGAGGAGGAGAAGACGATGTTCGGGACGGAGTATTTAGCCATGCAGCGCAGGAGGATGATGGTGCCGTTGACGTTTACGCGGTAGTATTCGAGCGGCTTCTCGGAGGATTCGCCGACAGCCTTGGGGGATGTTAGCTTGAGCACTAATTGGGCCGGTCGAGAGGGACTGTTGCCGCAATCGCTATGGACCGTGGGGATGAAGAGGACCTACCTTCAAGGCGGCGAAGTGGATAACACTGTCAATATCGGGATGCGCCTCAAAGACCTTCTCGAGCGCTGACTCATCGGTGACATCCACCTGGTAGAAGATGGGCCGCTTGCCGCACAGCAGCTCGATGCGGTCCAGGCTGACCTTGGACGAATTGTACAAGCTGTCAACAATAATCACATTGTAGCCGTGCTCGAGAAGTGCGAGGGACGTGAAGGATCCGATGTAGCCAGTGCCGCTGTTGTTGAGGATATCGTCAGCACAGCGATTTTTTTGCCCCCATTCAAACCCCACAATCTGCGGTTTGTTTGGGCGGGAGACGAGGAAGGCCTGCTTTACCCAGTGATGAGAACGGTTCCGACGGCCATTGTCAGAGGTCGTCACTGAGAAGACGGGATATTCACAATTGATCTCAGAGGGACAGCTGCGGTTGTAATTGGAGTTGGATAGGAGATCGTGGTGGGTTGAGGAACGAGAAATTGTCCGTGATCGTGGCATGAGGGGTAAGGTGGGGTGGGGTGTTGCAACGTAACAACCCTGACACACGGGAAGGGCCATCGGGGCTGTCATGGCCGTCATCGGAGTTCTATATTCTATATAAGTTACCATCACGGACAAAGGTCGAATATCAAATGGCAGGGTCGAGGCTGGACAAAGGTTAACATAGGCGCACAGAATATCCCCGTGTCTGTCCACCACAACTTGCTGTGAAAATCACCATCTGCCTGAAATGACATCTTGGGTATCAATAATAATCATTACAATTCATCTCACGGTATTTATCTGGTCGTGAGTACCACAAGAGAGCTGTCTCTCGAAATATATATCAAATCTTCAAAAGTGCCAAGTTATGAAGTTATGGGTCGAGTTCTCGGGGAATTGACGTCCGAGATCCGGCGCGGCCCAGATTTGACCCAAAGTACTGTGCACCACAATAAGTATAGTGAGATACTTTCATGCAACGGATCTACCTTATTCCGGGTCGAGTCCGTCGGCGCGTCCAACATCTTTTGTTTATATCGTAGATGCGCTCCGAAGGATAATCCCAAGGTGACCGCGAACGGCATCGGGAACGAGGGAAACAAAGAAAATAGCCAGTCCACCAACCATCGCCATGCTGTAGCTGAGTGCTATAATGATATGTCCTCGATCAATTGACCATCCCCTCATACAAAGCCCAGCGCCCGCCCGCCCTTCCATGGCCATCATCCATTGTGCCTCGTCTTGCGCTCCGCAACCTCCTCGACCTGCAATTCTGCGCCGACACGTCTCGACGATAATTACACTGTAATTACCATTGTGCCCTATTGAGTCCTGTTGCGCCTATTTACTCGGCTTCGCTTGTGGGCGCTAAGCGTCGCATTGTGCTTGTGGTGGTGGCCTTAATTCGCTATTGTCTTCTATTGACGCCAAGCCAGGCACCACTTCTGAATAGCTTCACAATAGTAAGAAGACCCCATTGACCCACTCTGGCTTCTCCAGCCTCGTCCATAAGAACTTCTTCCACCCCGTCACCTTCGTCTTTTTCCCTTTTTCCTTTTCGCATCACCGAAATTTCTGGAACTTGACCCCTCGACTTTTTTCGTACCAAATTCACTTCACAATTCCAGACTTCGGTCGCAAAGCTTTCCGGTTTCCAACCTTTCTCAGTGAGCTCTTTCTGAATTCAAACCTTGAGAACCTTTACTAATTCCTGTTCACAGTACAGACGACTACCAACCCTCACCTTTCTCGACACCGCCACCGATCCTCACCTTCTTCGGCCCCGCCACAACTCTTCAACACCCTCGACACACCCACCGACGTTCTTCTCCTCCGTGGACACGATGTCCACGTACCGCCCATCAACCCGCGCGAGCAGCGCTGCCGCCAGTATAACTGGTGGCCCACGCGCCGCAGCCACGCCGGCGACCCCGACTGTTCCCCGGGGCGGTCGCAGCAAGCGGGGTCCCTCCACCATTGCGTCGGAGTTGGGCCCCCAAGTGATCGCCACCAAGGAGAGTACCTCCTACGGGTCGTCGGCGGCTGTGGTGCCGATGGCACTGGACAGAGTGGAGGAGGTGGATCTTCGTGGGGCGCTGACCGGCATCGTCGCGCCGACGACCGTTGGAAGTGCGTATATTTCCTCTCCACTTCGCTTTCCTTCTTCCCCTTCCTTTCTTTTACTGACTGATATATAGCCCCGGCCGGCCAGAGGGCCACCACGGGTTCCGTTCCTCCGACGGGAGCCTCGACCAGCTTTGGTCAGGAGAGTTCGCTGGCCGGAAACGGCACCTTCACAGGTGCCCCGGTCGTCGCTCCTCCTGGCCTGGCTGCCGGGCGTTCTCGTCGGGGGAAGACGGTCGCTCCTCCCGTGGAGGAGCCGGCGCTGCCGCGTCGAACCCCCACGCCACCTCCTCCGGCTGTTGAGGAGCTTCCTGCCGCCGTTCCGCCCGCCGCGTCCAGGCCGGCACCGATCGCGTTGGCAGCTAGCTCTGCCACCGATCTGGTGGTCCGCGCCCGCGGTTTCGTTGTTTCGGCGTACACCAACGCCACGGTTCGGTTGATCCTGGTTGCGCTCCTGTCGGCCATCATGGCCATGATCTTCCTCGGCACCTCCGAGAGCTCGGCGGGTCGGGCGACCCGGATGTACGCGCAGGGCGCCTCGGCGACCCTCGCGCAGTACATTCCGCACGGGGTCGCCCACCCCCTCAATTACTTCAACGAGGCCGACATGCTGGATGTCCAGCGTCGGTTGCGCCGCGCCGAGCTGAGCATCTCAAAGCTCCAGCTCGACGTCGCCAAGAACGCCGAGCTCACCCGAGCCTTGGAGAAGCGCCTTCCGGATTTCCTCGTGGTCTCAAAGGTCCGCGGCAAGGTCCAGATCCCCGCCGACTTTTGGCGGGCCCTCAAGACCACGATCCTCGCCGACAAGGATGTCAGGCCATTCAAGCCTGGCAAGCCCGAGAACTCTGCGCCCGTCACTGTCACGCCCGATTGGGACGACTTCCTGCGCACCAATGAGGCCCGTCTCAAGGACCTGGTCGCATCCGATGTCCAGCTCGCTCGCGCCGATGTTCTCGCCCATCTCCAGACCGCCCTCGCGTCGACATCCACTGAGTACACCAGCGCACTCTCCAAGGCCACCCAGGCCGTGAAATCCGAACTCTCGGCGCAAATTGCCGAGCTCCCGGCCTCTGTCAGTGCCGCCGACATCGACGCCCACGCCGAGCGTGCCATGCAGCGCGTCTTCCTCTCCTCCAAGATCGAGGCCCTCATCAACGCCAAGCTGGCCGAGTCGTCCACCTCCTCCCTGAGCCGCGTCAACTACTTCTCGCCCTCCACTGGTGCCGTCGTGAATCCCATCCTCACCTCCGCCACCTACAGCCCACGGGGTGCGCTCGCTCCTAGAAATCTCATCACGGGCATCCTCAAGCTGTTCTCGTACCCGCTCCCAAAGATTGGGACTCCCGTTGAGGCGCTCACGAAGTGGGATGAACATGGCGACTGCTGGTGCGGCGCTCCCGACGACTCCGGTGTCCAACTCGGTGTTCTCACCCCACACAAGTTCTCACCTGAAGAATTCGTCATCGAACATGTTTTGCGCTCTGCGACTCTCAACCCGGGTGCGACTCCACGCCACTTCGAGCTCTTCGCGCACATTCCGCTCAAGCACCAAGATTACATTGCTGAGGTTTCTGCTGGCTTGTTTCCACATGCGCCTGAAGAGAAAGACCTCAACTACAGCTGGGTCCGCATCGGTCGCGGCACTTACGATACCGGTGGTGAGACTGTGCAAGTCTTCCCCGTCCAGTTGGAGCTCAGCCGATATGGTCTCTCATCCAAAGAGTTCGTCGTTCGTTTCCGCGATAACTGGGGCACTAAGGATGAAGAAGATGTCGGACCTACGTGCATTTACCGCGTCAGACTTCACGGATTCATGGAACAATTCTAGTTCTTTACGGTGTCACTTGTTCTCATAAGCTCTCACTTGTTCTCATGGATGTCACTTGTTCTCATGGGCTCTTTACCGGTGTTAGTTATTCATGGGGGTGTTTATACGGCTGCATTGGTGGTGTTTTGCGGCATCAAGTTTATACGGTGTTTATTCGATGGTCTTTCTGGGTGGTATTCTGGAGGAGTCTGGTGTTTTATCTGTGCTGGATGATGGATGGATGGGATGGTGCAATGGAATACTATACCAGAAGAAGTTTTCTCGCGCTGATTAATTCGCGCTTTATATCTGTTGACCGATTGTTTTTTCTGAAATTTTTACAAAGGTTGTTTGACTCCACGAGGAGATCCACAACACAACATGGGGAGGAAATACCAGTGTGGGAGAGAGCGTACATACAGCAGTGCAGTTGACATAATGAAAATCAACGCAATCAATCTTATAAATGAATGTTCCCTCCGTGATTCTTACAAACTCCATTCATCCAAACCCTTTGAGCCTCCCACTTCTCTTCCCATTCATAGTTCCCCTGATTTGTCGTTCTTTCCCTCCTGACCATGTTCTTTCCCTCCTGAGTTTCTGGCCATCGTTCTTGCCCTCCTGAGTCCTGACCATCGTTCTTTCCCTCCTGACTTCTTAACCGCCGTTCTTGCCGCTCTGAGTTCTTGAGCATTGTTCTTTACAAGGGGAAAGAACAATGCTACGCTCAAGAACTCAGAGCGGCATGAACGGCGGTTAAGAAGTAAGGAGGGAAAGAACTTGCCCTCGTGGGTTCCTGACGATTGTTCTTGCCATTCGGAGTTTTTGACATTCTTGACCATCCTTGACAGTTCTTGACAGACCTTGACGGTTCTTGACGGTTCTTAACGGTTCTTGACTATCATTCTTGCCCCCAGTCACTCACTCTCACATAGCAAAACACCTAACACGTAAACCCTCGCCCTCGGTCCATCTCGAAAAATCCCAAAATTTTAATCATAAAACAGTGAATCATGGCATTTTTTTTATTTTTATTAACAAAGACAATAAAAAAGAGGCATCCAATACAAACATAAAACATTAAAATTTAAACAAAAAAAAAAAAAAACACACAAGAAAGGACAAAGACAATAAAAAAAAGAAGCAGTGTCGTAAAACCTCGTACACATGCACACATTCATCCCTCCTTTTCGCGTCGCAAGCTCCCATTCCCAATATCTCCCACTTCGCAATTCATTACAGTAAACAGATTCTCCGCCACCCACCACCCCTCCATGCCATGCCAGTCGCCCAAGCCAGACCACCTACTGTTCGAGCCATTTCAGATCCAAGAGCCAGAACCAGAGCCAACAAAGGAAATATGTCCCAAAGACGCCCATCTCGCTCTGATCGTGCTATCATACATACACATAATCTCCCCCGATGCAACACCCATATTTCATTAAAAAAAAATAAGCCCGCCTCCCATTTTTTTTTCCCTCTCAATCAGTCAATCAATCAACCGCCACCGTCCCCAACCCCAATAGGGGAACCCAGCAATTTTTACCTCCCTTCAGGTCCTTCAATCAACCCTCCAATATCAACCCTACTACTCCTCCGCCGTCCCCCTCCATGCGGCATACCGCTCGGCCCCGAGCTCTCACCCTCTCTCATTCGTATGGGCGGGAGAATGAGCGCACGCTGTTCAGAGCTGCGTGATGAAGGGGGTGGGACGTATTGTCCTTGTCCTTGTCCTTGTCTTTGTGCCTGGCCCTGGCTCTGAGCTTGACCTTGGCTCTGTGACGACTGCATCGGCGCAAACCCTTGTTGACTTCGTCCTAGTGTCTGCTGTCCCTGTACTTGTCCCACCACTTGTCCCTGGCCACCTCCATACGCTGTTCTCACAGGCTGGTACCCCATCTGCGAATGTCCCTGCTGCGGTCCCAACCCCTGTTGCTGTCCACCAAACATAGGGTCACCCCTATACCCGGCGCCACCACCACTCCCACCACCCATGTGCATCTGTGTATGCATCGGCGTCAGTGTCTGCACCTGCACAGCCCCCAACAACCTCAACACCACATAAAATATGCCCTCTCTCCTCCCCAACCCAACACCCACCTCAAACGCCCTGACCTCCCCACCAGCCCCTTGAAACCCTAACACCTCCCTCGCTTCAACAGGCACGCGCGCCACATCCTCCTCTGTCATCCCAACAGCAGCAATAACGCGTGACTCCTCGCCTGAGCCAAATATAGGGGGCAGATAGTGCGGTTCCCTTGTCTGGCGGAGGTCATCGAAGATGTGCTGGAGGCGCGCTGCTGAGGAGCGCGAGGCTGGGGCAAGGGTGTCATGTAAGGAGCGCGCGACTGGGGAGGGTATTCCGGTTGCGTGAGAAAAGGCGGGGGAGGCGCGAGCAATGCGGAGGGATGGCGTGAGGTAGAGTACTGGGGGGTCATGAGGGCGGGAGGTGGCGGGTGGGGGAAAGAGGTTTGCGTCGGAGGGGGAGGCGTGGTCAAGATAGCGAGGGAGATGGGGAGTTGCTTGAGATTTGAGGACTCGGTAGGAGGAAGAGGATCTGGTGTGGGGTTCCGAGGGGGGTGAGTTGGTGGGGTAGTGAGGAGCAGGACGGCGGTGGAGGGGGTCGGGCTGTGGGTGAACGGGTTGATCAAGGCGGGTGTTGTGGTCATCGCGGAGTCGGGGGCGGCCTCGCTTTTTGTGTACCATATCTATACAGGCATCCTCTTTGTTGTTACTGTGGCAGCGTGAACATGGCCGTTGTGCTGGATTATTGTTAGCTTCAGAACCAACAGTTGTTGACTTCCCCGCAAGCACAATGCGATTTTGAAAATCAAATCTATAAATTCAATCTATAAAGCAAAGATCCTTCAGATAGTTCAAATGAATTTCCATTTGAATAGTCAATCCATATCCTGATCTGGGTCCCGCCATGAAGCATCATCCCTACTCAGGGTCCAATGTGATTCCAAGACATAATCAAGCCACACTGCATTCAGCACCTGCCTACGCCACGTCTCAGATATATCACCTCCACCGCAGCAACTAATCGAACAGCCCCAAGAAAACCTGGTCGCTGGACGATTTATTGCGATCTCAAATGGAATAAAAGCCCGCATGCACTAGCAATGCTTAACAGAGGGCACTATACATATCGTGAATCAAGGGTCCCGCTGGCCCCTCTGACGTCGTTCCTGTCAAGCATTGGCGGCTTTTAGCGGCGCATTGCTAGCGGCCGGGGACGTGTCGGCCCGTGGGCCCGCCAGCGCCGCAGCTAAATATGGGAAACGATGTCAAAGCAGAAAGTGGCTGGAACTCGCAACCCGAGAGCCAGAAGAAAAGAACAATCGATATTCCCCAAAGGAGAGCGCCTCGCGAGCAAATGCTCCTCACCCGCCGGAGCAAGCATGCACTTGCTGCACGATCCATTCAGCCGGCCGCAGGCAGAATGCGAACATCCCTAATCTCACACGCGCTTGCTTGTGGACCTGAGCGCGACTAATGGACCGTAGATGACAGCGCACCAACGTTTGAGGCTGGCCATGGAAGCCCTCATGGAACACGTAGAATGGCGATCGGCGTCTGCGTAATTTCGAAGTTCATTTAGACATACCGCTGCCACGACGCCTCATTGAGGAATAATATAAAGATGTACGTACCATCGCATCTGGGTATCGGTTAGCTCCAATTCCCAACGTCTCGTCGTCGCAATGCTCGAGGGGGGTTCGTTCTCACCTGAGATGCGCTCGCTTGCACGGTACGCATGCAGAAGCTACATGGCCTTTCGTCTTCCTCGTCTTCGCAGCCGAGGCGGGCTCTGGTCGCTCGGGCATCTGGAAGGGGTAATTCGCAGGCCGTGGTTGGTCGAAGCCGTATGGAGGAAGAGGTGGCGCTGGAAGCTGTGCCGAGGGCTGCGGTGGGTATTGATATGGCGATTGTTCAGTCGGCATCCCCCCTCCCGGCTGATATGGTGAATATTGCATAGCAATGCTCGGGTTGTGAGAAGTAGCCGAAGGCGGCTCCCTTGCGCCGTCGCGGGCCTCGGTCTGAGGTAGCAGCTGCTGCGCATGCGTTCGAGTCTGCGGTGGCTGCTGGCCGAGCCCGCCGCGGCCGCGGCCACGGCCATCGAAGCCATTGTCATGTTGTGGGGGCTTCAGCGGCGAGCCTGACATGGGCGGTGACGGGTATGCCCGGCTGCGAGCAGATTTAGACAGCTCTCTCACCCAATTCGGGTCGAGAGGGGAGCTGGCCAGATGGAGGTTGCTAAGGAGCTCGGCGGGAGGTATGGGTGAGGAGCTGGAGTGAAGCGCCGACGCTATCATCGACTTGACGGTTGGGAGGTTGTGTGCGATGTGGCAAGGTCATCTGCGCCACTCCTCCGTGCGGTGAGTGGGATGGTTGGCGCGGTAGATGGTGAGAGGCGCCAGAATGCGTCCGAACCTCATATCATAGATAGCATTAGAGAGGAGTAGAAACTTTGGACGAGAGAAAAAATGGAAAGGCCCGGCTGCAACAAAGGGAACCGAAGGAACAATATTGTATGACTGTGGCAGGCGCTCGGATGAATTTTGTAGGCCCGGTCGGAAGCTTTGTTGTCCAAGATATATAGTCGAGTGACGGAGCGGGACGTTAATAGCAACGAGTGATAAGTCGACGTAGCGAAGTCTCTCGGGCACGTATCTATAAGATCAAGCAAGGTTATGCGACGGAGGCTCTCTCACTCTGCATAGCATCGCATGGGGGTTCGCAGAGCAGTTCCTTTCCCTTACAGGGTAGGTCTTACAATAGCGGTAGTGGAGTGAGCGCGAGGGAAGGACAGGTAGGAGTGAGCGCAGTGAGAATTGCGAGAAGGCAGGGGCGAGGCTAGTAAGAGTTCCGTTTTGGGAGAAGGAGCGACGAACGATGCTTGGCGAGCTGCAGCAGAAGATGGCACAGTAGAAGCAGGCCTGTCGTAAGGCGACACGGCGGATTGGGAGGGAGTAGTTTCGATTTGTGGGGAGTAGTAATGGGCAGTATGTAGTTAAAAAGTGGTCAGGGCCACTTTTTAACTGGATAATGATAGGACGGGCCGAGGAAGAGGTGGCATAGTGGACGAGCAGGAAGAGAAGGAGGGACGAGGCGGAGGAGGTTGAGAACGAGGATGAGGATGTGGATGAGTAGGTAAGAATAGAAAATAAGGATTGAGAGACGGGCGAGGCGCAAGGAGCAGGGCAATAGGGCTTCTGAACACTCTAGGGATTGGGAAGAATAAGAATGAAAAAGTGGATATGTGAGCGTTGGGCGCCGCTCATCTGAGGTGACGAGGGGGCAATCGAATGCGCCGCAAGTCTAGGCTCGCAGTAGGTATAGACAAGTGATTGTTTGGGGAATTGTAGCCTTCTATGGAAGATCGACGGCGGCGAATAAGTACTGGACAGAGTAGCAGGACAGGGGCGGCGGCTAATCGACAATCTCATATCTCATATCCGTTGGTAAGACGGGGAGGGTGGAGAGAGTGGAGAGTGGAGAGAGTGGAGAAGGGGGGTAGGGGGTAGGCGGGTAGGGGGGTAGGGAGGTAGGGAGGTAGGGAAGGGAGGTAGGGGGGTAGGGGGGTAGGGGGGTAGGTATGGAGAAGGGGGTAGGTGTGGTAGGATGCAACTGCTCTAGGATGCGCTCTAGGATGCGCTGAGCCTGCACGCACGTACAGGGCACGCACGTACAGGGCACAGCACATACAGCACACAGCACATACAGCACGAGGCCTGATACAGCACGAGGCCTGATATAACCCCCAGGCAATACAGACCGTTAGAGCAGGTAGCACTGCAGAGCACTGCAGAGCACTGCAGAGCACTGCAGATATAAGACGTACGTGCAATGTCCGCGAGGTATCATACTCGAGCAGTAGTAGATGCTGTATGAAGAGCATCTGCTGTATCTTAACCTTGTATGCGCTGTACAGTCCGGAAGCCGTATGTATGCCCGTTATGCTGTGTGTCTATGGTGATGCTTGTATACCGTGTCTTGTCCTCCTCTTCTGCGCAAATAAATATCCTGCAAAGTACGTGTCAGCTCCTAAGCCTGCCCTAGTTGGTCCGTCTGTCTCCCTGCTTGCCTGTGTCCTCTGTCTCTGTTGCTGTCCACGCTGGCCCATGTTTTGCAGGCTTCGGATGATTGTTGCCAGAAAAAGGAGACAGATTAGAGCAAGGGCAGGGAGATTGATTTAGGGCAGGATATTTTCTGTATTTGCCTCTCTTTTCATTCGCTGTAGCTATAGTATACATATCCACTTGCCTAATTTGATACAGCGTACTACTGTATGTGTACTATCTCCGACATACGTCCCGCATATCAAGATCGATATATCTCCCCTAAGCCGTCCAAGAGAGAGCGCCATGCATCCCTACCCTTCTTTCGGGTCCCGCCACGGTCCCGCCAACACGAACGGGCAGGCGTCCCACAGCGGTCCGCCAGTTCAGCCAATCCTCTCGCCGCGATTTCTTTTTTTTCCCTTCCCTCCCTCAGAAAACGCATAATAAGTCTCACAAACGCATAACAAAACCCCACAGAAGCTCACAAAACGCATAATCCCCCATCTCACCTTCATCGCCGTCGGAGATTTCGCCCCACCATCCCCGCAGTTTGGTCGCCGAGTCCCCCCTCGGGCGCCCAATCGGCCCCAGATCCGAGCAGCGCATGACAGCGAACGTAGGGAAACCGAGATCGGGAAAAAGGAGAGAAAAAAAAAAAGGGAGAACAAGAAACCGCCCAGCCCACCTCCCGCACCTTGGCGTCCAACAACAGCGACGCCTTTTCCTGCTTTACCATCCTCCTAGCGCACCATCACATGGCGAAGATGGAAGTTCGGTAAAGTCGGGATGCCAGCTCGGCCACAGCCACCCCAGCGGGGCATCCTTGCCGATGCGAAATGGGGCTCGGGCGCGCGATCGTACCTGAGATTTATGGTATACGGCGGGTGTCGGTGCAGGGCTATCGCTGCGCGGTGGCTCTGTGTACGTGGTGCCTCGGTTTAGTCTGTGTTGGTGAGTCGGTTCGACAAAGCTGGTCTTTTCTACGCTGCATCTGTGGTGAAGCTTCATGTTGGGCCTTCATGTTGGGCCAGTGTGAGTTATGGCATAGACGGTGGTGGGCGCGTGCTTCGGAGGCGGGTCGGTTAATGCGTGGGAACGGTTCTTTATTTCCCGGCGCGATGAACTGCTACGATGTGTTTTGTGTGGATCGGCGAGGTTCCTGCTATTGTTTTTGTTTTTGTTTTTGTTCATGTTCATGTCCCGTTCATTGTTACATCCACTCCCTGTTTCCCATAACTCCCATCGAAACCCAACATGCATTTCTCAGCCAACTCAGCCCCAAACAGCCAAACACGCACAGGCCTCCCATCTCCATCCCAAGTTCCTGCGATCAAGCACATATAGGGCAAACCCCGACGACGTTGTCGGCGGGCCGAGCGCCCATGCCAGATGGGTGTCAGAGCACATGTCTGTCCGCGAGATGTTGGGACGGATGCCACTCGAGATAGCCGTAACAACATAGAGTAGTTAGTTCTGTGCCATATTACGTATGTTCTGAGGACCAGATGTTTCCACGCTCAAGGCCATCACAAGGCCGAGGAATGGGCACTGTAACATGGTCTCACGATTTGAACCAGCAAAGTATCTCGTACAATTACTTCACTGGAGATCCAGAAAAACACTATATACCCTCTCGGACCACCACATGTCGCCATCATAGCTTCATTGTCATATTGGAGGCTTCGCATTCGAATCAGCTACAAAGGCATCCTGACCAACTTTTGCCTCGCATTCCGCATCTTTCGTAGCAATATCCCTAAAAATGATTTAGGCCCCGCCCATAATCTGGGCTCTGGCAAGAAGCCAAAAGCTTAAGCTCCCTAGTGGGCTAATTTAATATCAACCGCCAGATCCTACTAGAACATAAAATCATAAAATGAGCGATCCCAACATATTCCCCGCCATCTAACAATGGTGTTCGTCTACCAGACAATGTTTATTTGGAGACTTACCTCACATTCATCAAGGCCGAGTTCTTCATCAAGCCAATGCTTAGCCGTCATTACAGTGAAATGAGTTGATCCCGATGTTTTGGCATTTAACCTCCCTTCCAAACCCCTCATAACAGCCATGTGCATGCTCTGAAAGCTGGCAATCTCCGCTACGGATAATGAATGGGTGTGCCTGATCAAAGACAAAGGCCCCATTATATCCCTCAAGGGAAGTTCCACCGTGGAGCTGGTGCATGTATCTCACACCGGCAGGAGGCTCGGTTCCCATGTCAATGCATGGTGATTGGCCACTCCCTTCATAAATCCAGTATGACCAATCCAAGCCGGGTGCGTCGTTGCAAGGCTTTGAGCTATAGAATGTGACTGCTCAACCCATAGTACCGGCGAGAAGATCAATTGCAGCTGCGATTGTGCTGAGCTTTAACAAGTTGAACATGATGAAGGTCGTGATAAGTGACTGGTGAGAGTGTGCAAGACCTTACAATGGAAGAGGGGAGGTTCACGCTTGTATATATAGAGCTTGGTTTTTCAATTATATGGGCGCTGATACATAATGCTGACATGTGGCAGGACATTGATCATACGGTTCCCTGCATAACGAACTTATAGGCTCTTATAGGTTGGCTATGCACGTTGGGCAGAATCCTCAATCCTCCATCCTGAATCTCCATTCTCCATTTCTCTAGGTGACTTTTGGCAGAAAGGGATCTCATCCTATATATCGCCGCACAGTCTTCAAATGGTAACACTACCATTATCCAAAAAGAATCCTCCTCAGCTCAACAAAAGTAAATCCAACCCCTTCCTCCATTCTACCCCTCCCCCATTTCCACCATGATTTGGAATCCCACCCCCCATCACCTTTCCCTCCCCCTCAACAAACGCAACCACCCGCACCGCAGTCAACCGCACGAACAGGCGGGGTAATCTCCACGATTCCAAATCGCCTCTCCTGGATCGACGGTGGGGTGTGCCGTCATCGTCGCGCCCCAGGTCAGGCAAAGGGGCACTAACTACGCAGGCAAGGACGCGCGTGGGACACTCGCGGTGTGGTGGCCGTGTCTCGCTAATTGTCCGGTGGGAGGGCGGGGAGGTGGTGGTGTGACGACGGTGGGGCTGGGCGGGTTGTGATGAGATGGGATGGGGAGCGGGGCACGTGGATGGTGGATGGATTGGGGAGAGGGTAGATTATATGTGCTACGTGTATTTACAATATAGTATCAACGCTATGGACCAACCCGTCTTCGCTAGATCTAATCCAAATCGTGGTGCTTACTCCAAGGCGACAGGATGGTAATGGGATTTCCAAACATCTAGATCCTCGCCTCGACGTGCGCAAACTCCGCAAGGCCGCGCCATTCGGTCTCCGGCCAGATGAGACGAATAGTCTCCCAAATATGCCTAGTCAATCACGTTAGCACAACCTGATCCTATGTCCAAAGACGACAAAAAACTTACCTAACATGCACAATCTCTAGTCCTTGCTTCACCTCGTCCGGTAGGTCCCTCGCATCCTTCCTGTTCCCCTCCGGCAGTATCACTTTCTTGACACCCGCCCGGAGCGCGCCGATCAGCTTCTCCTTGATCCCGCCGACAGGGTGCACACGCCCCCTGAGTGACAGCTCTCCCGTCATCGCCACGCTCGGCGGCACCGCGCGATCCGAGAACAAGCTCACCAACGCCACCGCATGAGCCATGCCTGCGCTGGGGCCATCCTTAGGCACCGCACCACCAGGACAGTGGACGTGGATGCTACGGGACTTCATGATATTCTCTCCCGGTTGGGCGAGCCCGAGGTCCGCAGCATGTGCCTTCACCCACGACAGCGCGACCTCGACAGACTCCTTGAGCACGGCGCCGAGGGTACCGGTGAGCTGGACCGAGCCAGAGCCAGGCATGTCGGCGACCTCGATAAAAAGGATGGAGCCGTTGCCGCCGGAGGCGTAGGCGACGAGACCGGTGACGATTCCGGGGCGAGCGAATGTCTCGGCGAGTTCCTCGTCGAATTTCTCGGTGCCGAGGATCTCTTCGATTTCTGCGAGGGTGAGGACGGGTTCGTAGGATGTGAGGGCCGAGGAGTCGAGGGCGTCGGAGTATGCGACGGCTTTTGCGCGGCAGACGGCGCCGAGCTCGCGCTCGAGGTTGCGGACGCCGGCTTCGCGGGTGTAGGACTCGATGATCTTGCTGGTGACTTCGTCGGGGAAGATTACGTTGGTGAGATCAAGCCCGTTGGTGCGGATTTGTTTAGGGATGAGGTGCTGAGAGGCAATGTGACGCTTCTCCAGAGTGGTGTAGCCAGGCAGCTGGATGGTCTCCATACGGTCCAGGAGGGGAGCAGGGATGGTGGAGAGGTCGTTCGCGGTGGCGATGAAGAGGACTTTGGAAAGGTCGATGGGGATGTTTACGTAGTGGTCAGTGAAGGAGTGGTTCTGCTCTGGGTCGAGGACCTCGAGCATGGCAGCGCTGGGATCGCCGTGGAAGTTGGACGTGCCGACTTTGTCGATCTCGTCGAGGAGGATGACCGGGTTCGCAACACCCACTTTCTTCAAGCCGCTAACGATCAGCCCGGGCATCGATGCGACATATGTGCGCCTGTGTCCGCGGATCTCAGCTTCATCTCTAACGCCACCGAGCGAAATGCGATGGAATTTCCTTCCGAGCGCAGTTGCAATTGACTTGGCGAGCGAGGTTTTGCCGACACCTGGCGGGCCAGCGAGAAGTAGGATGGGTGATTTGTCGATCATCCTCTTGCTCTTCAGGATCTGAATTTTTGCGCTGTCAACAGCTGGAGCGTCCTTCTTTGGCTCGGCATCGGCAGCATCATCTGGCTTCTCAGTCGATTTTGCCAGTTCGGTGGCCTCGGCCTCAGCAGTCTTGATCTGCGCTTCTACGCCATCATTGATTGATTGCTTGAGCCTTAGAACTGCAAGGTATTCAAGCAGGCGCTTCTTCACTTTATCGAGTCCATAATGGTCATCGTCCAGCTGCTTCCGCGCTCGCTTCAGTGTGTCAGCACCTAGCTTATCCTCCGTCACCACAGACCAAGGGATTTCAGCCAGGTTCTCGAGGTAGGTCCTTATGACATTATACTCTGCCTGTTGCTGTGGCATTTTCTTTAGCCTCTTCAATTCTCGGCCGGCAACCTTTGCGGCCTCCGGTGTAAGACGTGCCGCCTCGATTTTCTGCTCTAGCTCGTCGACCTCGTTCGGCTCTTGGTCGTCCTGTGGCGGGCCTTGCCCTGACCCCGGAATTCCTGGCATAGGAGCGATCCGGTTCAGTCGTGGCAGGTACTTCTGTTTGTTTAGAAGATCGATTTCTCCGTTCATAGGTACAGTGGACGGGGTCATTGACGTAATTTTGATGTTTCCCTTAATAGCCGCAACCTGCTTGTTCAGCAGCTCTATGGCCCTCTCAAGACGTGTCCTAACGTCAATCGCGGCTAAAATCTGTAACTTCTCCTCAAGAGTTGCCTCCACGAGATTCGAGACAAAGTCTGCAAGTGACCCAGCTTCTGATATATCCTTCTTCGCAATAAACGTTTCTATCCGTCGTGCTAGCATAGGCGTGAGGCTTGATTGCCCTGATAGTCGCGGAAGGAGAGATGTGAGTCGCAGCAGTGCTAATAGTTCTCTTGAAAGGGTTTTCAATGTTCCGAACATGGCTTGAACTTCCGTATCCTTTGGCGATGGCGCTGGAAACAATTAGCACTACATCACCACGGACAGAGGTTCCTCATAATTGTGCACTTACCGACATCAGTCTCATACTGAACTTCTGCCTCAAAAAACGGCCGTTCCTGGGTAACCCTGAGCACCCTCACCCTGCTCACGCCTTCTACAATCAAGGAAAACTCCCCTGTTCCCCTTCCCTCGACACCCGAGATCTTCGCTGCGGTGCCCCAGGTAAATAGATCATCCTTCCCCGCATTTGCTGGATCCGGAATTTTGTATTTGCTCGCTTTGCCATCCTTATCCTTCAATTCATTCTCCGTGAGCAGCTTCTGGCCGTTGCTGCTGAGCAGTGGCGAGTTCATCGGTACGCAGATGACGTGTGCATTATGGTAGCGCTGCGAGGCCGGTTTCCCCGAAGCCCGTGTATAGACTTGCGACAGCAAAGCTGGTATATCGGGTCGAGATGCGGCGAATGGAATCCGGAGGCCGTTGCCAGGGAGTAGGACGGTGTCGGCTGCGAGGGGGATTACTGGCACCTTCTGGGCTCTCGCTGGAGCCATGACTGGAGTTGGTGGCAATAGAGACGGCGGTTCGTATAGTTGAGGTATTAGATGCAATTCGAAATTAAAGCGTATGTGTTATAGATATGGGCAAATTCGTAGTGTTCCAAGACGTTCTATCGTTCTGACGTGTGTTTAGTGAGCAGCGAGACCAGGACGTCGCCGAGCCGCGATGTACCTCGGCACATGCCATGCCAGTTTAGCAGCGTCTTGGGACCATCACGCCAGATTTAACTACAAGGGTAACTAACACACGACCACCACATCCACACATGTGCCTCCGTCCAAAACCAAAAGCATATATGCAACTGGGCACATACGATTGCGGGGTACACGGATATACATCACATCACGTCTTGAGAAATTAAACAGCTCTACGGAGTAATAGTCTCTGAGTTACTGAGAGTCTTTATTTTATGAATAGTTGCCTGTAATGGGAGACAGCCAGACATGACATGATATCGCCACCCAGCTGGTAAAGATGAATGATATTGTCACCTAACATATCCCCGAAATGCATATTATCCCATACGCCAGCTCAGAATAGCGCCGAATCTGCCTCTCAACTCCTGTTGAAACCGCCCCGTAATGAAGTACATGAACCCAAAATTACCCGAGAACCTTCATCTTCTTCTTCTTCTTCTTCCCGTCCGATGAGCTCTTCTTGCCCTGTTGGAAGTCCCTCCAACTCCCAATGCGCTGTTCCCTCGTCTTTTCCCAGTCCTGCTCATGTTCCCTCTTCCGTTTCCGTGCCTCAAGCTCCTCCTCTTCCTTTTTCTGCTCGCGGCCCTCCTCCTGCATCTGCGCCTTCACCTGCCGCCGTCTCCTATGCTCGTTGTCTATCAACACCATCTTCGACTTTTCGCGCCATGCCTTTGCGAATTCGTCGGATTTAACTTCCTCGGAATCCATTGTAAGCTCCCTCTCGCGCATAAGCAGCATTCTCGCATCGGCAATGGCCTCATCCAGGCGCTCCCTGTGCTTCTCATCCGTCAATTCCGTCTGTGCTTTCTTCAGGCGATCAAAGGCATCGGGCGCTTGTGGATTCCGGGTTTTATCCGGATGGATTAGCAGCGATTTTGTTCTGTAGACTTTCTTGATGTCGGAATCGGGTACACCTGGTTGGAGGTCGAGCACGGCGTAGGCATCGAGACGAAAGGCGCGCAGGATACGATCGATTTCGGCGTCCTGAGTAGAATAGTTAATAAATATCACAGCAGAATCACTACAAATAGGTTGACTCACCTTGATGAACTCCTTCTGCTCCGCTTCTAACGCATCGAAAGCAGCTTCATCGTCTTCGATTTTCTCTACTTTGGGCGCCGTTTCACTCTTTCCAGACGACGCCGACTTCTCCTTTGCCCAGCCTTCTTCTGCCATGACTGTAAAGACAGTGCCAAATTAAGACCCCTCGTGGAATTGCGTTTTGTTTAAGTGCACCGTTAGGATTGTGGTTGCCATCCGTGGAGTCAGGCTGTCGTCGATAAGATTGGGTAGACGCAAGGCTGAGGCGATCCTTCAAAATGCGCTTGCTTGCCACTGCCATGACTGATCCAGTACCCCACTCACACTAGCAGACCACTTTACACGCTCGACGCGTCCACCCCGACGGGGAACAAAACACATCGAAGACTTTACGCGTCAAAACACCCAAAACGCAACGATGGGTAAAGCAAACAGAGATTGTATAATTGTTGGGTTTATTTTACTAATTTATCTATATAGCAACCTCGTACGGCTACGGCGGCTCCTACACCACAACCTCATATGGCGCTCAAGGAGGGGCAGAAGGCGGCGGGTTTATGGGCGGTGGCTCCCAGGCTGGAAGCCAGGATACCCCAGGAGGATCAAAGGTGCGAACAAACGTCGAACTTTAGCAGGAACAAAGTCCTCTTACCAAAAGTGCCTACTAACGATCCCTCAGACATACGGCAAAGACACTCTCCGACCTGTAACGATCAAACAAATAATCGACGCCCAACAGCCCCACCCCGACGCAGAATTCAAAGTCGATGGCCACGAAATGACCCAGATCACCTTCGTCGGCCAAGTACGCGCGATCTCCGTGCAAGCCACAAACCAGACCTTCAAACTCGATGACGGCACAGGCCTCATCGAAGTCAAGGTCTGGCTGGACGTTGACGCCGGACCCTCGCCCATCATCTCCTCCATTAAGGAAAACACGTACGTGCGCGTCCTCGGCCGCCTGAAGGCTTTCAACAACAAGAAGCACGTCGCAGCACACGTCGTCCGCCCCGTTACGGACTTCAACGAGATTAACGCCCACCTTCTCGAGGCGACGTACGTACACTTGTACTTCTCACGCGGACCGCCCGAGCCGTTGCAGGCCGGTGGTGGAGCGGATGGCGGAGCTGGCGGTGGGTTGTTTGTCGACCAAGGGGATGGAGCTGGCCGTGCGGCGCCGGCGGCGCCTGGAGGCAGGCCGTTGCCGCAGTTGAGCGCTGTTGCAAAGAAGGTGTTTAACCTGCTCAGCACGGCACCACAGAATAACGAGGGCCTGAACGTGCAGTATATCAGCGCGAACCTGGGATTGCCTATGAACGAGGTGTTCAAGGCTGGAGATGAGCTGCTGGGGTTGAACATTATTTACCCAACTATGGATGACGAGACGTGGATGGTTATGGAGTATTAGATGGAAGTATTATGTGGCAATGGAAAGGCAAGACTCATGGCTATGTTTTGGGCGGTGGGGAAATGGCTAATGACGTTTCTGGATGATGAAATACTGTTAAGTGTGTCGTGTGCAAATATCACCGTTACCTTCTTATGAATGAGCGGCGTGTATCTAGGTTGCACCAAGTATGAGCAAAATGCAACGAGCGGAGCTCGACGAGCAAAATCAAATACGAATCCCCAAAAACACAAACTTCTCAGTCTCATCCAAGGCCACACATCCATTCTAGGCCTAATTTCTTTTCTTCTTTCTGCCAATGTTGAGTCATTACACAATCTGGTTACTCATTCTGGCCACACTATACCCTTTTGCAAGGTACTTCAGTGTCATCATGTCCCCCAACTAAACAACAAGCTCCACAATCTTGACGCTGCATTTCTGCTTCGGCGGTGGCTGTGAGACTCCAGCATTAGTCTTGGGCTCTCGGACCATGATACTCAGCGAAACTGGTTTCTCATCCCGCTGCAGGTGAACTTCTTTGATGTATTGGAAGCCGAATTTCTCGTAGTACGGCACATTAACTGCTGCAGTGCTTTCCAAGTACGTCGGTGCGCCCTCAGCGTCCGCCTATAAGAGGTCAGTTCCAGGTAGTGTGACTAAAACTGGGCAACTACGAGAAGGGGGTTATCGTACCATTGCCAAGCCGTGCTCGATCAACTTTCTAGCATAGCCCTTTTTGCGCGCAGAAGGTTTGGTGCCTATGTAGTCAAGGTAGTAGCTCTTACCGTCCCGCTCTCCCAGCACTCTCTGCTTCGTATTATGGAGGAGAGGGAGGAATTCCGAGTAGAAACGGGCTTTTCCCTCACAAGAAAGCGAGAAGAAGAGACGCCACGTACCGCTGCGGAGGATGGTCCACCAATCGTCTATGCCCTTTCCGGGAGGAAGCCTGTGGAACATCAGTCAGGTGCAAGTAGCCGGCGAAAGTTGGGTAGTGTACCAGAGAGCCACAGCATCATAGTTCGGACCGATTGTGGTGACGAAACCTCTGTGGCAATGAGCTGCGACCATGTAGCGCAGGATATCAGAATGGAGCTTCCACTTTCTCTCCTCAGAGTATTCCTTCGTGTCGTCGGCGTCAACGAAGTAGCGGCATAAAGTATCGACTACAAATGCTTTGGCAAGACATTCTGCGGCGCCGAGATACTCAGATATGCCAATAAACCGGACTGTTTCATTATCCGGCGAAGGGCTACGTTTCTGCTCAGTTATCGTGGAACTAGCTTTACTGCTCGTCATTTTCAAAAGGTTTGACAAATTGATGTTGCGATTCTATAGAGCCATGTTAATGATGGTGGGAGAGAATACCTTCAGGTTAAATATTTACTAATGGGTTTCTCTGTTTCCCGAGTTCCTTCTCCTGTATGGGGTTTAGAGAGTTGCGATCTCGATATCGATTCGTATCGAGAGGGAAATCGCAAGCAATTGAGGCTCTGGCGTATATCAACCGACATCAATCTTAAGATTCTGATAAGTCTTGGAGTCTGTTATTTGTAGGGCGTTATGAAGGCCTTGATGGACCGCCGCGGAGAGTGATGTGTTTGAGGTAAGGTGATAAATTGTATTCTGAACTAAGTGTAAACTCCCAGCCAGTTTCAGCTCACACTCTGCGATTTAATCTCAGACGAAGACTGTAATAAAGATGTATATTATCAAAATATTTGGCTCTGATAAACGTTCTGATCAATTTTTTTTTATTGATTGCCGGGTGAATAGTGATAGATGTTGGAAAAGTGTGGTCGTCGGCTTTATATGTATTCCTATCTGTATGTGTATGCATCAACAAGGAAGCAGCTAAACCATGGCAAAGAGATCAAATGAGGTGGTCACTCAAGAAGAGGGGCCATGAGACAGAGAGCGATGAGGCTGACGTGGGGTTTGATTGCTTTTGAAGCAGTGATAATTGCGAGCCGGGCCAAGCGGCGATTTATCACCATGTACTACAAAACTGACTATAGCAGAGGCTGATACGCTGTATCGCAGCACATACTTGCATATGCATCCCAATGAAAGAAATACAGCGAAACTGAATACTCGGAATACGCCGGAATCCAGTATAGGCCGTTGTACTCTAGTGAGATACAGGACGGGTTGTAGCCACACCTTGAGCACTTGCGTTCATTCTAACCACTCAAACTGACGCTATTATGCTATTCAGCTATTTTGTGTGATGTGGGAAAAGCAAGTGGACAGTTTGAGCGACGCATATGGCTAACACCCCCAGGACGCAGCTGGAAAAACGGCTCCTAACGGAAGGTCTGATGACAGCACGAAATCATACTTACTGACTGTGACACATAAGAGAGCCGAGATGTATTTGGCGTCGCTCACAGGATAAACTGTTGAGTAACGTCGTTATCCACCAGGGTCATAGCCATGGCCAATAGTCACGATGACAAGCAAACGGTCCAAGACAATTTGTCGTGGCATGATTGTCACTGAAACTGGTCGGTATTTCACAAAGCACAAGGCACAAGAACCTATAGCTGCATCTCATAAGTAACAAGAGATCCACCCCATGATATGTGCAAAGTACAAACCAATTGCTCAATGTACTCAGCTGGATATATGTTTCTTCTTCGTTAAACGTCAAAACGACTGCGGAAATACCGTGAGCCGAAAACTGCGGTGATTTACCATCAGTTATCTATTAAAATATGCAAAGCCCCTCTACATTCTTCGGATCTCGCTCTCATTCTCAAACTTCTCAAGCCCTGCATCGAGATGCGCCCACCAATCGAATAGCAGCGACTCGCAGATAAGCTTGAACCATGGTGTAAAAACCAAGCTCGAGTCTTTGAACATAGCCTTGAGCTCATCGGCAGTAACATACTTGACGTCACGCACTTCGTTGGGGCTTGGGTTGAGGTCGACGTCCGCCTTGATGAAGAGGATGTAGTCAACTAAAAAAGATCACCGTTAGCTGTGATCGTGCAGGATCGGCATAGGACGACTGGACGTACTCTCGTGCTCGCCCCACTTTCCATCACCACAAGGCGCCTTATAGTGAATTCGGGTGAGGAAACGGAAATCCTCGAATGGAACCTGCTCGGGCTTGATTCCTAACTCGTGGTCTAGCTTGCGACGAGCGGCATTCTTCACGCCAGACACAGCCTCGGCCAGCTCAGCGCCACCTTCCCCTGGGATACCCAGTGGGTGAGAGCAGCACGTGTTTGTCCACATATCTGGGAATGTGATCTTCTCTGTCGCGCGCTGCTGGAGGAGCAACCTGTTCTGGGAGTCGAAGAGGAATACCGAGAATGCGCGGTGAAGGAGGCCCTTGTCGATGTTCGTCATCAAGTGACCTGGAAGATGTTTAGTACGAGCAACATTTAGCGCGCAGAGCGTATACACACAGATTTTCTTGCTAAAGTTTCCAATTGGCTTGTCGTTCTCATCAAGGACGATGCAGACCTCGTCCATGAGGCGGATTTGCTCTTCATCGTGCCCCTCAAACACGGCTCTGGAGGTATCGATGTCAGGGAAGAGTCTAAGGATGTTGTCAGTCGTGATGGCCTCAACCTGGGTGGTAGATCCCTCGGCAGCCATTTTCAGTCGAGATACAGCGTATACAATATCTAAAAGTGGTGTAAATTAATGCTTTGATATTTTTTTACAACCCTTCTTTTTGATTATGATCAGGTGCGCTACGGTGCCAAGGCGGAGGGTCTTCCCTCCGAACCCCGCAGGTTCAGCGTTCAGTCTTCGTATTAATAGAATAGTACAACGTGACTTCCCACTGCCCTGTTCCGCCAAGGCTCTTTTACACTTAGTGGCCGTGACCCCTTGCAATCGGAAAATACCTAGGTAAGTTAGCCTCCGTGCCATGCCAATAGCCCTTGTAACGAGGCTGTCGGAAGTCAAAATTTCCAAAACCTTACTTCCAGCCTCAACTACCAGCACACCGCACCGCCTTTTAAATTAAATACTAAGTACCTTACGTCTTATAATTGACATTATGGGTAAATCCAACAAGAGGGCAAACGTCAAGAACCACCCGAATCCGATCGCAAAGCCAGTTAAACCGCCCACCGACCCAGAACTCGCAGCCGTTCGAGAGAAACAAATTCTTCCCGTCATTAATGACTTAAAAAGCCCCGAAGTGAGCAGGCGATCTGCTGCGGCGATTGCCATTGCAAACTTAATTGAAGATACGAAATGCCGAAAGCTTCTGCTGAGGGAACAAGTGGTGGGAATCTTGCTCGAGCAAACCATAACAGATTCGTCTTTGGAATCCAAGAGTGCGGGATGGGGCATATTGAGAAACCTGGCGCTGGAAGAGGAGGCGGACTTTTCCATACATCTCTACAGGCAAGACATTCTGACGCCTATCACTGCAATCATCCAAATGGTCAGTATTGTATGCAGTGCTTGCCCTTCAAACTCAAGCTAACGCCAAGGTAGATAATTGAGACTATTGAATCGAAAGAAAACCCAATAGCTAAGCTCCCAAAAGCTCAGCAGTCTCTTCTATGGACCTTAAGCAGTTCTGTAGTTGGCTTATTAACATCTCTCGGCGAAGCCCAAGAAGAGATAGTTGAGGCTATTTCCAACCTGCCGAGCATCCTCAACTTTTTGTTCGGCCTTCTCAATGTTCCTGCGGTCCCAGGAGAACTTTTTACCGACGTCTTAACTTGTATCTCCACTCTGACAGAGTATAACAAGGTCCTTGCACAGCAGATTGTTGGGAACGAGTCTTGGCTCATGAGCCTCATGCAGCTCCGAGAATTGGCTGGTCCGAGAGCAGTACCTGCTTGCGCGGTTCTCCACAACATCTTCACATGCTTGGAGTGGTTTGACCACAACACTCCTATGGAAGGAGCATCGGACGCTATTTTAATACCAACTCTCGTGCAGTGCATGAGCCAGGTTCAAGGCGAAGACAATCTTTCAAACGGCTCCAATCATCTTAACACAGATCAAATCCTCCAGTTGGCATTAGAGATCACAGCATCCATTGCTACGAGTCTCCAGGAAGCCCTAGAGCATGGTGCCAAGCATGAGAAGGAATTTGAGGGATTCGACGACAAAGCGGATGGGGAGGATGAAATCATGGCGGACGATATCAATGACGACGCTTCAGATGACGAAGATGAAGATGAGGTTAATGAAGAGGACAAGGAGGAAGATGAGATGACGATAGCAGAGATAGCAGAAGATATGGATCGCGTAATCGGCGATGGTTCGGATGACGAAGAGGAAGAGGGCTCTGAAGACGTCCCACCCACCCTCGACGCACTCATCCGCGTCGCCTCTCCATTCCTTCTCAAGCTCGCTCAAACTGATAACGAGGCAGTTCAGAGCGGTGCCATCTCAGCCTTGAACAACATTGCATGGACAATTTCCAACGTCGACTTCTCGACTGCTTCGGGTCGCTTAAAGAAATCTTGGTCGCCTCTTGCTCAGCAAATTTGGTCAGAGGTTGTCACCCCCGTGCTTGCTTCAAACACAGCCGATATCGAGCTTGCTTCCTCAATCACTAGCCTCGCTTGGGCTGTGGCACGGAGCGTCCAAGGGCACGTTAAACTTTCGGGTGATGAGCACAGGAAGTTTATGGCGCTTTACCAGGCTTCCAAGGATATCCCTGCACCAACCGACACAGAGGGCGTGGATCCATTCCAAGGACTTGGTGTCAAATGCGTCGGTGTCCTTGGTCGCCTTGCGCTTGACCCAGCACCGCTAGCATTAAACCGCGAGATTGGAGTGTTCTTGCTCACTGTCCTTGCTGGGTTGCCTGAGACCCCTGCTGCAGATGCAGTGGAGGCACTGAACGAGATCTTTGATATATACGCGGACAAATCATATGCCTGCGATGAAGTATACCGGAATGATGGATTCCATAAGCATTTAGAGGAGCTAAAAGTGAAGGTTACCAAGGCAGCGAAGGGGGTTGACAGGAGGAAAGAGACGGAACTCAGGTCGAGGGCTGATGAGGCAGGGTTGAATCTAACGAGATTTCTGGCCTACAAAAAGAGGGAGCAGAAGAATTAGGTGTTGATATGGGATACTAGATATGACGTAGATATCACGATGTAGATAGGTCGGTGACAGGATTACCGCAGAATGAAGCCCTTTAAGAAGCATGCTACAAATAATATACTGAATGGTGCAAATAATGTACGTATGATTGTGCCGGTATTTAAATATTATTCAGTATGGTTACAGACGGCCAAGACTGATTTTATATATTGATAAATATATTCATTTTAAAAACCCAATTTGGGAATGGAATATAATTTCCTGCAGTTATATGACACGCAAGCTATCCAGAATATAATTAGTGAACTATGACCATTGTTTACAATTGTTTCAGCGTAAGCTCTAAGACAAACCGGCTCGTTGTGGTGTTGTTGTTCCCAATCAAGTTAGGCGTGTGGGCAGCTTCCAACTCCACAAGGCTGAAAGGCTGTGTCAGCCAGCAACAACTTCACAATTGGCAACTCGTTTTCTATACTTTGAAATACATATTAGAGAAGACTACTGTAGACAGTGTCTAAGCCCAATGTCATTGCCAGGCCTCGGGCTTCTAGCCGCCCAGGTGAGCATCCCACCCCCAATACCACACCAGCTAACATTGTCCAGGCTGGCCCATCTTCAGTCCCAACCTCATCTACTACCGCCGCCCCTGTAGTACACGATCTCGCCGCCAACTCAGAATGGCGATTTGAAGTAGACATCGGCACCTCGATTGAAGTCAAGGTACGCCTCTCCTCGTCCCAACTCCCCCAATCACCACTTCACATCACCTGACCACTTCTAGATCCTCTCCGGCAGCGCTGAGCTCTTCGGCACCGAGCTGGCCGTGAATCACGCCTACACATTCAACGGCACCAAAGCCGCAATCTTCACATATCATGGCTGCCGTATTGAGGTAACCGGCCAGTGCGAGGAGTACACCGCGGAGGAGTCGCCCATGACGCAATACGCCAACGTCCATTTTGCGCTGGAGAACCTGCGTCAGCCTGGCCAGCCGGAGCCGCGGGTGCTGGTGGTTGGACCGAATAATTCGGGGAAGACGAGTCTGGTGAAGCTGTTGACGGCGTATGCGACGCGGTCGGGGAAGCAGCCGATAGTGGTCAATGCCGATCCTGGGGAGGGGATGCTTTCAATCCCAGGCAGTTTGACGGCAACGGCCATGAGTAGTGTCATTGATGTCGAGGAAGGCTGGGGTAGCAGTCCCACGAGTGGGCCGAGCAGCGTGCCTGTGAAATTACCACTGGTGTACTTCTACGGACTCAAGAGCCCAGAGGATGAGCCGAAATTATACAAACCAGTGTGCACGCGACTCGCGCTCGCTGTGACGGAACGGTTGGTGGATGACGAGGAGGTCAAGAAGTCGGGGGTCATTATCGACACGCCTGGTGTGATCTCACAGGGGAAGAATGGTTACGATCTCATCTCACATATTGCATCGGAGTTCACAGGTACGGTCTACTTAGTAGCATCTGTTGGAGCTTAGCATACTAACATATTATAGTCAACGTGATAATCGTCCTCGGCTCCGAGCGCCTGCACAGCGACATGCTCCGACGCTTCTCCAACGCTACACCTACACCTATAACCGTGATCAAGCTCGACAAATCTGGTGGCTGCGCCGATCGCGACGACGCCTACATGTCCGCATTCCGCCAATCCCAGATCCGCGAGTACTTCTTCGGCTCAATCAAGCGCACACTGTCGCCGCACACGCAAACTGTCGACTTCTCCGCCGTCACGGTGTACAAGGTGCACGAGCAGAGCGGGATGATGAGCAGCTTCCTACCCGGCGGGGAGGAGGAGGTGGAGAGCCCTATTTTCGATCGTGTGGAGCCAAGCAGCCAGATGCTGCATTGTGTTATGGCTGTTATGTATGCGGGGACGCATGATTCACTGGAGGTGATTAGGGATGCGAGTGTGATGGGCTTTGTGTATGTGGCGGAGGTGGATGATAAGAAGCGGCGGTTAAGGGTGTTGGCGCCGCTGAGTGGGAGGATTGGGGATAGGCCATTGGTATGGGGGAGCTGGCCAGAGGCGTCGGTTAGTTTGATATGATGTACAATGAAATGACATAGAATTTGAAAAGCGATTCACTGTGGCATGCTCTCGGAATGACAGTTCAAGTGTAGTATGTATTTTGTTTTCTATGGGTATCTTGGACGCCGAGAAATGCAGGTAAATAATGACTCCTATCTAATATCTCATTATGACTCCACAGTCCCATCCCTTGTGCCACAATCTCGCCTCCCTCACTACTCATTTTCAACCAGCTTCGCCCTACTCAACCTCGCCTCATCCCGCGGCGCACTGATCGTATCCAAATACGTCGCGTCATCGATCCCCGACTCCAGCTTCGGCAAGTTCTCCGTATCCTGCGCAAACAGCTCCTCGAACGTCTCCCACGCCGCATCGCTATTATCGTCAATATACCGCATCTTCTGCCACTTCTCCTCCTGTGCATTCTTGATTCGCTCCGCCATGCTATCCTGTCCATCCTCTTCCCCCTCCCCTGTAGTCTTAACTGTCATATGAATCGCCCTTGCACCCGCGCCTGCCGGCCCAGCCTCTGCCCTCGGGCGAGCCAACCTGTCCAGCTCAGCCGTCGCGTCGATGTGGTGGAACTGTGGGCGCATCTGCACGATCTCATCCACAGGGCTCAGATGCAATTGGCCCTTCCTGAAAGCGCCTATGAAGTAGTTCGGGCTCGCGCTCTCCTTTGGCACGACCTGGCCGCCCAGTGTCTGTTTCGTGAGGACTCGTTGGCGCGTTATGCCACCCGAGAAGTCATCGAGGATCTCTTGTTGGACTGCTAGTGTGTCTTCTTGGACTTGTCTCCCTCGTCCTGGACCGGGAGCCACACCGCCGATGCCAAAGCCGCCAGCGAGGCCGTGGCTTCCACCCTGTCCTCCCGCGGTGCCGGTATTTGATTTCGCGGCGTTGGACTTCCGCATTGCCTCTCCCCATTGTATGCCCTTGGTGCGGTCGTAGTTTGTCCATGGATCGAGGGGGACGTCAAGCTCAACGAGGCCAGCTTTGGGCTTTAGGCGGAGTTCGATAGGTAGCGAGGCGTTTGTCGAGGAGTAGTCTTCTCGGGAGGGGCGGTTGGGGAATTGGAGAATGTAGAGCTGGCGGCCGTCTTCCCATTGGGGTTTGACGTAGACATCGTACGAGGCTTGTATGGGATCATCCTCATTGTCGTCAATCACTGTGTCCCGTTCGGTCGAGCCCATTTTGCTATTGATCTGCAGGAATATATCGATATAGACGTTGATGGAGTTGACCAAGTCATAAGAATCGTAGCAATGAGGGGAGTTTTATGTGGGCGAAAATGTATCAATCGCTGATGGGCTTATCGATAAGCTGGGTAATCTGCACTATGACCTTCTTCTTCAGGTATAGCGGGGCTTACGACGACAGAAATGACGCAGGAAGCGAGCGAGGCAAAACATCCCAATACTCGTGCTCTTCCACCTTCATCCTCATCGCTGCATCTCTAACGTCAAACACCACAGGGTTCAAAGACAATTATATACCAGCCGGACACCCAGCCAAACCTCAGAAATGTGCACCTCTGACCTCTTCCTCGCCTTCATCGCCATCCTCTTCCCTCCTCTCCCAGGTACGCCTCTCGCTCCCCACACCCCCCACCGCTCCACAAACACAACTAACCTCCCTCTTAGTCTGGGTCAAGACCGGCCTCTGCTCCGCCGACTCCCTCATCAACATCCTCCTCTGCATGCTCGGCTTCCTCCCCGGCCTCCTGCACGCCTGGTACATCATCGCCAAGAACCCCGAGCTCGAGTCCTACGACGCACTCCCCCAGGACGCCGAGGCCGGCAGCCGCGTCACCTACATCTACGTGCAGACCGATGGCTCTGCACCGCGACAGCAGCAACGCCAGCCACAGGGCTACGGGACCGTGAAGCCGATGGGTGCGCCGCAGTTGCAGCAGCACCAGAATGGCACTTGGGGACAGGGAAGCGCAGCGGACGAGGGCGAGGGAAGCCACCCGGCACCGCCGACGTATACGCAGGCTGTGACGGGGGCGGCGGAAGATCACAAGGTGCAGACGCACGATTAGGTGGGTGCTGATGCGAGTGTGATTTAAGCGGCGAGGAGTGGGTGGGAATTGGTTTCAATTTTCTTTGTTGACCGCGTTGCGTTCGGTCTACAGAGCATTGGGAGAATGGCGTACTTGATCGTTTTCTTGTTGGAATATGAGGGGTCTGTATTGGCACTGGCGGTTGACTGCGATGGCAGTTTGCTGGAATACCACTCTTTGCTGCATCGTATGATTGCTTCGTGCGTCACGGCTTTGGGCGAGTTCGCAGGTCGTGCTTCGTGAGGGATCATAGCTTTAGTAAAATACAAATGTTGACCCTCCGATGATTTTTATGATCTTTCTATGTGTGATTTATAGGTGGAGTCTACATTATCTCGAACCCTGGTTTTTATATCCACACCTTCCTTCGACTGTCCTCCAATAACTCATTCAATCGTATAATATCCCTACCAAACGCCAATAGTAGACATCTTAATGCATCCTCCTCAGTTCTTCCACCAAATCCCTCACTTCCTCCACCTTAGCCAATCCCTTACACACCACTTCCTGCCTCTCCTCATCCAAGTCCAGGAACCGCTCAATCAGTTCTCCGTCAATGAACCGGTAAGGCTCCTCCGTCTCACGCTCTGCATTACGGAAGGACCGGTAAGTGGTAAAGGGAATGTTGCCGGGCGTCTCGACATTCTCGGCCAAGCGCTGTTGGAGGCGAAGGAGTAGATCCTGCGAGGCTGGGGCGACGCTGCCATAGAGGAAGAGGGAGCCCTCAGTCTGTAGATATATTAGTCACCATACCAAACACGCATATCTCCGTATAACAAAGGAGGAGATAAACCGTAAAATATGGGGGAAATATATACTCACAGTAGCTAAAAACGCCCTCGGCACCACCGTAGCACCCTCACTCGCATCTACTCGGATCTTGCGTATGCGATTCACCTGTTCTCCAAGGTGAAACTCGCCAGTAACCTCCATCTTCTTGCGGTCCTCAAACGTAACCGCCGCCTCATTGCGCCTCAACACAATCAGATTCCCATCTGCGTCCGCCTCCAGCCATCCCTCATCAACATGCGCCACAGCCGTCGCCCACACGCTCTGGAAGTGCCTCGCGACCTCGACGAGGGTGGGTGCCTCGCCGCTAGTACCGGCGCGATATTCAACGAGCGAGACGGACTTCATCAGGTCCGCGACGGCGATGGTGTTCCCCTCAATAGCAAGATCGACCGGGCACGTGCTAGTGCGATAGCTGGCGACCTTCTCGATGCGTGCGCTGGTGCCGCTGAGCTCCGTGTACTCGAAGACGACGATGGTCTTGACGAGCGCGGCGACGATCTTGCCGTCGATAACCCCGAGGCAGCGACATGCGCCTTTGACTTTGTACTCAGCAATCTTGTACGGGTTGCGGGAGGAGTCGACGCCGAAAACGAGGATGCGGCCGCGGTAGGAGAGGCCGGGGTTGTCGTCGAGGAAGGAAGTGCCGACGATGAAGCGCTCTTGGGGCGTGCCGTAGGTATTTGGGAGGGGGGCGCGGATGACTGCCTCTACTAGTTCCTCACCTTGGGAGGTGCCGAGTTGGAAGGGCTTGCCCAGCTCGGAGAAGACGATTTCATCGACGAGGCGGAAGGAGCTTTCTATGACTTCTTCGCCGTCGATGAGCTCGCGCTTGATGGCGCCGAGGCCGAAGACCTTTTCGGAGGGAGAATAGGTCACGCGGCGGACTGTCTCGCCCATGGGAAGGGTTCTTACGTGAGTGCGGCGCTCGGTGTCGATTTGGCTGATCTTGATCTCTGAAGCCGTTGCAACTACTATTGCGTCTGGGTAGGCGGCAGCGTTGAATGGGCAGATGAATGTTGCATCTTCAGCCGTGACAGCGGAGTAGATGATGCGTCCTTCTGAGCTGTAGATCAAACTAGAATGCTCACAGGTCGCAAATACGTTCATAAGGCCGCCCGCACGGGGAAGGACACGCAGGTTGGCTTGTTGGGTGCCGAGAACAACGGACTTTCGATTTGTTAGAGCGAATGTGCAGGGCGTGACAGAATATGAGTGAACTACTCCATCAGACATGGCAACGAGGAGCGTCGGCCCGAAAGTCTTTGGGAGAATCTGTGCGAGCACCATACTTCGCGGTACAGCGGCAGTGTCGTCATTGCGAAGGGTATCACCTTGTATGGGGTGCAGTGTCCTCAGGTCTATAATAGACACCGATCCAGACTGCCAGAGTCCCACAAGTCCAATTGGTGTTTCAGTATTAGGGACATCTACACAGGCAACCTGATCAGTGTCCCCAAAGTCCTGTCGCGCAATTTCTGACAAGTCGTTATCAAGATTCAGAGAGATGAGCGATTTTCCATCCGCAGATAATAGAGCGTAGTCCTCGTTTGTTGATGCCGCAGTGATAATCTCTCCTGGCGCTGGCTGCCATGATGCGACAGCTACACCGGACTCCGAGTCTATTAGCAACGCTTTTGAAGGCGTAATCTGTAATATCCTGCCGTTTGACACATTTGCAGCTAAAAGCGTATGTTCTTCGAAGGAGAGACCCAAGAACTCCTCCACCTCTTCAACTTCCCCTTCGCTATCAAATCGGAACACTCGTGTCTCTGTCGAGAACGATATCACCAGCGTATCGTGAAACTCCGAGTTGTTTGTTTGAAGGGTATATAGCCCCTTGATATTGTCCATTTCTCCCAACTGACCAATGTCTTCCAACCCAACTCCACTCCGGACACTCCTCAAGCTCCCTTCTTGAAACGCACCGCTCCCAGTAACAATGCGGGCCTGTCCCGACGAGAACTCATTTGCCCGCGCCTCTTCCGATCTGCTCCCCATATCCATCACCGTGAAATCAACGATTGGTGCGATATTATCCAGAGTCTGAACCACCTCGGCGACCTTGGCGTCCAAGTCCAACTTCAAGACCTGCGAGTCTCCATCATGCGACCCGATAAACAGCAGGTCATCCTCTAGACAGACCATAGTCGACGGCCGAGAGATCCGCACAAACTTCTTGATCGTCATCCCCGTCACGACTTCCGCATCGACAACCAGCGTCAGCAGATGCAACCACCCATACTCATCACCCAACAGATACCTCAGCCCATCGTACGCCGTCCACGCCACAAAGATACTCGCCTCATCGAGCACATGCTCCACGGTCGCCTTGCTCTCATCATCCAGATAAAGCATCCTCGTCTCACCAACCACAATCACACCTCCCAACTGCGCCTTTAAACTCGCATTATTCCTCACCACATATCTCCTCTGAACCCCCTCCCCCTTCGGCACCGGGATCAGATGGCTCGCCCCAACCTCCACCCCCAACTCGTCTTCCCTCGCCTTCCTCGGATCAAACCCCCCATATTGACCCCTCCCATCCGTAACCCTATATGTCGCCAACCCCACCCTATCTCTCCCATCCTGATACAGCAGCGCCACCTTCGGACTCGTCGACTCCGTATGCAAAAACACCGTCGCGCGCACAAACAGCTCCGTAATCCGTATCTGCTCCGGGTCATCGAGGTAGCTCCCAGCAGCCGCAACCTTTCTCGGCTTCATAACCTTGACAAAACTCAATACGCCCTCAAATAGACTTAAACACAGCTGCCGCCCGGATGGATCGACAGCGCACCTCTCCCCTCCGGCAGCGTCGCGCATATGTTTCTCGCTCGCGTCGACGAAGGCATGGACCGTCTCCAACCGCCGCGTCGCCGCGTCCCAGGCAAGAGTAAAGTAGTGTGCCCGCGTAGTGCCGACGAAGAGGTGTGCGGTGCAGGAGGTGGGGGGCCGGATGGCCGCGAGCATTGTGATCCGCGCATGGAGGGTGCGGGTGTGGGCAAGCTGGAGGCCGGTGGGCGTCGAAGTCCATATTTCGAGGCGGTTGGATTTGCTAGAGGGGGGAGGTTAGAGGGGTGGTGAGCTCTTGGTGGGGGGGGAGGGGCTTACGCGACGACGAGGCATGTGGAATCGGGGTCGAGGAGGTTGAGGGAGAGGGCGTGGCGGACGCTGCTGGGGCGGTGGATGGGGACTACGTAGGACATGATTGCGGGAGGGCGGCGTGGAGGAGGTTGAGTTGGTAGAGAGACCCGGACATGGGCGGGTGAGGGTCGAGAGCTTTCTTTGTTTCGTCCGGTTGTTCCTTAAGGTACAGGCTTGATTACGTCCCTGATTATATCTTATCGCGAAGCTCGGAGTTAAGAAATTAATGCAGGGTTCGTCACTCGGACTGGATATAGCTTATGATTAATACCAGCAATTAAAACTCACAGAACTTATCTCTCCAGTTACATTTGTCAGTAGCTGGCTTACTGATTGTAGCCCTGAGTGATTGAAAGCCTTTACTTAAAATATAGTTGCTGCAATCAATGTTGTTATGTATAGCCCCTCTTCAGACTTTTTGGCGGCATGACATGAGCACAACACCAACTTTATTTCAGACACACGACCTCATTTCATTTTATGCGAATATTTAAAAATGCCTTTTACTGATCTTGTATTGTAGAGGTTTATTCTTTTCCACCAAGATATCTATACACCACAGAGAAGTCCTTCCCCTTGCACCTCTCATCCTTAGCAGCGAGATCATACACCTCGTTAGCCTTGTCACCAAGTTCTAATTGAGCACCAGCCTCATTGGCAGCCTGGATCGCAAGTCCAAGATCCTTCTTCATCAACGATATCCCAAAGCCGCCGCTGTAATCGCGTCCAGCAGGCGAACCCTCAACAACACCCTTCACGGGGTTGTTAACCTCACTCGGCCAGCACTTTCCAGTGCTGACATTGATAACGTTGGCGAGGACCTTGGGGTCCAGACCGGCCTTGATACCAAGGTTCATGGCCTCAGCAGTGGCAATGTTGTTGATAGCCAGGAGGTAGTTATTCGCCAACTTCCCGACTAAGCCAGCTCCCTGATCACCGCAGTGCAAGACGCGCTTGCCCATCATCATGAGGACGGGCTCTGCGCGCTGCAAGAGGGATGAAGGGGCGCCGAGCATGAAAGTCAGCGTCCCGGCTGTGGCGCCGACGACGCCACCAGACATGGGTGCATCAACGAAGTTGCCCTGCTGAGTAGCAGTGACGGTATTGGCAACCTCCTTCGACGTCGCGGGGTCAATTGTGGAGCAGTCGATGAAGAGCCTGTCCTTGTGCGACCCCATCGACGGAGGCTGCGCAAGCACCTGGCTGAACACACCCTTAACATGAACCGGTTCTGGGAGCACGGTAACGACAGTTTCCTAATTGCCACTTGTCAGCTTTATGCCCTCATGAGAAAAACGTATGAAGATGTGCAAAGAAGCAAGCTTTTTGAAAGTTCAGAGGATTGGCTTTGTTGTATAATAATAAAATCACGCGAACATACCCCCAAGACGGGGGATGCCAACTTAGTATCATGAATTGGAACAAACTCATCACATAAAGCTGGGGGGAGACATGAAGGGAGAGAGAGGGGGGGCTTACACTTCCATCCGCCGCCTCAGCTGGCGAGGCCACGACCTTAACCTGCGCACCACCACCAGCTGCGGCTACCTCGTCCGCGAACCTCGTCGTCGCCTCCACATTGATATCCTGAATTAACAACACATCTGTGGTTGGCAGCTTCTTCTGCAAGTTCTTGGCCATGTTATATCCTATCGTCGTTGTTAGCTCGCTGCACCCGCCAAACGGGAACATCAGATAAACGTACCCATCTGCCCAAGTCCAATAAATCCATACTGGGCGTCCCTTGCCGCCGAAGCAGAGAAGCATCGCACCTGCACGACGCCAAACTGCCGCCTCAGCACTGACGCGGTCCGGAAATTGAAAGCCATCGCGAGATCAAGTTGTGTTTATCCTGAGCTGTGCAGCTCGAACAACTGACAAGTCGAGGCGAGACTGACAAGCGGGCGTGGGAAAGGTACAGTAAGTTTGTACCGAACACACTAACTCGGGTATGTGGCCGAGATCTTCTGACATATAGAGCCGAGGGTATGCGCACCGTTCTGGAACGACTCATGAGAAGCAATTTTATAAATAGGTAGAGCGCGCACGAAGGCGGCTGCGAGTTCAGGTCTTCTTTCACATCTTTGCAGGATGGTGAAGAGGAGGAAGAGGGAAGAAAGAAAGATGGAGTGGGGGATTATGAGGGCGACGAAGAGAAAATAATCTGCCGCTAGGCTGTTTGTGGTTGGGCTGTCTCTTCATGGCATGGCGCGTGAGGACCAATAATAAGCTCATGGGATTTATCTCGTTGGCTCCATTTGAGTAACTGGTCATTGAAAGGCTATAATACGACAATTATAACCCTGGATGAGTGGTTAAGAGCCTCTATTTTAATCGTTGTTTATGTATTATACAGAGCCGTTGTGTAGACTTCTGGGCTCTTGTAGCACAAGGTAGAAAATCATCAACAGAACTACACGAAGCGTCGCATATTTCCTCATCACATAAAAAGCTAGAGTGCCATCGAACACCCCGCCCATAAGATAGTAGACAAGAACAACTCGAGAATTAAAACTTCCTATCAAAACTAGCTATCAAGCCTCCGCCCATAATATCCCTGCCTCTCATCATATATCCGCCCAGCAGTCCCCAGATCACCCTGGTACAATGTTGAGAACCATGCAGACCACCCCTCTCCCCCTCTTCTCCCTCTCTGCCACTCAAAAAAGCCTGGGTATCCCACGACCCATGTGTCGTACAAACTCTCTTATGTATAGAAAGGGTGCGTAATATCGGATACCTCAACCTCAACCACACCATAGATAAGCCCCTAGAAAAACAAGCCTCACTCAACGCCGAGATAAATTCGAAACGGAATAAGACGAGACAACGATAAATGGACGAGGGGTTTAGACGCGTCGCGCCCATTAGAAATTAAACTTTTCTTAACCACCTGCGGCACCTAGAAGGCGCCCATGACGTAGGGGATTAAAGCACTGTTTCTGTTAGCATCCATTCATCAGGAGGGAAATAAGGAGACATGAACATACCCAATAGCCAACGTAGCACTAATACCAATCAGCGCTCTCGCCCGCACCTTCTCCTTCTTCAGGTCGCTCTCGACCTTAGCCCTCTTTGCTGGCGCCGCGCCCTCGTTCTCCTTCTCAGCCTCCTCCTCCGCCTTCCTCTTCATCGTCTTCGCCGCGGGTTTGCTGGGCCCCGCCTCAGCTTCGGCCGCCTCCTTGGCCGCCTCGTCAGCCTTGACAGCCGCCTCGACCATCTCCTTCGCCTTGGCAATCATGGCCTCCGTGTCTTCAGGTAGGGGCAGCTCGGCGAAGCCAGCTGGCATCTCAACCTGGACATGAGTGTGCGTTGTCTCTACACCGCCCTCGACAGTAACCTCCTGGTCAACCTGGACAGTGACCTTAGGCTCCTTCTCTGCATCGGCCTTGGCCGCAGCGGCCTTGGCCACCTCTCCCTTAGCAGCCTTGGATTTCCTCTTTGGCTCTGGGCTTGCCGTCGCGTCCTCCTTCTCAGCAACTGACGAGCTAGACGGGGATCCCTCGGGCTTGGTAGCCGATTTCAGCGCCTGTTGCAGGTTCTTGCTCGACGCGCTCGCGCTCTCCTCCGCAGCGGCCTTCTGCTTCAGCTTTCGCGGGGTAGCGATCGTCTTCTTCAGCGGGCTCGCGATCTTGCTGGGGCTCACGCTCCTCCTGCTTCTCCTCAGCGCCTCGCCGGAGCGACCACTCGAACCATTTGGTGCGGCGAGGTCCTCTGGCGCAAGCAGGAAGGTAGGTGGCGGCGAGATTTTCTTGGGGGTTGTATCTCCCTTGGGGTTTACGACGATAGGCGTAGGGTCTAACAGGGCCTTGATCCATATGCGGATTCCATACTCGTCGGCCAACTCAAGCGCGTGCATAGGCGAGATCCAAACGTTTCCAGCAGTCTCGTTAGGGCTCGTGGTCGCGAGGCTCTTGATGTAGTTGCGCTCGGCCTCCTCCTCGTGAACCTCAGAGTAGGGGAAAGTCGCCTTGAACATGCCAGTCGCGCTGATATAGCCGTCGTTTGAGCGGCGCATAAGGAAGTAGCTCGCTGGCGCGGGCTTGAAGATGCCCGAAACGACGTTCTTGGGCAGCGGCGCGCGAAGGTGCGCGTAGTCGAACGTGCCAAGCTGCTTGGCCTTAACTTGCAGGTCGGTCTGGCCGAGGCGACGGCGCTCAATAAGGCTCTCGTCTGAAGGGATGGGGTTAGTTGCGCGAGCGGTGGGAAGGGGTGTGTGGTGCCATGGGCTTACACTTGGGAGCATTTTCGACCATAAGCAACGCGTTGCGCTTTTCGGGCAGGTGGCGCGTGGAAGACATTGTGGTTCGTTTTATGTAGAGTATCGGAAGATCTCAAGTCAATGAGGTCTTTATCTGTTTGTGGTGTGTTGTTGGCGATGAAAGCGCGAGGTGGTGCTCGAATGATCTGATTCTGCGCGCCGAAATAGTGAGAGCGACGCGATTATCTCCACCGTAAAAAAATCGCGCGCAAAGGTGACCTTCGTATTGCGCCTGACGATTCCTGATATCAATGAAACTGGATGGGCTCAAGCTGATGTCGTACGAAGTCTCCTTCCCGAGAATGCAGCGGTTGGTGATGATGGGACGGGATTGACGGATCACGCTTCAGCGAGTTTGACACGTCGATTACGGCGAACAAGCGCCCGTTTTGATGCGATTGATTGGACGACGAACAATGGTGAGGATCGCACCACCCTGCGACAAGGCGGTGATGTAAATAAAACGAAGTAGAAATGGTCGATATTATTTTTGGGGAGAGAAATGGAAGTTTATCGCTCTTACCCCTGGATACGATGTCAACTAAATTCTTTCTGGCGCTGGTCACTGGACTGGACGGAGGGAACGGGCACTGGACAAGAGCTGACGGGTGCACGGGTAACCGTATGTACGGTTACCCGTTCACCCGTCAGATTTGGGCGGATAGGTATCCGCCCAAATCTCCTAACACGGACGGTTTCCGCTCTTTTCGGACGGTCGGCTCCTTTTCTTCCGTCTGCTCATCCGCCGCCCCACCAAAAGCCACGGCGGCGGCTTCCACCAACCACGCTAAACGAGGGGCAACGATCGCGGGGTCAAACCAGCACAACACAACACATCCCTCACCAAACCCACACGACCTCACAACAACCCCAAACCAGCCACCACGATGTTTAAGAAAGAGTATGTCATGAAACAGCCCCGCAGCATCCAGTGAGGCAGATCAGCTAACATCTCGAAAGCATCTCACCCGGCTCCAAGTCGAAGGTCAAGTCGTCTATCCAGCGCGCGCTTAGGACGCAACTATGCACAACCTACCCACTTCTTACGCCATATATCGATGAGGTGGTGCCGAAGAAGGAGCAGTTGGATGCTATGAAGATGTTAGTACCACCTACTCCCATCTCCGTCTCGACCTCGACCTCATTACCCGTCGCGACATCGACCCATTCACGCAGAAAACCTGACACTGACAGCCCACAGCCCAGAGAGAGTAACCCTCTACCTCATTAACGGCAAACCCATCTTCTTCCAACACATGACCGACCCGCTCCTCCCTCACCTCAAGCTCGTGCACCGCTTTCCTCAAGCCTTCCCACGCATACGTATCGACCGCGGCGCAATCCGCTTCGTGCTGTCCGGCGCAACACTGATGGCTCCGGGGATCACAAGTGATGGCGGCAGGCTGCCAGGAGATGATGGAGAAGAGTGGGGTGCGGCAGGAGAGCATCTGGAGAAGGGTGCGCCGGTGGTGGTGGCAGCGGAGGGGAAGGAGGAGGCGTGTGCCGTGGGATTGTTGACAGTGGGGACGAAGGAGGTGAAGGAGGTAGGGAAGGGCCCGGTGGTGGAAGAGGCGCATTTCCTAGGGGATGGGTTATGGAGGTTGAATACTGAGTAAGTTATTTGTGTTAGTCGGGGAGGGGGAGGATTGAAGGGAATAGAAGAATCGGGTAGAGGTGGTGGTTGTAAATGAGCAGGATCTATGATTGGGAAATGAGATGTGCCATTACTATTTGCGCTGTCATTGGCAGATGCACCGTCATGAGGTTAGACCATTAAATGCTTGATATACTTGTTGTGTTATCCATGGTTTATAGACCAAGACGCTGAAAAACAGGGGATAGTAAATAAATCCTGTCGCATGCCTAACAATTGGGAGTCTCTATAATGAATAATACGGCGCTTAATTAGCTAGAGAGCTAGTTACCCAAAAGATGCGCTAAAGGGAGAGGTTCTATTTAGTTAAATGCAAGCATTAGTTCTTAGTTATGCCCGTCTTTGGTATTCGCCGCTGCGCCTCGTAACTCCATCAATGCCCAAACGCCACCACCTCCCAATCTATGCACCATCGCCCATCTCCTGATCCTCCGTAGAACCAAAGACATCATCAAACGTGCCACCCTCCACATCCTCCCCAAACACCTCCTCATCCTCTCCCCCATCCTCCATCTTCACATCTTCGGCCTCATTCGCCTCCTCGTCCTCGCCGTCATCCTTCTCCCACGATTCCTTAACACCCCACGGCACGCCCGTCAATACAAACTTTTCATTCGGCAGCCTGACACCCCACTCCGTCTGTCCCACAGCCGGCAACCGAATCTTATTCCTTGCCTCCGCGACTTCCATCAAGAATTCCTTACTCGTCCCCCCCGAGCTGAGCTGGTATTGTAGACGACTCTGAATCGCGAGCTGCACAGCACCCATGCTGACCTGGCCATCGGCGTCGCGCAAGTTGCTGCCGGCGGGAGGGTCGCGGGCACGGTTCTGCTGGGAGATGTACGCGTCGGAGGAGAGGTGAAGGGCGTCGGCGAGGATGGCAGAGGTGTGGCGGTAGGCGAAGTCGAGGAGCTGGAGTGGGACGCGCTCCTGGTAGGCGGAGATTCCGAGAGAGGTGAGGAGGAGGTGAATGAGGCGCGCGTCGCGAGGGCGCTTGTCGTAGCCTGGGATTTGGGTAGAGACCGTTGGGTGCGACGGGAGCGGGAGAGGCGGTGGCGTGGGGAGGCTGCGAACGGCTTGGGCGGGGAGGGAGGGCGTGGCGACGCCGTTGGTTTGGGCCTCCATGGTGGAGAGTGAGGTCGGTGTGATGGTATGGGGGTGTTTGAATGAGATTGAGGATTGTGGTGGTTGGAGCTGCCAATGGGGTCGGTGCGCCAACTCCCCTACTTCACCGGTGGTAGTTATGTCTTTGTTTGGAATGTTATATTCACTTGAGGGTAGTGAGAGTCCGTTGATGATATGTTTGGTGCTTGGGCAGGTTGGCTTGTAACAAGACGTGAGCGTGACCTGACATCTGGATTTCGGTGGAATGGAGAAACGTATCGCCGGTGGGCCTCAACCGATAAGCCAGTCCAGGAGTATTCCCCGCCACCAGTGACGGATCAGTCATAATTTGTTGAAGGGATCACAAAAGACGTTTCATTGCGTCTCACAACACGCCGTCTGTGCAAACATACTACAATATGGAGACGACACTTCAGCTTTCTCTCGTTCCCTCGCTGGACCTAGCATCCCAGCCATACTTTGAGACTGGCCTGCCCCGAAAACAACTCAGTCACCTAGGAAGCATCTTCTTCGTCGCCAAAAACGAGACGTTCGATTTGGTCTTTGGATTCCTTCAGGGACACACCGACGTACGAACATTTGTCAATGCTGCCGCTCTTGAAGAATCGGATATCCTGAGCCTTCTAGATGCTGGCGCATGCTGCGTCTTTGTCAAGGAGGAGCAAGCCGCATCGCTAGAGAAATATGGCGATCGTATCGGCCTAGCAGCGACAAGTGCTACATCGAAAGTACCTGCCGGAGGTGCTCTTATCGATTTTAGAGGAGATGCTGCTGCGTCAAAGACACTGCTGAAGAGCTTTGTCGACCAGAAGACGTCGCCAGTTTTCTTGGTGACACCGGAGGAATCAAAGGCACAGGAGACCGTGACTATTGCACAGGAATTAGGAGTCGTGCCAATCGTACCAGCGACAGCGTTGACGATGGAGAATAAGGATACGGATGGGAAGCTGTCTGTTCCAGCGATAATCGGATCGCAATGGGCTAGCGACAGGGCCGATAAGCTGATGCCGACCGTTGTCACCGACGAGAGAGGGGTCGCGCTGGGATTGGTTTACAGCAGCCAGGAGAGCATTTCGGAGTCGCTAAAGACGAGCACGGGGGTGTATCAGAGCCGGAAGCGTGGGTTATGGTACAAGGGAGCCAGTTCGGGGGATACACAGGAGCTTGTTAGATTGTCGCTAGACTGCGATCAGGACTGCCTAAAGTTTGTCGTGAGGCAGAAGGGTAGAGGATTCTGCCACCTGCCGCAGCCGACATGCTTTGGTGAGCTTGGGGGGATCTCTAAGCTCGAGAAGACTTTGCAGTCAAGGAAGATCTCGGCTCCAGAGGGGTCATACACGGCACGTCTGTTCTCGGACGAGAAATTACTGAGAGCAAAGATTATGGAGGAGGCCGAGGAGCTGTGCGATGCGAAGACAAAGGAGGAGATTGCGTTTGAGGCGGCGGACTTGATTTATTTTGCACTCACAAAGGCTGTTGCTGCTGGCGTGACATTGGCAGATATCGAGACGAGTCTAGATGCCAAGAGCGTTAAGGTCAAGAGAAGGCAGGGTGACGCAAAGGGGCAGTGGGCGGCGAAGGAGGGGATTGCAGTTGCTCAGCCGAAGGAGGCAGCCAAGGCTCCTGCTGAGGTGAAGAAGGAGGATGGACCGATCCTGATGAAGCGATACGACGCCTCTCAGATTTCTGAAAGGGAGCTGTTGGACGTGCTTCAGCGTCCGTCGCAGAAGTCCAACGATATGATTATGGGGATTGTCAACCCTATTATCACGGCAGTGCGGACGAGAGGAGATGCCGCCGTTTTGGAGTACACCCACAAATTCGAGAAAGCCACGTCCCTTACGTCGCCGATTCTCAGAGCGCCATTCCCGCAGTCGATGATGAACCTTCCACAGGAGACCATTGACGCGATTGACATCTCGTTTGAGAATATCCGCAAATTCCACGCCGCACAGAACGAGGATAAGCCTCTGGAGGTCGAGACGATGCCGGGGATTATCTGCAGCAGATTTGTGCGCCCGATTGAGCGTGTTGGTCTGTACGTTCCGGGTGGAACTGCCGTGTTGCCCAGCACCGCTCTGATGTTGGGTGTGCCGGCCATGGTGGCGGGGTGCAAGAGAATTGTGATGGCAACCCCGCCGCGGGCTGATGGTAGCATCACACCAGAGGTTATTTACGCCGCCCACAAGGTGGGAGCTGAATGTATCGTGCTTGCTGGCGGTGCGCAGGCCGTTGCGGCGATGGCGTATGGAACTGAGAGTGTGCCAAAGGTCGATAAGATCCTTGGTCCAGGAAACCAGTTTGTTACGGCTGCGAAGATGCACGTCAGCAACGACACCAATGCCGGCGTCAGCATCGACATGCCAGCTGGGCCGTCTGAGGTTCTTGTCATGGCTGATAAGTCTGCCAACCCCGCGTTTGTTGCGTCTGATCTCCTGTCGCAAGCCGAGCATGGGGTCGACAGCCAGGTCATACTGATTGCGATTGACCTGTCGGAGACTGAGTTGAAGGCGATTGAAGACGCGCTGCACGAGCAGGCCGTTGCCTTGCCGAGGGTGGATATTGTGCGCGGCGCCATTGCCCACTCCGTCACGCTTGTCGTGAAAAGTCTTGAGGAGGCCATGAGGCTTTCAAACGACTATGCACCAGAGCATCTGATTCTCCAAATCAAGGATGCAGCGGCGGCTGTTGACCTTGTTGAGAATGCCGGTAGCGTGTTTGTGGGCGACTGGACGCCAGAGAGCGTTGGTGATTATTCGGCCGGAGTCAATCATTCTTTGCGTAAGTTATGATTCGTGATTTAGCGATGCCCCTGTGATTTGAGCGATGCTAATTGTAACAGCCACATACGGCTACGCCAAGCAGTATTCGGGTGTGAACCTCGGATCGTACGTCAAGCACATTACCAGCTCCAACCTGACGGCGCAGGGGCTGAGGAATGTGGGCGGCGCGGTGATGCAGCTGGCAAAGGTGGAGGAGTTGGAGGCGCACAGGAGGGCGGTGGGGATTAGGTTGAAGTGGATGGACGAGAGGGCGTTGTAGATTTGATTAAATTAGAGTTTTACGTATGTCAGAGTGCGATAATATAGGGTATCTCAACGTTCAACTAGGTATATTATCTGTAAAAACCTCTTGAACCTATATTTTCTGTCTATTTCCTCACCACAGATCATTTAGATGTCCCATGAATAATAAATCTATTATCTCATATCCTTGTGCCTATGATCTCTGTCATGCATCCCTATAGCCACGACCTCTGTCACGCAAACCCGTGCCTATGATCTCTGTCGCGCATCCCTATAGCCATAATCTCTGTCAAGCATCCCTATAGCCACGATCTCTATTGCAAACCCCTATCGCTAGAGTCTCTATTGCGTATCCCTATGCCTATAACATCTGTTGTAAATCCCTATGGCTACGATCTCTACTACCTACAGTACTAGACCACTGCTATTAACGGAATTCTAATTTAACGTGTAATTTGCGTCGCGTAACCTACCCCTCCTTATACAACAACCATAATTATGCTACTAACTTAGAGGGCTTTAGGGGTATCTAATGATGGATTAATACACCCCTATACCCCTATCTTTATAGAAGCTGTTTTAATCATCTATAGCCACTTGTCCTAGTCTTTTAGGCTTATAAGGACCACCCCTACCTTCTATAGGGTTGCTATTATAATGGTTATTAACTCCTAGGAGGGGTTCTAGGTCTATATAAGTAATTTAGAGTATCTAGAAAGCGTCTTGGAATTGCTCTAGGCTTATAACTATTAAGTAACATGTATATTGTTCTGTCTAAGTATATAGCTGCCTGATATTTAAGTGAGGTTGTACTAAGGTCATGTAACCATTTTACAACACAATTCCTGTTAAGGATTACGTATATAGTATAGCAGGCTACAGCCAATTTATATGGTGTAGTACAGTGCACTAAGTAATTTCCTAATGGTGTAGAAGCTAGTATCACTATAGTGTAGTAATCAATTCAATTGCATTCCCATTCTAATGTAACTACGTTGTAATGGTGGGTGCACCAGATGTGAGAATCTAGCCACCCAAGGAAGGGATGAATTTACTAAGACAACACACTGTCTTAGGAAACAGAGCCAAAGGGTTGTAGCTTAGACTATTCCACAACGCAGCAATCAGGTGTGTGATGTACAGTTGGGTCAAATAAGTGTTCGTCGTTTTCAGCCACCAAAACGCCATGAAAAAAAGCAACGAGTGCGGGGTACTCCCTCTTCAAAAGGATAATATAGATAGAAATAGTGAGTTGTAGATACTGTCATCAATTATTATGGCTCTCCTACCGAAGAGTACTCGTAGAGAGACCTCTGTTGCAAAGCGAGCAACATGCTGGACTTGGTACAAGGCTGGCAAGACAGTGACTGAGATTTCCCGCCTAGAACGCCTACCCCGCACTACTGTAACTACAATTATCCACAGAGCAAAGGCTTCCGACCTACAAGCTCAGCAAGTCAAGTTTGAGAGCAAGGCACGCTCGGGGGCCCCTAGGAAGCTTACTATCCGAGCAGAGAGGGCCTTAGTGCGTGCTGCTGTTACAGATTGCAGAGCTCCACTAATTGCGCTCTGCACACCGAGCAAGAGCGGCTCTCAGATCACAAAACCAACAGTACGCAATGCTCTAAAAAAGTACAACAAAGGACGGAGAAAACCACGCAAGAAGCCGTTCCTTAAGCCTGCTCACAAGAAAGGCCGGCTACAGTGGTGTAAAGCAAACAGAAACGTGGATTTTGGACTTATTATATGGTCTGATGAGTCTACATTTGAAGTTGGCTATGATAGTCGCAACTTTTGGGTTACCCGAGGCCCAGGAGAAGAATTTTGGGAGAAACACCTAAAGCCTACTTTCAAATCAGGCCGTACTTCAATTTCTGTGTGGGGTTGCTTTATGGGAGCAGAGATTGGACCGTTGGTTGTGCTTCCTAAAGGGCAGCGGATGAACCAGCAACTATACACAGAACTAGTTCTCAAACCCTACTTTATCCCATTCTACGAGAAGATGGTTGCAAAGTACGGCCCACAAGTACGTATACAAGAAGATGGAGCAAAATTCCACTTTGCTCCTATTGCTGCAAACTACAAGAGGCTCTGTATGGTACAGAGTTTACCATGGCCGCCACAGAGCCCTGACCTTGCCCCTATTGAAAACGTGTGGCAGCA